TTGGTGTTATGTTAACAATATATGAGAGTTGGTGTAATGTTAACAAGATATGAGAGTTGGTGTAATGTTAACAATATATGAGAGTTGGTGTTATGTTAACAAGATATGAGAGTTGGTGTAATGTTAACAAGATATGAGAGTTGGTGTTATGTTAACAAGATATGAGAGTTGGTGTTATGTTAACAATATATGAAAATGGGTGTAATGTTGACAATAGAACTCTGAAAATATTATTATGATGTTGCAAGTTGACCCACAATGCGACCATTGTGCCATGGTTTATTACCATGAAATATTTACTTTAAAATGTGAAGAGTTCCCAACAACTTCTGCCAGATCCGAGTTCTACACTAGGTTGTAAATTATAATTCTCTTGCCTAATCGTCGGCGACTACAAATTCTAAATAGAAACAGACTAGTGTGTGATGCAACTCTTTGATTAACCGTACCCACGAATTTAAATTTTCATAAAAACTGATCATCGTGTTCTATATTTCAACACTAATCGTAACCCACGCTTTAATCCTAAACCTAATCCATGTAGATGAGTACAAAAACTCGATCGTGGGTGAATAAATTATCCAAACGGTAGGGTGGGGGTTGGGGGGGGGGGATCATTTCATTAACAAGGCTTGAATTATAAAACCTGCATGATATATAAATACTGGAGCGGACAGTTGTAGATGAACAAAGGATTTCCGGGCTTACGAGGGTGCATATAAAGAGAGAAGCTCAAAACTGAGTCCAATGGAGAGGTGTGTTTGTAGCCCTTTGCTTCTCAATGGACACAACGAAATAAGTCAAGTCATGATATATAGATAACCAGAGAAAAAAAAACCGTTTAAATACGCCTAAAAACCTGCACAAATTTTGAGCAGTACATTTAACCCTTAAAGAACAATTTCTATTTAAGCTAAATTGAAATCCCTCTTTCTATCTTACAGCTTCTTACAGATTTTCAACTGCTGTACCTTTGTGTTCATCAACTATATTTAAAAAGTCTGAAGCCAAAAAAAAATGGCGTCTTCCTTATTCAGGCGCCTTCCTTCAGTGCTAAGCCGTGGTACACTTTCATCCGATTGAGAAATAAAACCGTTGGTATTGTGGTAGAACTATCTGTGATCTCCCGGCCTATCGTGCAGACAACGCCTACCACGACAAAGCCACCCCACTCCCTCCCCAGTGGGAATCCTCCCAACACAGCAAAAAAAAAAAAACCGCCCAATTTTACAACCCTCCCGCATTGAGCGCTCACCGCTTTTATCGCCCTGTGATGTCAGCCGCTGTGTTGCGCATTCAACAAAAGCCAGCGCCGAGGAATGGGGTAATGAAGTGATGTTAACAGTCCCGCGCCCGGCTGGAGTCACGTCCCCTGTCATGATACCCCCGTCAAGCCTGGGCGCTAGGGTGGGGTTACATCCCTTGGTACAAAAGGAAGAACAACAAAACACTTGGACGAAAAAGCCGGGGGAAGATGTCACAAAAGGGAAAACGGAACTATTAGAAGGGGTGATGGGGACATTTTAATTCACCCCTACTGGTTGTTGTGACGTGTCTGCGACCTTTGCGGTGTGCCATAAACAAACCAACGAGAATGATGTAACCGCGCAGTATGAAACAGAACGCGGGAAATATTTTGTATCGTATGCGGCGTGAACCCGGTGACTTATGGTACACTTGCGTCGGGTGGGGTTGGGTGGACAGTAGGGTTCATGATCGGTGTGGTGAAGTGGACATTGTTGAAAGTTAGTGGTGTCGTAAAGTGGACATTGTAGAAAGTCAGTGGCGTTGTGGGGTAGACGGTTACGGAAAATTATTGCCGTAGTAAAGTGGCCTTTGTTGTGACGTTGTGGTATTCGTGAAAGGGTTTAAGCTTAGCACGGTTGTAAATTAGCAAGGATGTAAATTAGCGGTGATGTAAATTAGCGGTGACATAATTTGCTGTGATGTAAATTAGCAGGGATGTAAAATAGCGGTGAAATAATTTTCAGTGATGTAAATTAGCAGGGATGACCATTTGTGTTTAGGCTGAAGGACATGATTCGTTACGCTGTACATATTGCAATATGCAATAATGGTGAAAATTTGCAGTGTTTTTTTTTTCTGTAAACTGTCTGAAGTTTTTTCTGAGCTTCAGATGGGAGGAGGGGAGAGACTAGAGTGTGGGGGGGGGGGGGGACTTGGAGGAGAGAGATAAAGAGAATAGAGACCAAGAGGAGAGATAACCCCCTCCACACACAAATACAACCACCAACTCCCCACACATTCTTAGCAACGCGACTGGATGAAATCACATTTTGAATGTGTTCACCTCTGTACTGAAATACTCTACTCCTTTGTTCCTGGTGTACATTGTTTAAAGTAATGCCACTCTGTCGAATGTTCGTTATTTAATTTCGCGATCATTTGGATTATATTTAACTAATGTTCCGTTATATTATAAATGCCACGAAAATCCCCTATCGTTAAACCCTGTTAACTCTCTCGTAAGTCGGACAATCGCTTCGGCAGCTGTTGATGTAGGGCGAACAGGCAGAACTGCTAGGCATAAAACAACACAAACTCCGCCAAAATGAGTTTTTGTTTTGTTTTATGTGATTTTTTTAGTTTAACTGGTAATCCAGAGACTGTAAAAATAAATCGATGACTCTAGTGAGATAATAAAAACGTGGTACCATTGGAGAAACATGTGGTAGATGGGGTAGAGTTCTTTTTCCGTGACTTGGGAAACTGGTCAGCTCTTTGACAAGCCGCTTTGTTTTAAACCATTCAGGACTGAGATGACTTTTGGGAAGTTTCAAAATTCTTCAATAAGGAATTTCGTCTACCTACCAGAAACGGTACGGAGTGGTCTAGCGGTAGAGAGCTGGACTGCTAACCCGTAAGTCTCGAGTTCGAATCCGGGTTCAAGTCAGTAGACCATCCCTGAGTCCACCCAACTCTGATGGGTACCTAACTCACGTTAGGGAAAGTAAAGGCGGCTGGTCATAGGGCTGACCACACTATCTCTTCATATGCCGAGGTCACAGAAGCAAGTGAACTCTACTTCACTTGCCCCATAGACCGTCAGGTTTGAAAGGGAAACTTTACCAGAAACGGTACTCAAGTACCTATTCTGGATGTTATAAAGCACCTAAAAATCAAAAACAATTCAAGTATAAGATCTTATATATAGGCAATTTATCGCTTTCCCCAGTAATAAAGTACCGTTTCCCGTTATTGGAAATCGTTATCTGTATTTTAGAAACAAAACACAAAGTACTTATTTCGGTTATTAGAGGTCACTCAAAAATTAAAAATAATTCAAATGTAAGATCTTATACTTACAAATGAAATTTCTTCTACACAACTTAAACAGCGCTCAAATTATTGTGTTCACGGAAAAATGGAATAAAGTAAGTTTTCCGGTTACCGGAAATATATCAAACGTTGAAAGAAACATTTGCACTCAATGCAATGTGAAATTTTGTCAACCTAACTAAAACGGTGCTCTAGTCATTGGCTTTTGAGAAACCAAAGACAGAGTTACTACCACTTCTGGTTATTGGAAATCGCTCAAAAGTTGATAGAAAACTACAATGTGAAATAATATTTATATATTTAATTTCATCGATCTAACAGAATCAGTATTACAGTTATCGTGTTCACATTCACACGGACAAGGTTGCAAAGTTGTTTTCCTGCTCCTGAAAGTTGTAAAACGTCAAATTTTGTGAAAAATCTCGATTTAGATTTTTGCACAATTACAATACATCCTTTATATTCCGTATACGATAAGGTAGGCAGGTGTAAAACGGCGAAAACTGTCAAGACATCTGTTAAGTTTTTATGCAGTAAGATTACAATACTTCGTGTATGGCAGAAGCGTAGCGACCCTTCCCGGTGCCCGGGGACAAACTTTCGATTTGCACCTCCCTCAGACTTTCGACTTGCACCCCCCTCATACTTTCGATTTGCACCCCCCCCCCCCCCCTTAAACTTTCGATTTGCACCCCCTTCAAGCTTTCAATTTATTTTTCCAACCCATTTTGGCGCCCCCTAAGGACGCCGCCCGGGGACATATATCGTCGTCGTCCCCCCCCCCCCCTCGCTACGCCTCTGGTGTATGGGCCTTAATCGTAATTGTATACAGAGGAAAAAAAATCCACCGTTAACTAAGGGAGGAAACCAATATAATAATAACAATGTGTATTACTGTAAGAGTTATAAGCCTTTTTCTAGTAGCTCTAGTTAATATTTTCTCTATAAGTATGCCTACTTAGTATTGTACGATCTATTTCAGACCACCCCACCAATTCCTTAAAAGACAGCACACTTAATAACCCAGCTTATTTAGTTGTTTTTTTTTTAATACAAAAATTGCTACATTATACTTTCTTTACCCCAATCCGTTTCGTCAGACACTTTTAAGAAAACCGGTCCAACCCATCCTCCCCCCCCCCCCAAGTGTGACATGTAATGTATGACTCCTTAAATAACGTTGCTTTATACAAATATATTGCACAATATAACAAAATAAACCACAGTTTTATAATTGTTGTAATAATAATAATAATAAGATCAGTGCCAATTTTCTAAACACAACCCAAAAGTTGTCGTTTTTTTTTTGGGGGGGGGGAGGGTTTAATGCTTAGGCCTAATTATCAAGTTGGCTTAATAATGTCCGTATCACAACAACTGATACTTATGAGCAAAAATTAACAGGGTTTTTTTCACACTTATAAGTAAAATGTAAGGGAAATTAGTTTTTTATGTTATTGTTTTTTTGCGGTTTCGTATGCGTAATAGGGCCTAGTGAAATTCGCCACTAGGCTTATTCTACCAAAATACTAAACTTATAACACGAAACGCAACTTAAAAAATAGACTACATTGATTTTCTTCCTTTCAAAATTACATTAAAAAATTTTAAGTGATTGTTAACAGAAATATTTACTTGTAATCTATTACAATTATAATTGTATCTAAATCTAGATCTATTTATTATTAATACAAATAAAAGTCAATTGGCCTAAAAAAAAAAAAAGTTTCCTTATTCGCGTTTAACTTTTTGTTTGCGGCAAATCAAAACATGGCGGGTGAGTTATCTTCGTTTGTTTTGTTATCTGCATTAATAAATAAAAGGAACTATTCATACATTTGAGTGTGACAAAAATTCTTTTAATTGTCAGTTTATTGTGTAAAATACGATGTCCACGGGTTTTATGTACATTCTTGATTTAGATATAGAATTTCTCACAACAATATCAATGGCAATATTGTAGTGGTCCTCTGAATCAGAGTCTGATGACTGATTGATGCTGATTCTGAATGAGGCTAAAAAAAATCTTTTAGAAACCGGTATCCGACAATGGAATCTTCTTTAAAAAAAGGAGTGTTTTACTGGTAGTTAACTAAAACAACACATGACTGGCTAATGTCAAAGCTAATCCACTGTCACTGTCCCTTAACCGCCCTCCTAACTAACCCAAACCCTGTTCCTACCATCATACACTCAGCACACTGATCTGATACACTCAAATACACTGGCATACACCATGGCATACATACACCTAACACTAATCCAATTTCTAACCATAAAATTAGTCAAGATTACAATATTACTAACAAACAACCCAACACACCTATTTTATGGAAGATGCTTTTATCGGACATCAGTATCTAAAATCATCCAAGCGTTACAACGGCTTATTAGGCCCTACTTATTAGTTTTATTAGTACTAATTAAATCAAGAATTTTATCCAGATTTAGATTATAGGCCTAGATCTATATAAAATATAATATATATATATATAGATCTATATTTATTATATATATAGATCACAGGCTTTGTTGGCCTAACTAATGTGATGTTTTGAGGGGTAGATTCTAGATCTAGCAGTTTTTATCTAGATCTAGGACCTAGATTATTCTAGATCTAGGCCCTAGGTATTTGTTAAATCTAGAATGTAGACTAGAGATAGTTAAGAACTTAAGAGTAGTGTTACTAAATTAGTAACTCATACTTCATACTCAACCAATAGGGAGGCTACTTCTTCCTAGATCTAGCTAAAAATAAGGATTTTGTTTTAAATTCATGAAGATATGTCTGTAATGATAAGTTTATTTAATCTTATTTATAGACCTAACTCTAGCCAGAAAGAATGAACTGGAAGAATTTAAGAGTGATGCAAATGACGTCTTAAAGTTTAAGCTGGGTAAATATTATAAGATAAAATTTAAAGTGTCGTTGCTGTTTACTTATGTGGTACTTATGCATTACATTACTGTTGTACTAAACACATTTTTATTATTTAGTTTTAGCTGGAAGATTTTGGTATTAACCATAAGTCTAGGTTCTCATCTTACACAATATTAATTTTTTTATACCTACAGTTAGAAAACCAGAGGACATAGAAGATGAAAGTAAAAGCTTTGGGCCAGATATGTCACATCAAATCTTTGGAGATGCGTAAGTCAATGTGAAACACCAATGTGAAACACCAGTTAAAATTGAATTTCTAACATAATTGAATTAATTGCAAAAGCGTGTCATTTATCTTCTTCTCCCCCCCCCCCCCCCCCCCCCCCCCCTTGTAACTTATTTTGGCAATATATCATTCAAATAATAAATTGTAAGTAAGTATTGTACACATAGTTTTTTATTTAATAAACAAATAGATCTGGATTAACCATAAAAACACATTTATACCATCCATACTACCCGCACTTTGTTACAGCTATTGGCAACAGCACATTTAAGTAGCTTTAGTATTTTGAGCATCATTTTATGTAGCCACACTCTCGTGTATAATTAACCGTGTGTGTAAAACATAAAGTTAAGAACATCCCCTCACTTACAAACACAAATACCTCAGATAGCAATTATAAGCAAGCAATTTATTTCTCTGGCTATTTTAAATTATTTTTGTTAAGTAATAAATGTATCAAACATACTACTTTTTATGTTCTCACATTTTCAGGGAAATAATTTTCGGCTACAAAAATCTGAAAGTGTTGTTATATTACACAGCAGCCAAGCTAATACCTTACTTTCAGATTTCATTCAGTGAAAAGTGCAATGTGAAAAAATCTGGTGTACCTGTAAGTACTTAAGTAGCAGACTTGTTTTAGAAGTTTACAAAGCACTTAATAATTGTACATACAGATGATCCACCAAATGTCTTCATAATCTACTTCCTCACCAGTTTTTGTATGTTTTCCTCAGCCTGATAATGTTGAGAAAATTATGGCAGCTGAATTGCCACCAAAATATTTGACAAACCTAGACACATTCCGAGCTGCTTTGGAGGAAGAAGACAAGTTTGAGCCTTTTGGGCAAATGATTGATGCATACACACTAAAAACAAGTTAGTATGTTGCTTGTTTACATTAGCCTAATTTTTACTAAACTGTATTTGGTGTAGTAATAAAGCCTGAACTAGAGTTTATTTCCTTCACTAACACAAACATTTAAGAATTTTCCTGCATTTTGATTGGTTTATTTTCCCTATCACTTATCTATGCTATTTAGAGCTGGGAGTGTGAAGTTAAATTCCAAATTAAGAATTTTGTTTAGTTAGGAGTCACATACATTATTTTGCATGAGAAACCACTAGAATTTTCTTTTGCCTGCAGTTCTGTGTATCCTTATAGGGTCAATCATAAACACATCCAACTTTTGAAAACTAATTCTTCCCCTCTATCATCACAAAAAGCTAATTTCTCCCTTTCCCCCCTCCCCACACCACACACTCTTGCATCATTACACCAAAAAGCTGATTCTTCCCTACCCCCACCCTCTAAAATGAAGTTACATCTAAGCCTCTCAAAATTGCTATTTTTTTAATTACTTTCTTGATCAGCCTTGAATATATTGATCAATTTTTATTGCAATTTACAAAAAAATGTGTTTTTACAATTCCAAATGTTAGCTAAAATTAAGCTTCTGACATTGCTAGTTAAAAAGCAAAAGAATAAAATCATTTATGGACTAGCAAATTATAAAAGTAATGTTTATTTTAAGGGTCAAGGATAATAATTTTCAACTTTCATATAAAGTTTAATACTAAGCACAACCTCCAACAGTACTACTCTAAATATATATATACTTTTATGTATCACCTTTTATAACCCAAAATATTAATTTTTTAGGAGGTGGTGAAGAAAAGCAATTTGAGGTCTATTTTGTGAAGATAGAGGAGCCCGGATTTAGAGAGTATCATGCTCGTCTTCAGTCGTTCATCAAGTTTTATATTGATGCTGCATCGTACATTGATGTTGATGATGAACAGTGGGATTATTTCGTTTTGTATGTTTACTTTTAATTCTTTTATTTAATTTGTTAAGTTGTTGGTATGATATACTTTTCTTTTATTATATTAGATCTCAAAGATACAGTACTTTTTATTTACCAGCAAAAAAATATTTGTTGATCACATATTTTTAAATATTTAGATAGGATAAACATAAGATATGATACACAAAGTGAAATGAAAATTTTGTTCTTTAGATTTGAAAAATACAAAGAAGACGGCAGACAGAAATATGCGGTGGCAGGATACATGACAGTCTTTAACTTTTATGCTTACCCATCCAGGATTCGACCCAGAATAAGGTAAGTGTGCTGGTAAATTTTTAGATCCGTTGTAAGTTTAGAGTGTTTTGTCATAGAACAGCAATGTAAACAGAAAGTGATATTTCAACGCCAAGGGTAGACAAAGGTACAGAATATAGTCCAAGTAAAGACAGAACAGTTTAAACCCAACGGGATTTGAACCTACCAATTCACGCTGCACCAAATCGCCTCGCCCTCCATGCATCAAGTCAGATGTGCAAACACTTCTTTCAATTAGCTCTGCAAAAATAGAGCTTTCATGGCAGACCACTATCACAGCTTGTTCATGGAGGACGTGGGCTAGCTTGAATTCAAATCCCGAAGGGTCTAACCGCTCGCCTCATAAACACAACAACGACCATTATTTGACCAGACAAGCAACACATAAATACAGGCATGATGATACAAACAAATTGTAGCTTCCTTAAATGGGTTATAGAACATAATATTCTAAAGAAATAACCCTGAACATTACAGCTGTACTGTCTGAAACTTCCTTGTCTGTAGGACCAGCTGTTTTGTGGCAAGAGGAGACAAATTTTTATCGCATAACTCATTGTCTTGTAAAAAATATAAATGAATGCAATGTATTTCTGATTTGGTTGATTTTGATTCAAACCTGTTGACTTTGATTTTAAAAAATCAATTATTTTTATTTTTTGTCACACTGTAGATAGATTTTTAATAACTTTTTCTTTAAAATTAAATATTTATGAAAATTCTTGCTTGCTCAAGATTTTACTATTCATATTCTTAATTTAAATAAACACTACCATAAAACTTCTAGGTAATTTGAAGTAACTTCTTCCCAAGGAGTTGTAAAGTGCACCCAGTATAGATTAGTTTTACATTAACTTGAGTATTCTCAACAGTCAGGTACTAGTGCTTCCCCCTTTTCAAAAGATGGGACTCTGTGCCAAGCTGATTCAAACTTTCTACAACATGTGTTATAGCAAGCCAGAGATACTTGATATTACAGGTAGGAGATTTACAACTACCTTAAACAGGTTGATAGTAAATTTTGTTTTACCTTTAAAATTTGTACAAGTAGTAATTACATGATTCCCACTTAGAAATTATGCACTTAATATATATGTTTTGTGATCGGAAAAGATAAAAATGCCTTGTATGTTATACATAAGATGAAACTGAAGCAACATGCTACCTGCATAATTTTTTTTTGTAAATAAGTCTCAAGATAGGTTTGCAATAAAAATGTTTTTTGATGAGTTTCAATACCTCACCAGTTGAGGACCCCTCAGAGAACTTCCAGAGAGTCAGAGACTATGTGGACGCCAAAAACTGTCAGAAGCTGAAGAGTTTCCAAGCTGGGGAGCTGCTTAAAGGGTTCTCACACGAGATGGTCCACGAAGCCCAAACCAAACTCAAGTTGAGCAAGGTAATGTTGACCGTAATGAGCATATTCATCATTGCAGGCATGGGGTAAAATAGACAGATATGTTATTTTTAAAAAATTATAATGTAAATGGGGCTTTTATTTAAAATTTTACTCTATTTTAAACGTTATTAGTTTCATTAAAAGAATCAATTGAGAAAAGAGAAAATGTATTCTTGGTGTCATCCGTTTATGATATCCACAGTGTTGAGGAGGGGGTCTTGAAATATTTACATTTTTTGGCTAGTGTGGGTTCAGGCCTATGTAAATGCACATTTTAAATGTAACATCAAAATAGTTACATGCAATATAGACGTAATATGCAAAGAAATAATTAACCTGTAAACAAGATGTATACATTTACACAGCACTGCCCTTCTTTTAAAATAAACCCTGCTTGGCAGGTAACTAAATGGAGGGACCTCTGCTATGAGTGTTAAATGAATATAGAATGTGGTATTGAACCAGACATGGTTTAATATCTTATAATGCTGCAATCAAATATATATTTTTTTTTAAATTTCCATTTAAAAATAAGATTAATACTGTCCAATAGATTTTGGTTGATATTGGGGAACATTAAAATAAAGCAAATGCTCATCATGTATTTATATTCAAAATATTTTATTCCTATTTTATTAAGCAGCTCATTCTAGAATAAACTTGTAAATCAATTTTTAACATTGCAGTGATCACACATACATTTTCCTGAATTTGTGTATTGAAAGGGGATGGGGAGGGATTAAAACTCCAATTTTTTTGTGGACTTAATAAATGGAGATAATTTGTTTGTAATTAGATTAATTATTGCATTTTAATTAGTGCTTTTAATTACCTCACTAAAAAATCTTAGCAATCGTACATTGGTTTCAGTGCAAATTTGTTTAGATTGTTTGTGTTTATACTTTCATAATACAACTGTGTAATCTTATTTATACTCTTTTAATGAGATAATTTTGTTCCATCCTTACAACAGCTGCAGGCTAGAAGGGTGTATGAGATCTTGAGGCTCAAGGCAACAGACCAGAGTAACAAGGACATGTTCAGGGCGTACAGGCTGGACGTCAAGAGACGCCTCAACATTCCTTTCTTGGTAAACTCACTGGCTTTTTTTATTTCTTACTAATCAGAAATGTGCTGGTACTTGTAAGTAGGGTTAATTAAACACCTCAGCATCTTATGTGATATATACAACAATCGTTTGTGTCAGCACTGGATTATTTTATTCCTCGCTTATCAGAAATTTGTGGTAAACACCTCATCACGTTATGTGATAGGTACAACAATCGTTTGTGTCAGCACTGGCTTATTTTATTTCTCATTTTTTTCAGAAATGCACTGTTGGTTATAAGGTTATTAGTTGTCTTTGCTAAGACTTACACTGGCCTGATAAGATGTCTGACCCTTGTATTATTGAGTCACAGATAATTATAGATACCTTTGCCAAAAATATTTTGAAATTGCAGTTATATTTGTCATTGAGACCCCTTGAAATCCATCGGATACTCTGGTAGTTTGAGTAGAGTTTATGTGAAGATCTTGTTTGAAAAGACTAGGAAGGGCAATATGCAGACACAAAATAAATTCCATATTTGACATCAAGTACTCATCAAACTGGCATGGACTCATTAGTCAAATACGGGCCCCATCAAGTATCAAAAATATTTAAATGTTTTCTATAATGTTCCTCAGAAAAACCGCAGAACTTACCAGAAACTGGAGAAGAGTCTCAATGCAGAGGAGTTAACCCAGACTTTAGGGATGATGAAAAACGAACAAAAATTTCAGTACCTAGAGAACAATTTTCAGGAGGATTTATCAGCCTACAAACATGTTCTGGACAGACTTGCCACACTGCAATAATTTATTTTTTGGTCTCAATGCGGGTATAAAATTCTTCGTTCTGATTAGGAAATCACTACACAGTGACTTTTTTTAGATTGTTTTCCATCACATCTAAGTTTTTCTTCTGTGTGAAGAATCTAATTATTTGATCAATAATTGAAAGAACAAGTAAATTTATTTATACACAGCTTTTAAGTGTATTGAAAATATTTCTTTGAAAGGATCTCTTATTATAAATACTAACCAATTATTACAGCTATGTTTTATATTTGTTCTATTATAAATTTGGATAGCCATATTTGTTGCAGTATTTATAACTTTTACAATGAAATGTTGAAAGCTTGATACGGGCATTAATTAGCTGCTTCTCATACACAGTGAAGTGAATAGTTTGTGGTTGTGTTCAGTGCACTGTTGATAGGTTGAACTTGTGTGTTGATTGTTGTGTTGTCCATGTTGGATCAACAGTTGTTGTGTAGCTGATGCTGAGTGAACTTGTTGATAATAGTTGTAAATACAATAAATCCATTGGATGGTGATGTCTGGTTTTGTTGCATTCTTTTCTTAATCAATTTATAGGAAAAATTTTAATATGAAAATGAGTAGGCCTACATATTGTAAAAGTAACTCATTTGATCCTGATGTTTCATGGTGCAGATGAAGTAGAGTTCACTAATTTCTGCATGTGAAGGGATAGTGTGGTCAGTGTTATGCCTAGCCACCTTTACTTTCTCTGATGCGGATCAGGTACCCATCATAGCTGAATGGGCTCAGGGATATCCTTCACTCAAGCCCAGTAGCCGAACTCTAGAGTTTAGGTTTAGCAGTCATACACTCTACTAACCGACCACATTGTTCCAAGCTTTGACTTGTAGTGTTGAAGCGTTATTTGTCTGCAGTAATGGTTTTGTTCAGCTATTTCAAAATGTGCACTTATAAAAAAAGATGTATTAAGTTGGATTTTCTTTTATCATAGTCTTAGTGAAAATAATGTAGGTGGTATCCAGTACAGAATTTTGTACTGTCATTTAGTTAGCACAATCACACTAGAAGTTGAAAAATAGGTTTGAAAAATAATGTAGCACGAACCCTTTATTTAGGTGCTGGCAAATATATTTATTAAATAGTGCATATACATTTAAAAGAAAGATAAAATATGGTAATTTTTTGTCGATAACTTCATTTTTAATGTTTGCAAAATACTTGAAGTTTGTGTCAACATGCTATAAAAAGAATCTAGGACATTATTTACTTTATCATTTATGGCTTGAAAAACAAGATGGACGAAAATAACTAAAATCTTGAAGAATTTTTTTTTTTTAATATCCCAAAACAATTTTCATCTGTAACTGCAGATGTAACTTTTTTTTTTATTAAAATGACCTGTTAAAATAATTGCATAGAACAATTCAACATTGAATATTTATTTGCAATAGTGAATTAAACAAAATCTTGACAGAATGATGTATGGTTTACAGTAAAATTAAAATGAAACCACAAATCATGTAAAAATGAAATTGAGCAAATAAAAAGAAACAGCTCAAATATAAGTGAGCAGCTTAAAAAGAAGCTTTTTTTTTTTGGAATTTAAAATGGCCAAGACAAATAAGCAAATAAAAATGAACGTGAGCCCTTGATAAAGAAAGTCGATTTAAAACGTATAAAGTAAAAGTGCAGGATATTAATCATGATTAATATATTTCTTCAATATATTAATGTAGAATCCAATCACATGGAATAATAATGAACCACTGTGGCTCTAAATGGTGTATAACTAAGCTGGAAGAGTCCATTCTTTATTTTGGGGGTGGCGCGTTGTACAGCTTGAGCCTGTACAAGAGATTGGTGAACTGACCCAGATCTATGACGCCATTTTCCCCACACGTGGTTGAAATGAAAAACTCCACTTCCTTCTCCGCTAGTTGTCGGCCGGTCGCAGTTTTGATTTCACGGAGTCCAATTCTGGCCTCTTCCGGGTCAAGTTGACCACTTCCGTCTTTGTCCAGTTCTTTGAATTTGTTTACGATTTCTTGAGCACTGTAATTTATTTTTGCGGTAATTAATTTTTGTCTTACGATGAACATTTTAAAGTAACGAGGTAGTCTTATGTTAATGAGATATGGAAGCCATTGCTAGCCAACCTAAGACCTCTGCACGACCCATCTAGATTTTCCATTACTTGTTACAGTCTGAGTTTCTTCCAGGCATCTCTTCGGGGGGGGGGGGGGGGGCGGAAAAAAAGTCTACCGCCCCACGAATGGAATTTATATAGAAATTTTTTTTACCCAGTGTCCACCCCCGGAAAATGTTGTCCGTCCCCCGAAATTATCAAGTGCCCCCCCCCCCCTCCGAAGAAAAATGTCTGGAAGAAACATTGGTTACAATACGTGGGCGACTTTCCGTTTGGGCATTTATCTGTGTGTGCTAATTTTTATTTGCGCATTTATTTACTTGCACAATCATCTGTTTGAGCTAATTTCTCTGTGTGTGTGTGTTGTTGTTTTTTTATGGAATATTTGGTCATGCGTTTTTTCATTACGCATTTTTTCTGGGAACCCTTTGAATGATGTATATAGAGTCAACATTATTTTTGCTACTCTAACTCTGGCAGAGTTTCTTCCAGGCATCTCTTCGGGGGGGGGGGGGGGGGGGGACTGCTGAAAGTGAAAGTTGTGTGGTATTTTCTTCAACTCCTTCGTTTGTCTGAAAATGTTCAACATTTTTACCGAGACGATTCCTTTCAAAGGCTTGAATCAGATATTTGATGTTCCAAAAGACGGCGGATTCTAATAACCCATTGAGAAAGGCATTAAGCGATTTCTAGTAAGACTAAATACTTACTGCTGGTCAGAGGTGTAGCGAGGGGGGGTACATATGCCCCCGGGCGCCGACCCTAGGGGGCGCCAAAATGGGTTGGAAAAAAAAATAAAAGCTCATTTTAGCTGCAGTTTTGCATTATAAATAATAAAAAAAATATGGGGGGAGGCGCCAAATTGAAAGTTTGTACCCGGGGGGGGGGGCCTAATTGAACGTTTGTCCCCGGGCGCCGGGAAGGCTCGCTACGCCTCTGCTGCTGGTCAATGAAAAAGACTAAATACTTACTGCTGGTCAATGAAACAGTGTCTAGTTAGACTAAATTCTAAATACTTACTGCTGGTCAATGAAACAGTGTCTAGTAAGGCTAAATACTTACTGCTGGTCAATGAAACAGTGTCTAGTAAGACTAAATACTTACTGCTGGTCAATGAAACAGTGTCTAGTAAGGCTAAATACTTACTGCTGGTCAATGAAACAGTGTCTAGTAGGACTAAATACTTACTGCTGGTCAATGAAACAGTGTCTAGTGAGACTAAATACTTACTGCTGGTCAATGAAACAGTGTCTAGTAAGACTAAATACTTACTGCTGGTCAATGAAACAGTGTCTAGTTAGACTAAATACTTACTGCTGGTCAATGAAACAGTGTCTAGTTAGACTAAATACTTACTGCTGGTCAATGAAACAGTGTCTAGTAAGACTAAATACTTACTGCTGGTCAATGAAACAGTGTCTAGTTAGACTAAATAGTTACTGCTGGTCAATGAAACAGTGTCTAGTTAGACTAAATACTTACTGCTGGTCAATGAAATAGTGTCTAGTAAGACTAAATACTAAATACTTACTGCTGGTCAATGAAACAGTGTCTAGATCTAGTAAGACTAAATACTTACTGCTGGTCAATGAAACAGGTAAGACTAAATACTTACTGCTGGTCAATGAAACAGTGTCTAGTTAGACTAAATACTTACTGCTGGTCAATGAAACAGTGTCTAGTTAGACTAAATACTTACTGCTGGTCAATGAAACAGTGTCTAGTAAGACTAAATACTTACTGCTGGTCAATGAAACAGTGTCTAGTTAGACTAAATAGTTACTGCTGGTCAATGAAACAGTGTCTAGTTAGACTAAATACTTACTGCTGGTCAATGAAATAGTGTCTAGTAAGACTAAATACTAAATACTTACTGCTGGTCAATGAAACAGTGTCTAGATCTAGTAAGACTAAATACTTACTGCTGGTCAATGAAACAGGTAAGACTAAATACTTACTGCTGGTCAATGAAACAGTGTCTAGTTAGACTAAATACTTACTGCTGGTCAATGAAACAGTGTCTAGTTAGACTAAATACTTACTGCTGGTCAATGAAACAGTGTCTAGTTAGACTAAATACTTACTGCTGGTCAATGAAACAGTGTCTAGTTAGACTAAATACTTACTGCTGGTCAACGAAACAATGTCTAGTCAGACTAAACACTTACTGCTGGTCAATGAAACAGTGTCTAGTTAGACTAAATACTTACTGCTGGTCAATGAAACAGTGTCTAGTTAGACTAAATACTTACTGCTGGTCAATGAAACAGTGTCTAGTTAAACTAAATACTTACTGCTGGTCAATGAAACAGTGTCTAGTTAGACTAAATACTTACTGCTGGTCAATGAAACAGTGTCTAGTTAGACTAAATACTTACTGCTGGTCAATGAAACAGTGTCTAGTTAGACTAAATACTTACTGCTGGTCAATGAAACAGTGTCTAGTTAAACTAAACACTTACTGCTGATCAATGAAACAGTGTCTAGTTAGACTAAATACTTACTGCTGGTCAATGAAACAGTGTCTAGTAAGACTAAATACTTACTGCTGGTCAATGAAACAGTGTCTAGTTAGACTAAATACTTACTGCTGGTCAATGAAACAGTGTCTAGTTAGACTAAATACTTACTGCTGGTCAATGAAACAGTGTCTAGTTAGACTAAATACTTACTGCTCGCCCATGCAAACACAAAACTGCTGGAACTCCCAGATGCTGAGTTTGCCATTTTTGTCTTTATCGAACGTGTTGAACATCACTTCAGCTTCCTGGTCGTCCAGCCCAAACTCGGCCTGCAGAAGTCAACGTGTTGCATCATTCGATTCGATGATGATTTGAACAGAATAAAATTTGGGCTATGTGACCCAAAAACTATGCTGGATTAATGCGTTACGTATCTTAATTTAAAGTATGAAGATATTTTCTTTATCGTATGATGGGGTTTGTTGATAATTTATTTTTAAATGCACATATTATAGCATGCATTTGAAAGCCACTGTCTCAGTTTGTTGCTCCCCATTCCGTCTCCACCACAACCCCCCCCCCCCCCCCCAACCCCCACCATTTCTACCTCTACAACTCCTCATTTCTTTATGTTTTTTTTCTGAGGCGCTTGTTCTACAAAATTTCAAACAATTCTTAAAGTACGCCTACATTTTCATCACACTTGCTAATATAATTTACATGGAAATATTTTATTTGTAGGCTCTTTGCGATTTACTCGAAAAATGTGGTTAAAGTATAATTTGTGTTAAGCATGAATGTTGTACAAGATCTTGGGAAACTCATCTCCAATCCCAGTGAAATCTCTTTCTCGTTCTTTTATTTCATCAACAAATGTTTAATTCCTTTGAAACTCAAAGCAACGCACTTCATTGCATTTAAGTTTTTATATATTACATTTATTATGCATGTATACTGACACTTCAACGAAATTCCTTGCCTACCAGAGTTACAAATACAAAGGTAACGTTAAAAAAGCGACCGTTAAAAATAGAATTCTTTATATAAAAAACAAACAAGAAACATGATAGGAAATGTCAAGTGCGCATGCGTCAACTGACCTTTAACATGCCCACCGCGTGAGGTTTACTCAGCACTCTGACGTTGTTGGCCGTGTACTTTTCGAACATCTTCATAATGTGGTCGCTGTAATAGAACATCACAATTTATTGAACATCTTCATTATGTGGTCACTATAATAAAACATCACAATTTAATTGAACATCTTCATAATGTGGTCACTGTAATAGAGCATCACAATTTATTGAACATCTTCATAATATGGTCACTGTAATAGAACATCACAATTTATTGAACATCTTCATAATGTGGTCACTACATCAAAACATCACAATTTATTGAACATCTTTGTGATGTGGTAACTTAAACGAAACATCACAATTTATTGCACATTTTCATTATATTGTCTATATTAATAAACATCACAATTTATTGAACATCTTTGTAATGTGGTTACTTAAACAAAATATCACAATTGATTGAACATCTTCATTATAATTATGTTCACTGTTAATAAAACCACAATGTATTTGAACATCTTCATAATGTGGCCGCTATAACTAAAACATCACAATTTATTGAACATCTTAATAATATTGTTAATGCAATAGAGTAACACAACAATTTACCGTAGGCGCAGACATTTACTACTACTAAAAGACTTTGGACCTGTTAGCGGGTTATGTTGATGTTAGTTAATCTACTGCCTTGATTACATGATGTAGCTATACATTTCAATGTTCTGTGATATCAGCAGTGTTTCTTCCAGACTTATTTCTCAGGGGGGGGGGGCATTTGAAATTTTCGACGGAATAAAATTTCTTGGGGGGGGGGAGGCAGACACTGTTTAAAGTATATATTTTCTATATAAATTATATTTCGTTCGGGGAGGGGGGGGGGGCGGTAGACGAAGAGATGCCTGGAAGAAACTTTGGATAGTAGTGCTACTTTAAGACTTGGGAGTTTCGGTTCTCTAAGCCTACCGTAGGTTTTTTTTAGGTATTGAACTATGAGACAGCCTAAGTTAAGGGCTGCACTAGGCTTTTGGAACTAATGACGAGTTGGGATGCGAATATGCAGGTAAAAATCAACTAGAAATTATAAATCAGATGGGGGTTGATTGCATAAGGGGTTGAAAGGTTTGGTGGGATCAGAGGCTAAACTAGGGATGATTGGGGGGAGGGGGTTGGGGGGGGGGGGGGCGCAATCCCTTAGCGATCACCAAAAAGATGTGAAAAAAAGCTAAAGAACTCCGTTTTGAGCTTAACTGTTAAATTATACACAGTTTAAAAAAGTTAAATTATACACAGTTAAAGTCAAGAAAAGAGACACTCTTCATCGGTTGTTAAACAACAAAATAAAAACATACAGTCAGTGAACGGTAAAATTAAAGCCCTTTTTTGCCAACTTAAATTAGGTTGTTGCACGTAGTTTTTAAACTCCACTAATTTCAAATAAAATTATACCAGAAAAAAAAAACAGGATTTTTTCCCCATCACATGGATACCAATGTTGTGTCTCTAGCTTCATTAGGAGATAAGATATGGCCTTTTAAACAGCTTAGACCCGAGTAATTCAAGAAGTTAAATCGGAAGGATTTGTAAGACTAAGAAACGTAACATTGGACACATTTTTAAAAATAAAAGTTACTTGTGCCTGAAGGGAACTTTGTGTCTGTTAAAAAATGCGTAACTTCTCATTTTTGCTGTAGCTGTTGCTGTGCTGACCAAACTATCCCTTCACATGCCGAGGTCACTGAAACAGGTGAACTCTACCTCACCTTCCCCACGGACCGTTAAATAAAGTTGAATTAAAATAAAAGACTGGCGATCCTTGTAGCCAGAGTTTCTTCCAGGCATCTACCCCCCCCCCCGAACGAAATGGAATTTATATTGAAAATATATACTTTTAACAGTGTTTCCCCCCTCCCCCCCCCCCCCCCCCCCTGGAGAAAAAAGTCTGGAAGAAACACTGCTTGTAGCTGGAAAAGGGGACAGACTTAAGCGTCAATAAATGCAAGTCTATCGGTACATCCTACAGATACACTATTCTTACGTAATTATGGTAATTAAATTTTTGTATCAGTGGATTCCCTTTTAAAAATAAGTGAACGCAAATCGGAATCTCTTTCACAATAAGCCATTTCCGCCTGTTTATTTTCTCAAGACTGACCTTTTGACCCACACAGGAAGTGGGTCAGCCAGTGGGTTACCTGGTCTGATCGCTTGCCAGATAAAGTTTCCATTAGAAGAATATTTTGACGCAAATGCCTCTTAACATCTCGTTTGTTTTTTGTTTAGCAAATATAAAAGCCAATTGAAGATTCAGAATCTCGTGTGGTTGTGGGTGGTTTTTTTTTTTTTTTTTTTTTTTTTTGTGCTCCAACGGATGAAAAGTTTTGTATATTTATGTGTATTTGTTTTAAAGAGGGGAGAGAATCATGGCAAAATATTTTTTTTAAATGGCCAGGTATAGTTCGGTGTAGAATTTTATTAGATTTTTAAGGATGGAATTGTGGGAAAAAAGGGCGGGGTTGGGGGGTGAGAGGAAGTTGAGGTACAACATGTCTTGCCAACATACGTAAGGAAATACTCATCTCCTTGACAGATTATTTATATTTTGTAAAAGCTCATTTTATTTTTCTACAACTACAGCTACTCAACGTTTAATTCATCATGTTTGACAGAATCTGTAATTGGATTAATTAGTCATGTTTACGTTAGCTTTCATACGATATATACTGTTGTTTGTTGTTATTATTGTGGGTCGTCCATGTCAGAGTTTCTTCCAGGCATCTCATCATCCCCCCTCCCCCCGAAGCAAGTCTACCGCCCCCCCCCCCCCACGAAATGGAATTCATATAGAAAACATATACTTTTACTAGTGTCCGCCCCCCCCCCCCCGGAAAATGTTGTGTGTCCCCCCCCCCCCCCCCCGAAAATATCAAGTGCCGCCCCCCCCCCCTACCCCGGAGAAAAAAGTCTTGAAGAAACACTGGTTCATATGGGACGTCAAACTTTCCGACATTGTATGATTGTTTGGCGAGGTGGTGGGGGTATGATTGTTTGGCGAGGTGGTGGGGGTATGATTGTTTGGCGAGGTGGTGGGGGTGGGTGGGGGAAAAATTGAAAAATAAGCATGGCGTCAATTATGTACAACCCCCTATAATTAAGGTAATTTATTATTATTCTCGTTGTTATTACTAAATATACCATTAAATATTTCAGTAATACAACAATTATAATCCTCCCCCACCACCCCCTTATTATCTGATTTGCGAATATTAAACCCTAATGTCTTATGCTAACACTGAACTTGTTCCAATTTAATTTTTGTGTTTTCAAAATATTTTTTATTTGTTTGTTTATTTTTTAATTATATGTATTTATTTTAGAATTTTTTTTAAAAAGTATATAGATAAAGCATTAATTATAAAGTGATCCTCTTACCCCCCCCCCCCTTCAATGCATAAAATTGTATACAAGAAATCCCTATTTATAAATATATATGACTAAATTTAGCCTACACACTCTCTAATGTTTAAGATAGTGTTGTAAAGGATATACTTACGGAACTTTGCGATTCATGTTGAACCAAAATCTTTCTTGAGTACGATTTTAAGTGAAATGAAATGGTTAACTCTATGGGTGATGTCGGTAGTTGTTCACTGTTGTTGCTGAAACTCAAACAACTCAATGAATTAGGTGATATGGTGGAGGGGGGGGGGGGGGGGGGGGGGTACTGTAGGAAAGTGCAAGTGTGACAAGTATAAAGCATTGAAATCTATGTACCTGTAAAGAATAACGGTCCCTAACCTAAATAACTCTAGCCCTAATATTGGCCTTTGTGTGCACATTGTCCGGCCAATGTGCGTATTAGACGACTTCGGGCTTTGACATTTAATAAACACACACACACACGCATACACACGCACACACACACACGCATATATATATATATATATATATATATATATATATATATATATATTGTTTTTTTTTTTTTCAAAATCCAAGTACTTTGCTTTGCAGTGAGCTTAGCTGAGCACATCTCCTATAGAACACTGTATGGTTGGCTGGTCACAAGTAAAATGTTACACTGATGCGTTAAGCGCACCTAGTAAACTACGACTAGCGTGCTGAGATCTACAGATCATAGACGCACGGGGAGGAAGGTACCTAAGCCATATGGTAATAATCATCCCATGGTGAATGTAATAAAAGACGTATAAAAAATTTAAAACAATCTGAAATAATACCCAGATATACGCGTAGATTTTGGATTAGATCAGGTTTTTAGTAGTCGCACAGTTACACTTTACATCGATTGATTGATGTATTTCAAAAGTAAAAAAAATAGTGTCATGCTTCTTCTTCAAACACATTGTTGTGTGCTGACGAAGGCTTGTGGTAGAAAAGTCTAATCTCCTTAATTAATAGTGATGTTACTAAATCTGATCTGATTTTTAATTAGCATGTGCGATATCTGTATTGATTGTTTTAGCTTATACCAAAATGTAAACCATATTTAACCTAACTTAGCTCTGTTTAGTACAGCTAAGTCAATCGCACGGAAGTCGAGCCTTATAAATTACAATAACCCTCCTCCTCCCAACAAAAACAAACAGCACACTGCCAGGATGTCATTTCGCTAAATGTAAGCAGCTTTTCTTTTAAATTCTTGACATGATTTTGTCCGTCAGTTCTCTCCCCTACTGCTTGTGTTATCTAACACCTTGCCAGATTTTTGTGCGAGTTTCTGCCACGTTTATTGCGTTGTCTTGAACGAAGCGTAGTTTGAATCAACATTTTTTATCACGATGATAGGCTGCACTTTTACATTTTATATCACACCATGAATCAGTGGTGATTGGTTGAGTGGTGGTCTACACCTCTATATAACATTTAATTATGGGTAAAAATAAAAATAAACATTTTACACGTTAAAACTGTTTTCTTAAAAACAAATTTTATTCGCACTTATTCTGTTCGGATTTAAAAAAAAAAAAAAAAAAAAAAAACCTTTACGCTGTTGTCTCCACCGTGTATTGTTTTTACTTCAAGTAGAGATAATGTTCGGTGCTAGTAGACCCCATATGATTAAAATAGACACACACTAATTCATTCGCCAACATGATAGCTTTCCGCCTTATAAATCTACTACCCTTGTAACAACAGGCATGGCCCTTCAAAAACATATCAAACTCAGCAATAATTCAATAATAGTATAAGAATTGTAAAAATATCACATAGGTCTAGAGTGTAAAATTATTATATAAACTATTGAATTATTTACACGTGGAAGATAGGAGAATAGATGTAGTTATCACACCGTAGACATGTATATCCAATAAGATAATAGGTAAAGTTGTTGAATATTTAAAAGGATAAAAATGACTCACCTATTTATTTATTTTAAAAGTTACCCTCCGTTCACAAGAAACGTCAGAACTACACTCGACAGATCAACATGTAGGTGCGACTAGGTCTAACTCAGCACTCACTCCCTTATGCACGTGCGTGCTGTGTGTACCTGCCTCTACCTGTGTGTAGCTACCCAGGTATGAGTGAGCGATGCAACGGATTTACTGGCACCACCACAGAGTGCCGCCTCTTATCAGAAACACCACCACCTCCCCCCCCCCCCCCATGTTAAACAGTCCCACCTTTCTCTCCCCCCTGCTCCACCCAACCTCGTGTAATCTCGTGAGTTTTGGCGAGAGGTGTCTGGTTTAATCAAAGCGAAAAACCAAATTCTTAGCGTGGATACAAACAGGATTTCTCCCTGAAATGTCGACTTTAATACTTGCTATATAAATCTATGACATTTTATAAGATTAACTTCATTAAATTTTAATTCTGAGTTTCTGTTTGAACTAGTTATGAGAAACTATTAACTTTAACAGCCACACATATAAATGTAGCTCCGGATGTGTGTTTTTAAAAGAAAGGATGAACTTAATTAAAGAAAGATTAAAAAAAACTTCAGTGACAATATATTAATCTTAGCGAGGTTTGTAAAAAAAAAAAGATTAATTTAATTAATTAAGTGATAGTTTCAGATACGTTCATAGAAAAAAAAGCTCTAATAATATTGACTTTTTAAAACAACGTTATGTTTTGCTGTAATAATTAGCTCACGTGGTTGTTGTTTTTTTTTAGAGTTATCTGCCGCTGTTGTTGTTTACGTACTACACATCTGTTGATGAACGTGTTTTTTTTCGCAACGATCTTTGATCCATTTTTTTAATCTTCCAAACGTTAATTAAACACCTGAACTGTCGGTTTGTTTATACCAGAACACTTTAACTATCTGTTCTTTTATACCAGAACACTTTAACTATCTGTTCTTTTGTACCAGAACACTTTAACTGTCTGTTCTTTTTATAGCAGAACACTTTAACTGTCTGTTCTTTTGTACCAGAACACTTTAACTGTCTGTTCTTTTGTACCAGAACACTTTAACTATCTGTTCTACTATATTTTATCTGTCTGTTCTTTTATACCAGAACACTTTAACTGTCTGTTCTTTTGTACCAGAACACTTTAACTCTCTGTTCTTTTGTACCAGAACACTTTAACTATCTGTTCTACTATATTTTATCTGTCTGTTCTTTTATACCAGAACACTTTAACTGTCTGTTCTTTTGTACCAGAACACTTTAACTATCTGTTCTTTTGTACTAGAACACTTTAACTGTCTGTTCTTTTGTACCAGAACACTTTAACTGTCTGTTCTTTTTATAGCAGAACACTTTAACTGTCTGTTCTTTTGCACCAGAACACTTTAACTGTCTGTTCTTTTTATAGCAGAACACTTTAACTGTCTGTTCTTTTGTACCAGAACACTTTAACTATCTGTTCTACTATATTTTATCTGTCTGTTCTTTTATACCAGAACACTTTAACTGTCTGTTCTTTTGTACCAGAACACTTTAACTATCTGTTCTTTTGTACTAGAACACTTTAACTGTCTGTTCTTTTGTACCAGAACACTTTAACTGTCTGTTCTTTTTATAGCAGAACACTTTAACTGTCTGTTCTTTTGCACCAGAACACTTTAACTGTATGTTCTTTTTATAGCAGAACACTTTAACTGTCTGTTCTTTTGTACCAGAACACTTTAACTGTCTGTTCTTTTATACCAGAACACTTTAACTATCTGTTCTATTATAGCAGAACACTTTAACTGTCGGTACTTTTTATAGCAGAACACTTTAACTGAGCATATAAAAGTAGCCTAAGCTTGTGGATAGAGCATTCACTATGGTCATAATTGATTCAATCTGTGTTGAATCCAAGGACATCATTGGAGAAATAAAAAGTAATTTTACGCTTTGGCATACACTTTGGGAAATGGTTAAATAAAGAAATGTAAGGAAATTCTTTTCTTTTTCTTTAACCAAAGTAGGCCTATAGCGGGGGGTGTGGGGATGGGAAGGGGGGGGGGGGGGAGACTGTTCATGGTGTGAAAGACACCAACTGCAACATATACAGAGAAAAATAAGGGGGGGGGCTAACACCATGAGGTGCAGCACCGGGTGATACCCGGCCTAGCGACACCACTGGGCCAGTCCACTCCTGGTGATCAGAGTTTCTTCCATGCATCTCTTCGAGGGGCTTTGCTCCCCCCCCCCCTCCCCCGAAAAAATTCTACCCCCCCCCCCCGAACGAAATAAAATTTATATAATTTATATAGAAAATATATACTTTTAACAGTGTTCGCCCCCGCCCCCCCCCCCCGAAGAAAGTTTACCGCTCCCCCCAAAAATTTTAAGTGCCCCCCCCCCCGGAGAAAAAAGTCTGGAAGAAACACTGCTGGTGATATCTTCATATATGAGTAAAGGATAAGTGTGTATGTCTTTATATATTTTTAATCGGAGATACGTGTTGCCGTTTGGGCGTCTGGGGTTTGAGTGTGTGTGTGTGTGGGGGGGGGGTGTAGGTGGGTGTGTAGGTGTGTGTGGGGGTATTTGTAGGTAGAAAATAAAGTTAGATAATAATGACATGTGGTTCACTATTGTTTGGTCTTAGGTTGCAACTCAAGGATGGGAGTCTAAGACAGGCAATATCCGGAAAACTTAATATATATATAATAATATTTATTATACAATATCAGAGTCGGCAGTTTTGAAGTCGACTAACCATTTACCTGGTCAGACCGTCTAATTACTGACAGGTCCTAACGAAAATACTGTATTTTACCATTGAACTAAATTGTGGAAATGGATCTAACAGCCTACCATAGATTTTTTTAAAATAATTATTTTCTGAAAACATAAAAAAAAGAAACTTTTTCTAACCGCCACGTGCTATCGTTGTCTAAATCTTTCCAAGGTGCATGCAGTGATGCCGCAGACGGCTTTAATCTTCTCTACCTTTTTTTTTTAATCGTCTCTTCTTTTTTTTTTTTTTTTTCTAGTAGTGGGTGGGATCATTCAAGTGTAAGTTGGTCTTGGTCGGCACATCTGTTGGAAGGTACTTTTGTTGGACGGTAAATTTGTTGGACGGTACATTTGTTGGACGGTACATTTGTTGGACTGTAAAGTACATGTGTTGGACGGTACATTTGTTGGACGGTAAATTTGTTGGACGGTAAATTTGTTGGACGGTAAATTTGTTGGACGGTACATTTGTTGGTCGGTACATTTGTTGGTCGGTACATCTGTTGGAAGGTAAATTTGTTGGAGGTACATTGGTTGGACGGTAAATTTGTTGGACGGTACATTGGTTGGACGGTACATTTGTTGGACGGTACATTTGTTGGACGGTACATTTGTTGGACGGTACATTTGTTGGACGGTACATTTGTTGGACGGTAAATTTGTTGGAGGTACATTGGTTGGACGGTAAATTTGTTGGACGGTACATTGGTTGGACGGTACATTTGTTGGACGGTACATTTGTTGGACGGTACATTTGTTGGACGGTACATTTGTTGGACGGTACATTTGTTGGACGGTACATTTGTTGGACGGTACATTTGTTGGACGGTACATTTGTTGGACGGTACATTTGTTGGAGGGTACATTTGTTGGACGGGAAATTTGTTGGACGGTACATTTGTTGGACGATATTTAGTTGGACGGGAAATTTGTTGGACGGTACATTTGTTGGACGGTACATTTGTTGGAGGTACATTTGTTGGACGGTACATTTGTTGGACGGTACATTTGTTGGACGGTACATTTGTTGGACGATATTTAGTTGGACGGGAAATTTGTTGGACGGTAAATTTGTTGGACGGTACATTTGTTGGACGGTACATTTGTTGGACGGTACATTTGTTGGACGGTACATTTGTTGGACGGTACATTTGTTGGACGGTACATTTGTTGGACGGTACTTTTGTTGGACGATATTTAGTTGGACGGGAAATTTGTTGGACGGTACATTTGTTGGACGGTACATTTGTTGGACGGTACATTTGTTGGAGGTACATTTGTTGGACGGTACATTTGTTGGAGGTACATTTGTTGGAGGTACATTTGTTGGACGGTACATTTGTTGGACGGTACATTTGTTGGACGGTACATTTGTTGGAGTGGTAAAATCTGTGTGTGTGTGAGAGGGGGTGAGTTGGAAGCCATTTCACATGTGTGTGGAAGTTTGAGTAAAAAGCCATATTAAATGTGTGGGGGGTTCCGTCGAAAGCTATCCCACATGTTTGTGTGTGGGTGGGTGGGGGTTGAGTTAAACCCAACTCACATGTTTGTGTGTGGGTGGGCGGGGGCTGAGTTAAAAGCCATCATCTTCTAACTTCTACCACCTGGCTGCTACATCTCATTCCAATCTCATTACCTGGATTTGCTATTGTTGTTTTTAACGTAAACATCATTACAAAATGCATTTATTTGGAAGTTTAAATTTAATGTTAAATGTTATCTTGAGGTGGGAATCAGCCGCTAATTAACCATAGATCGAATCAATTATTTAATAATTACGTTGATTTATTCGCTATTATTTAGTAGGCCTTTTTAGATTATGTTTAACACTACAAGTGTCGATTAGAATCTCGCTTTTAAATTTAATGTAAAAACATGCACTGCAAACCTAGCATTTTACGATAGATCATTAATCATGCACCCAGTCCTACTTGTAAATGTAAGGCTAGCAAACCAATGAAGACAAAAAGAAAACAGTGCAGCATAAGTTAACTAGTCACCGCTTTATCAGTTTCCATTTGGCGTACAGAAATTACAGCGGTTCCATGGTGTAATGGTTAGCACTCTGGACTCTGAATCCAGCGATCCGAGTTCAAATCTCGGTGGAACCTGTATATTTTTTTAGTTAAACTAACCAACATTTAAAAAATAAAAATGGTTATTGTGATTACCACACTGGTGTTTTCCACGTAATTATCAACTGACATTTTTATTTAACACAAACATTGGGTCTATATCTCCTTCTATTACCCATCCTTTTCCAGTAAAATAAGCGTTTTCATAACACTAAAGAATAATCTCCCCCCACTTCTCTACTCCTTTAGCAACTGGAGGTAGAGAGGTGCTGCTAAAGCTGGCTTTGCTCTACAGTGAATTAAGATTTGACTCGGTAAAAGGGTTAGTCTGGTTATTAGATATCTATTATGTCTAGATCTTGAGTTTAGACGTCTGCCGTGCTACAACGATGTGTTGCTGGCGTGATGTGGAGAATAACTCACATACTCACACGTTAGAGCAGATTAATATTTTTGTGTGAATAAAACCTTGATAAAATTTAAGTGTTTATTTTAGATATTTTATTACGTACATCTTATGTTTATTGCTTTGCATGAGCTTTTGAACTCATAATAAATTACAATAAATTGCTAGTTTTCTAAACAAAAAAGTGCGTGTACATGAAATCTTAACTTACTAACAAGAGATAAATATTATTTGTGACTGCATAAAAAATGCATCAACTCAAAGTAGGAGATGGGTTTAAAAAGTAATATTTTCTTGATGAAAAAAACGTTGCATCGACCGGGAATCGAACCCGGGTCACCCGCGTGGCAGGCGAGTATTCTACCACTAGACCACCGATGCTGGTGAATTTGCACGCTCATCAAAAGTAGTATATTGCAAATATCTTGCTACAGCCCAACGTTTTTATTAACGAACATGTGCAAGGATTTTTTAAAAAATGTATTTCTATCAAATATAGAAATTTTACTTTGTTCTTAGAACATTGATCATTATTTTACACAAGGTAGTCAGGCCTACATTTACTTCCCAAATTACAGGTTTTTATTTGGATCTAGATCTAGGTCACATTCAAGTACGGTAACTCGTTATTTCAAAATCCTTGCTACTACGCTAGATATGCTCCCTTTCATCAATATAGCGTCCTACGTTGGTTAGGAATCATGTACAAAAATAGAATGTGATTTACCTTTAGGTTCTTCTGTTGTTATATTGGATGGAATTTCCCGTAAGACTTACAGTAATATGCTTATTTTCTTTCAGAAGAATGTATACTGTATACCCCCCCCCCCGAGCGAAATAGAATTTAATAATTCACTATTTTTTACCATTGTCCTTCACAGAAAATTTATTCCGCCGCCCCCCGAGAAATATGTCTTAAAAAGAAGGCTCTACGATATACCTTAGATTAGACCTATCCCTTAGCAGCCTAATGTGCACTTTAGATAGCTTGAGCCACTAATTACATAGATAATTGGATAAAATATGTTGAAAGTAGTGCCATACCAGTTCCGCTAGTGAATGTTAAGAATTTGTAGTTCAATGTTTGGTAAAAAATAAATTTATGTTGTACATTATGTAAAGGATCTCTTACTGGCTATTATTAGCATTGTGTTACATTTCATGTGTGATTTATTAATATCGGAGACAGAGCCGGCGTTAGGGGGTGGCAAACGGGGCGGTCGCCCCAGGCCCCGCGCTTGAGGGGGCCCCGCACTTCAGCAACGCCATTGTTGTCTGAATTAGTTTGTAAACTTAAATAATCTTTGCTGAATTAAATTTTAAAAAAAAACCCAACTAAATGGCCGAAATTGTTGGATGTTAAAACTGAGGCCACGGCTGATGTTAGTGAGTTATCCTTTACATGGACTGGGACAGACCGTTATTCTAAAGAAATACATTAGTGTCACACATCGCTGACACGGTCAACTCGCTATTGTCCTGAGGTGACTGGAGATGGCGGTCGCGAATTTGCCCCCGACCTGACATTGGAGGTAAAATCGGGAAAAACGTAAAAAAATACCCTATTGTTTGCGGACCGTTGAAGACGTTTTTTTAGTGAGCAGGCGGGAGTGCCTGTAATAAACAGTCAATGACCTGATGATGGCTTGCAGAGGAGGAGGAGGGGGGTGAGAGCGGATGGGGACATGCCCCTTCCCGGGAAAAAACTTCCAAATTTTCGATTTGCACTCCCCCCCCCCCTCTCAAACTTTCAATTTGCACCCCCCTCCTCAAACTTTCGATTTGCACCCCGCTCAAGTTTTCGATTTTTACCCCCCCCCCCCCCCCCTCAAACTTTCGATTTGCACTCCCCTCAAGTTTTTCTCTATATATTTTGTTATTTTTTGCCTTGGTGTCACCCCCGTAAATGGTGTCACCCGGTGCGGTCCGCACCCCCTCCCCTCGCTACGCCTCTGTGTAGGGATATTCAGTATAATAATTAAGGCCATAGTGATTCTTGTTTTAAAATACGTAGGCACACTAAACAAATTATAAAGTCTATACTGTTTGATACATCGGGCCGAGACTGTTTTATGGTAAAGTTCTCTTGATTTCTAAAACGTCTAAATTACCGGCAGTCCAAGCATGCCGTCGCGAAACTCATAAATAAGTTGAAGCTGGCTGTCACATGGTTCACTTTCTAATTATAGACACGGACCTTCTCTTGTGAGAACGCGGTCTTAATCTGTAATGTAATACGCGGACGCTCTATAAACACGCACCTTCTCTTGAATGGCTGCGGTCAGAGATCCAGTAACGTAGTACCCGAACTGATTTTTTTAGGGATTGGCATCCCATAGATTTAAATGTACAGTTATCCATTACCTCACCACACCAACTGTCACCCCCCCCCCCCCCAGTGTTCCACCTTACTGAGCGTCCGTGATTACATTTGAGAGTCATTTCATTTGGATATCTATAGCCGTAAACAGTGTTTTTCACTATTCGAGCTCATTCCGAAATCTATCAATGTTTTGCTATTTTCCCCGGCATCCACACACTTTGAATGCCACTGTTAACACTCGATAAATTGAGAAAATATCGATACTATCACCCGCCACTGTGGACCGATTTAACGTTGCTTCAAAGTGATTTCACCATTTTTCCTCTACACCATGGCTTCAAGAGACAGAGATAGATTTCGCAAGTATGAATCAGGTGCATCAAAAGCGAGGATAGAAAAATAGAAAAAGACATAGCCTCCAGTTTGGACTATGATGATATAATAATGGAATTTTCCTCACGAAAGGCAAGAAAAGTAGATCTTCGTTTGTGAACGTACTAGTAAGATTTTTAAAAAAATCAGGTTTGAAGCTGACGTTCATCGTCTCTTTAATGCGTGTCTCAAACTTATATCTGTTTTATTTTTTACTTTTCAAACAAAAAGCCTTAACAGAAACAAGCAACGTTTCAAAAGCATTTCTAAGTAAACAAATTATTTGTTAATCAGTGTCTTAATGTTAATACGACATTGATAAGCAGCTTAAAAATACCATATATATATAGATCTATATCGTTATAAATATTAATTCGCGTTGAGAAGAAGAAAAAAAAACGCCTCACTGTACATGTTTTAATTATACACCAATGAAAAAAATATAAGGCCTCGCGCGGATGGTTGGCCATAGGCCCCGCGTACCCCTAACGCCGGCTCTGATCGGAGACAACAACTTTTTTTAACTATATGAATACAAGCATTTTTTTTTATGAAGTTTATATTACTTATAATTAAAGTTCACCATATAAAGTAGTTCTGCAGCAGTTTGCATACTTATGAAAAATTTCCCAAAAAAATGAGAACAATTTTTCTTGCCACAATCAGTGTTTCTTCCAGACACCTCATAATTTTGGGGGTGGTCAACATTTTCAGGGGGGGGGGGGGGGGGGAACACTAGTAAAAGTATGTTTTCTATATGAATTCCATTTCGTTCAGGGGGTGGTAGACTTTCTTCAGGGGGCAGAGGCCCCCCTCCCCCACTGCCACAATTCCTAAGATGCCATTAGCTCTTTCAGACTTGTCATTAAGTGAATAAACAAATCAACTCTACTTCAGTAGCCATACATCAGAGGGAAAATTTTAAGGATAATTCATTACCTCACAGAAAACATGAAACTTTTTTTTTGGCTATATAGCTAAAAGAACTGTGTTGATGAATATTAAATTATTATAGTAGGAATTATTCAGCAGTTTGAACAGTAAAGAAAATCAAGGTAAAGCAGACATCAGTAAAGTGTTTGAATACCTGGCATACTTTAACTTTAAGACATAAAATGAACTCAGATAAACCCAAGAACAAACAATTAACATCCAGTTTATTTGTGTTCTTCAACCATGAAATCTAAAATGGGGTCAGATGTAACAAAATGCACTCACTCAATGTCCCAGTACAATTCACTCAACCATTACAGGCCATCATTTGTTACTGATTATTAATAGCAATTAGCATTTACCTTCTTAAAACAGAAGTAATGATAAAATAAATTTAGAAGTGATTTGTATTTAATCTGTACAATTCATTTGGTACCAAAATAACTAACAAATGCATCACTTAATAACTAATCATTCAAAATACAATTTTAAAAATATTTAATAGGTAGTTACTGTTTTAAGTGGTTTCCATTTTTTTTTTTAAAATAAACAGTTGAATATTTAGTGGCTATGTAATTTAATTTTATTTTTAAAAATGTCTGACATGAAATCGCACCTTAAATAACATTCAATATCAGTTACAACTTTTAAAATGCACACCCTTTAAACTAAATTTTGTGGCTGATTTCCTTTTACACTGCAAAACTGTTCTAAATAATCATAAAGATTAAATATAGTCATTTGATTGCGTTTAACTAATTACAAATGTGGAGTTGCAAGTAAATGTATGAAAAAAAAAAACAACTATAAAAACTAATGAAACAGACTTCTAAACCGTTGTTTATAGAAATGAACTTGTTCTGGCTCATTTCGAAACTCATTAAAGTGATTTAAAAAGTATATATTTATATGGCACCGGCACATCCACAATGCAAATACAGGACAAAGTCCAGTAAATATAGTCATAAACAATAATGTCAATAATGCTAAAAGTACCCGAGTCACAGTTGAAATAATAGCCAACTCCTTTTGTTGACAGATGAGTTGTACTAACAAACATTTACAAACATCTAGAACAAAAATACAACATTGATTACCTTTATAAAAATGTAAACAATTATGCGACATAAAACTTTCAGCACTAGCGACATGAACTGATTCAGATATCACAGTGTAATTAAACAGCGGACATAATGTCCAGAACTGTAACCAAATTAAATACTACCATTTCTAAACAGATAGTTTGACAGTCATATTGCCATCTTGTAGAAATCAGGTGATCTTTAAAAACAAATTTAACTAAAGCCAATTTTGATAGTTGAAAAGTCGGTGTGTGCATTATCTCTTAAATTAAGTAACCACAAAATGGAAATACACATCTGTTTATTTACTGCTTGACTTTGAAGTTTCTTGTCCAGCTGCCGTCCAGTGTTCTTTCAAGATTGTGTACCCAATACCAACAAACATTGAACCAACAGCAATGGACTGAGCGAAGACACGAAATCTCATGACGTACATTGAGGTGGACATGTTCTTGGGCCTGTTCTTGTAATTCTTTATTCCATAAGCCACAGCCAGAAAGAAACCAGTCATTCCTGACAATAAAATATTTATTCTTAATTTTACATAGAAGAAAGGGTTAGTTAAAAATTTTTACAAGTCATTTAAGATTTTAAATGCACTAAAAATACATGACTCCTGTTATTTGTAAGGTCAGCCAGGATATTCTAAAGCCCAGACTTGCAGTCTAGACCTGTCGTTAATGAACTCTTTGCTACATCTCTCCCATTAGGCTTTTTTATGACCTCAGAAACAATTGGCGTTTTGTTGTCTTTCTAGGGGTAGCGAATTTACCCACCAGCTTGACCCATAACCCTTATATTCCCCACGCTACCCACAGACTTCCTGTTGTAACATTCAGCAGTAGTGCTATCAGATAATAAAAGAGTCAAAATATGCAGTCAGTTGGGCAGAACTTGCACTGGAAACAAGCACTCATTATCTAGCACCAAGAAGAAAAGAGCCAGCACATTCTTCTGCTCAGTGTCTATTATTACAATCTACAAACAACTAATTATAACTATTTAGCAAGAGCCTATTGTTGGACATGGGTTGCAACAATACACCAGTCATCTAAAAAACACAAAAATGTACTGACCAATAGGAACCATGGGATTCTCTTTTATCTTCCTGAATGTCTTATTGCCGGTGGATTCATCAAAATTTGGTTTGTCAACGCTTGACATTTTGAAAGAGAATGTGGTGTTTTATCCAACTCAAAGCTTGTAATCAGTAGCTGTAAAAAAAACAATTTTAACATTTGATTTCATTTTTAAAGAGAAAAAATGGCACAACGCTGTAAACCCAAACACTTTAAAAATGTAACGGGCAACACTTTGTTGAAGGGTGAATTTCACATTTTTAATAATGACGTCCGCCAAGACCATGGCTTAGTAAGCCTTTTTATCATATATTTCATGGTTTTCAACAATATCTAATATTTAATTAGTTTTGTCTTGCAAAATTCTACAACAGTACTGATCAGATTATATTACAACCATGTATGTTTAGTGTGTTTCATACACTTATTTACAGTGTTAGTGTAGTGGTTCAATACGCTGGTATATGGAGTAAAATAAAGTAAGAGTTACACATTATTATAAATTAAATTGTCTGTGTGAGCCACTAAAACATTGGTATGTTTGGGTAAAAAAATCGGGCTTTCAGATAATTGTGAAAGATCTAGCTCCCTATCCAAGAGAATCCACCGGTATGCAACTGTGAATACGAACTAATCTCTATTGATTCATCAACTTGAAAAGCAAACAAAGGTGAAAGCTTAATTTGATTCAATATTTGTTATTTAACATCTACGGACATATCTGCTATAAGCCACTGAATAGAAATATTAGACAGAGCTATTTGTTGCATCTTTACTGCCCTGGAATCAATCCACAAGAATTAATTTCACCATCTTCAAACATGCAGGGGTTGATAAGATTCTATTATTGTGAATAATTATGTTGTTTTTGCTTGGCAATTTCTAATACGACTTCATTTGGTGCTTGCACTAATGCTCAGTTTCCTTTAAGAAAACTGTGTTCAATTAAGTCTCTGACATCCGCAACTAGCTTCATGCCGACAAAAAAACTCCATATCTTTTTGGTGTGTTCCGAATGACTCGTCTCAAAATGACGTTTAAGTTTTGAAGGTTTCATAGACTCATGGCTGAGAACAACTTTGCATAATACGCATTGTTTTTCTCTATTTTATTTCCAGTGATGTTAGTAAAGTAAAGCTGAAATTCAGATATTCTTCTAAATATTTGTTGTTTTTTCATTGCTAGGGTTTAGTCTCCCAGTTCGTTAGGGATAGGGTTAGAATTGACATTAGCCAGCCATGTATGTACTTAGTATATTTACTATTACTATTGGGCTAAGTATGTAGCCTATAGTATAAGTTTTAGTATTATTTAGTTACTAACAGAACACCCCTTTTTTAAAGATTCCATTATTGGACACCGGTATAAAAATTCTCCCAATCAATAATAAATACTAATTTATTTATTTAATATTTAAATCTGTAGGCCTACATTTCTTATTTAAATCGGGTTTTGAAAAATAGAACAAACTTACGTATCAAACACGTAATACAATGTTCCAAACGTAAATATTTCGACTAATGAACCTAACGACACTTGTATCACTTTTTGTCTTCCTACTTTCGAAACTGATATTTCATCATTGACAAAGTTCGTGTTTTTACGGTACAATTATAAATAGTTTTAGAGGTCATGTAATGCCAGGTTTATTGCAGCTTGTGACAATCTTTTTGATACATAAAATATTATTACGTTTGATTGAAACTGAAACATAATCTGTAATTCAATATTTAATAAAAAATAGTTTTACTTTTAAATACATGTTAAAGGCCTAATATTTATTGATTTTTAAATATTTAGCAAAAAACAAATAAGTTACATTACGACATCCTTACTGGCATAAAAATTTATCCTGTAATGTACGTGATGTTCGTCGACCTTGACATACTCACGAAAAGTGCTCTGACGTAATTCGTCATTTAACAGGCGCGCCGTTAATTTCGGCACGCGCATCCTTCATTCATACGATTCATGCTAAAACAACGAAATAATCAAAATAAGAAGAATTTTGAATGAAGTTTTTCGCCTTACCTTACTTATTCGTAAAAGTATCTGATATTCAAAGAGGTTATATTGATTATTTATCCAAAATGTTCTGCCGTTCCTCATGAATGATCAGCAGAGCTGCGTCCACTTGTAGCGTTTGCTTTATTAAAAATACGTGACGGTATGATGACCTTGATTAAGTTACATTTATTGATTCTATGCCTAGGTGGCTCTTTCCTGTACTAAATCTACCTAGGTAGTTCTTTCCATGGTGGTTTTTTTTTCCATAGCACTAAATTTACATAGGTGACTCTTTCCAGTACTATATCTACCTACAGTACTAAGATCTATTTAGATCTAGGTGGTTCTTTCTGTAGTACTAGCAGTGTTTCTTCCAGAATTTCTCCGAAGAGATGCCTGGAAGAAACTCCCCGCCCCTACGGAAAAATGTCTAAAGAAACACTGAATATAATAAATATCTTTGGCAGTGATATTTGAGCTCGGGATAATCCATATTCCTTCAGGCTAACTGAGGGGGTGGGGGGGTATAGGCAGTGAGTAGTTGAATTCCCGATGACGTAGTTTTACTCAGAACTTGTACATGCTATTTTTTCTGATTAAAGTGTGGTAAGAAAATGAAAAATCCTGGAAGTCTGTTACTTGATAACGATAAAATATACTGTACATTTGTGTGTGTGTGTGTGTGTGTTTGTGTGTGTGTGTGTGTGTTTGTGTGTGTGTGTGTGTGTGTTTGTGTGTGTGTGTGTGTGTTTGTGTGTGTGTGTGTGATTGCATTTAACATCTTAATAACTAGATCAGTAACCGTCCAAAGTTCTCAAGTCTATGTGGACAGAGTGGGGGACAAAAGACCGACATCCAAAAGGCCGACAGGGACTAAAACCCGGCATGGACCGAACGGCCGAATTGACATATAAGACTGACATAATCAACATAAACATCAACACATCATAATGCGTAAAAATAAACAAATCCTAATATCGCAAAAAATCATATACTACACACAGGCCCCGCCCTACCTGTCCTACCGTAGCTACGTATCTGGGCCCACATAGGTCTACAACATGGAGAACAATTGGTTCCAAGCGACTGGATATGACGGGAGTGTCTAAAACACAAAAGATAAATAGGTAAGTTTGTTTTGTTACAAACTATGGCTTTACGTTACGTCCTTTTTCCCACGTTTTCTTTAACTTGCTTTCGTCTCTGTCTTTCTAATCAAATCTTGCGATCGAAATTTCTGGCACTTCCCAGTTAGCTAGCGCGCTGAAATTTTCAGGGAAGCTTTGTTTTGGATGACAATAGAATATTCAATTGTTATTATTACTAAATTGATCCATGGAAACATTTTATTGAGCATTTTAGACCGCTATATAATCTATATATATAATTCTCCTCTGCGAGCCGTTAGAAAACAAGCTGCAAGCGCCTCCTTACAGTCCCCTCTCTTTCTCTCTATCACTATCACTACCACCCTACCCCACCCCCACATGGTCTGCTGAGCTGTGGTCACGTTAATGTTTACAAACCGTACAGCCAGGTTTAGTGACGGCTATTAGGGGCAGATAATTAAGTTTGAACCGACTTTAAACTTACAGGAGGTAACTAAGAGGGGGCTGCTTTCACGGGGGGGGGGGGGGGGGTTATGGTCGGGGTTAGGGGAAAGGAGGGGGTTAGTGTTTTAAAGCCGATATTTTCAGTGGCAGCATTGGTACTGTCGAATTTACAAATTACGGATTACTGAAAGTAGAAAATAAATCAACTAAATAGCGGCGTATGATACGCCGCGGGTCGGCTCGTTGTAGTAAAAACGTGGGGGAAAAGGGACATAACCCAGTAACTGTAATTTGTGTACAAACAACCGTAACAACTGGTGGCCAGTATGGGGGAGACGATATGGTCGAGTGGTTGGGCACACGATTGCTATCCCACTCGACACGGGTTCAAATCTATGTGTTCTAGTCAGTAACGTATTCACACAACGTGTTTTTTACGAGTTGTCTTTTTACGAGTTGTCTTTTTACGAGTTGTCTTCGTTTACCAAAAAAAAAAGTGAAAAGATAAAATCGATAGCAAGATTTTAATGCAAACAAACAGACAAAGACTAAAAAGTAGAAAATAATAATCATTAAAAAAGTTTTAAAAAACCCACGTTTTCTGATTGAACTAAAAAGTAGAAAATAAATGCTATACATCACAATAATGCAAGCGATCACTCTACTATAAGCGATCAAAAACGTGGGGCGCCGAAGTAAAAGTTATATTACTATTGATTAGATAATACTATTGACGTTTATTAGGGAGCTTGTAGAGATTCAACAGTATTAGAAACTGTAAGAAAATCACGGCGCCCCACGTTTTTGATCGCTTATAGTAGAGTGATCGCTTGCATTATTGTGATGTATAGCATTTATTTTCTACTTTTTAGTTCAATCAGAAAACGTGGGTTTTTTAAAACTTTTTTAATGATTATTATTCTGTTGGCCTTATGTCAATGTCGGCTTTATGTCCAGTTGGCATTTTTTGCCGGCCTATTTTCTGTCGGCATAATTTCTCATGTCGCCTTGTCCAGTTGGCCTTTAGTCTATGTCGGCCTTTTATCTATGTCGGCCTTTTGTCTATGTCGGCCTTTTGTCAGTGTCGGCCTTTTGTCTATGTCGGCCTTTTGTTTATGTCGGTCTTTTGTCCGGATCTCACGTGGACAGAGATCCGCACGCCTAGCTTGAGCCATGCCCCGCGGGGTAAGCCTACTCGAGCGATCAAACAAGTTACCTTAACATTGGAATCGATAATAACGAATTGGTAGGCCTACTGGGTAACATTCTTTCACATTACGTGGGTCATTCACTCGTGACCAAGTTTAGTCAAGCAGCAATCAAACAAACATGGATAGACTGCGATATTGAATCGTCGACACAATCGTTTCTGGTATCTCTCCGGGTGGGTTTGGGGGGGGGGGGGGGGGGGGGGGGCTGCACCAAACTCCTGAAGAAGGTCGACCTCCCTCACGAACGAAGTAGAATTTATATACATGATGTATAGACCTACTTCGACCAGCGACCAGTGTTTCTTCCAGACTTTTTCGGGGGGGGGGGGGGGGGGGGGGGCGGGCACATACAAATTTCATTTTGTTCGGGGGTGGGGGGTCGGTAGACTTTCTTCGGGGGGGGGGGCTGAGCCCTGGTGAACGGAAAAAAGTCACAGGAAAAAAAACACAGAAAAAAAGTCACAGTTTTTTGCTAGGAAAAAAAAGTCACAGAAAAAAAGTCACAGTGGAAAAATTTTATCGGAAAAAAAGTCACAGAAATAAAGTCACAGAAAAAAAGTCACAAAAATCTTTTCAGAAATATTTTTATTAATTTGTTAAGAATTGTAAAATTTTGTATGTTTATTGTTGTGGGTTGTATTTTTGATAGCATAAATTATTTATAGACGTTAAAAGCATTATGATTTATAACAATTGTAAGTAAAAAATACTCTAAGATAATTAACACAACAATCTCAACTTTTGTTACGTATTTAGTTAAATACGCGGTAGAAAAGTTAATTATAAAATAAATTTAGGCACATTTTGCCGTAGGCTATTCTCTGGTCGGCCTCTCCTCAGTAGGCATTGTCCGAACATATTTTGTGTTGTTGACGTTATGCGTCAATGACAGCCTTTGAACCTTGTCGGCTTTCTGTTTTGATCATAAGTTTTGTTATGTTATGAGCGTGATAAATGTGGGCAGTAAAGGTGGTTGAACTAAACATAACTATTGTTGCCATGAGTTGAGGGCAGCAAGTCATATGAACTTACCATTTCACGGTAATTTAATATTGGTATTTAAAAAAAAAAACACGATGAAAAACGTGGACTTAGGAGCATTCTTTTAAATGCTACTAATCTTAAATTTAAAATAATTACAATCTACATACTTCATAATAAATATTTTTAGACGAATTATAAAAATTCCTATGCCATGGTTTTACATTACATTTAATTAATCCTAAGTTAATTTACAGTAATTTACACTCTCTAAATATTTAATACATAAAAGTATTAACAAATATCATGCAAATATATATTTGTGACTTTTTTCCTGTGACTTTTTTTCCTGTGACTTTTTTTCCTGTGACTTTTTTTCCTGTGACTTTTTTCTGTGTTTTTTTTTTCCTGTGTTTTTTTTCCTGTGACTTTTTTCCTACAATCTGAGCCCTCCCCCGAAGAGATGCCTGGAAGAAACTCTGCCGGCAACCATCCACCCTCCCCTCTGGAAATTTAAGACACCCCCCCCCCCCCCCCAACGGAGAAAAATGTCTGAAATAAACACTGCGATCATTTCCTAGTCATATAATGTCACTAGGTCATTTTAGCCTTGATGTCAGCCTTGGTAAAATATTGATTTCTGCCTCCATTTTTTTGCGAGATGTAGAATTTGTGTCACTCTTCAATTAATTGATGTCACCTGTGCGGACCAAAACCCCCGTCTTTTGACGCTATCGCATACATGGACACTTCAGCACCTTTTAAATTTGGATGCTAAAACACAACATAAAATCTAAATTTGATTAGCTTGAGAGGTCCCGTTATTTTTTCAATAGTTTTCTTTTTTTAAGTTTCCACTTTACTATCAGCATCGGTGGTCTAGTGGTAGAATACTCGCCTGCCACGCGGGTGACCCGGGTTCGATTCCCGGTCGATGCAACTAGTTTTTGTTTCTAGTGGCCTATATAAAATCCACTTTAAATGCAACAATTTCGTTCAGACTTTCTAGATACCTTCATTTTTTTATGGCAATGTATGGTATTTATTTTTACATCTTATTAGAAGATGGAAAATTAGTTGTCAAAATTTAGTAAAACATCTTAAGTGATTACTTGATCAGTCTGTGAGCTGGTTGTCATGGTTTGCTGATTTCTCGACCACGAACTAAGTAAGGGCAGATAACTGTTGTAGATAACTAACTAGTTCGACTGGTTGGGTTTGAACGCAAATATTTAGAGTCGAAGCTGATGGAGTGTCAACTTCATTTCGAACGGGCGACGAAACGGTGGAAAGTAAACCGAATATAAAAAACCTTTATAATAACAAGCTGTTAAATGCACAGAAAATAAGAAAACTTACTTTCAGTAGCGTAGCGGGGGGGCGGGGGGGGGGGGCATACGGGCGCCGACCTTACGGGGCGCCAAAATGGGTTGGAAAAATAAATTGAAAGGTTGAGGGGGGTGCAAATCGAAAGTTTGAGGGGGGGGGGGGTGCAAAGGGAAATCTCGAGAGGAGGGGGGGGGCGGGGAGCAAATCGAAAAGTTTGACCCCGGGAAGGGTCGCTACGCCTCTGCTTACTTTATTTAATAAAAGCTTTGGCCGATAGTGGGATCTTATTCAGAGTTTCTTCCAGGCAACTTTTCCTCCCCCCCCCCCCCCCCCAAACGAAATAGAATTTACATAGGAAATAATATATACTTTTACCACTTGATTTAATAACTGTTAGAGTTAGGCCCCCTAAATGCTTTTTCTAGGTGGATTAATACGTTTTGTAGACAATGGATAAGATGGGCCCTTACAGTCGCTCACTAAATTGAATCAGACGTGTCAGCCAGCGCCCTGGTAAGGTGCGATCTGGCTGCGAACAAAAATTTCAGTTTCTGACCCCAAAGGCTGATGCGGGCTGCTGAGGGCCCTGTAATACGTTTTTTTTAGTAATCAGGAAAATCCATAAAAGTTAGATTATTAACACTGGGTTGTTTCCTTTTGTCCGTAAAAAATCCAAACAATTCCAAAGCCTACAGTTCTCAAAATGATGAAAATATTTCCGTAAAAAATTAAGTTTAGAAAGACAATCAAAAATGAGAAAGTCACACTTCTAAAAATAACTTTGTAACGCGAGGAAATCCTTCTGTACAGTTTCGTCACTTTGCAAATGATGCAATTAGCATCTATTTTTTTAACGATCCAATCAGAAATTGAGATCGAGCTTCTAATAATACACCTAACAAATTGCGTCAGCCACACTGATGTATATATCACGTCAAATATTCTTTTTTTCTACGTGTTAAGGAAAAAATCCTGTTTATTTGTGTCACTTAAGCAATTGACGCAATCTGCATCATTGTTTCAGGATGCTATTTGGCGCTCTGGGTTATTCTGTGAGCACTATGCGCCCATGTTAGTTGTACCCAGGGGCCGTACGCGGCGCCTCTGCGTTAGTGTAATCAGGGGCGCCCGAGAGCGCCGGTCTACGTCCCTGACATCATGGGGGTCACCGAAGTGTGTTCTACTTCATTATTTTGGTGAGTGATTAACGTTAGATTTTCATGCGGTAGTGTTGGTAGTGTAGGTAAACCCTTGTCCCTATAATGCATAATAATGGGCCTATATTTATGATCCAAGTGTAGGCATTGTTTACATTTAAATTACTCACTTTTAGAAAACTTTAAAACCTTAGTTTAGCGTCGGTTATTATTCCGGAATTGTATAGCATTAAAAAAACAGTAAAACAATGACAAAGTCTGTCACACAGACTTTATTTGGCGTCATCTTTTATTTTTTTTAATACAGAACGTTTACAATTTGGATAGATTTATTTTAATTGCGTGTTAAATACTGCTTTATTAATCATTTTGTATAATTAGTTATTTTTAAGTATTTCAGCTAAATATTTCTGCTACTAAACATTGTTTAACAGGGTTCGTACGCAGTCTGGAAAAAGTGAATTTCAGACTTTAAAAAGCCTGGTCGGGTCTACACTGTGGTATGACGTTTATCGCTGGATTGCAGAAGAAACCCGATTTCTCAGTTACTACGTCATTGGGCGAGGGGGGGGGGGGGAGTGGCCATACAAATCTTGACCTCTTTTTTTAATCCGCTATTATTTCTTAAGTTTGTCTGAGGATGCAGGCAGGTAGTCTTATAAAAATGATGAGGGAAGCTGTAAGTGGTAGTCTACGTATAATTTCACAACCTGTATTTTCAATTCACTCTCCAAGCTTTTTAAATGAAATCTTTTGCAAAGGCTTACGATTGGGGTTAGTCTAACCCGCCTGTCCTAGTAACAAGGTCACTGATTCCTATACTTGTATGAGCTCACCGTGATCCCAAGTACGTAGTTGGTGCTGTTTGGCTGGGGAGGGTGGGGGGCAGTAGCGTAGCGAGGGGGGGGGGGACATATGTCCCCGGGCGCCGACCTTAGGGGGCGCCAAAATGGGTTGGAAAAATAAATTGAAAGGTCGAGGGGGGTGCAAATAGAAAGTTTGAGGGGGGGGGGGTGCAAATCGAAATCTTGAGGGAAGGGGTGCAAATCGAAAAGTTTGTCCCCGGGCGCCGTGAAGGGTCGCTACGCCTCTGGGTAGGGGGGGGGGGAGTACAGTACAGTTCATGCTATGCCGTATTAGACTGGGCTACTGTAACCTCACAGTGACCCATTCACCGTCTCTTGTGTGTATGTGGGGGGAGGGGGGGGGATACCGGTAGTTTGTAATAGCAGACAAAAATTTCTCAGCTATAAGCACAAATAATGGTGCGGTTTAAGTTACAAAGGTCTGGTTTCATTTTCAAAATAGGTTTAAAAAAATTAAAACATTAATTTACTACAATCGACTTGAACTTTATTTATATTTCAATGGTCAAATAAACCATGGTTTACCGTAAATTTAGTTACCGAAACTCAACAAACATTATATAAACATATATATATATATATATATATATATATATATATATATATATATATATATATATATATATATATATATATATATAGGACAAACTTTCAATATTGTTTATGTTTATAATTCAAAACTGCAGCTAAAAAGAGCTTTTAATTTTTTTTTCCAACCCATTTTGGCGCCCCTAGGGTCGGCGCCCGGGGACATATGTACCCCCCCCCCCCCCCTTCGCTACGCCTCTGGTGGGGGTGACTCCATTTGGTGCCACACTGAGTGACACTCGACCTAGGGACGCCACTAAGCTTTATATATATATATATATATATATATATATATATATATATATATATATATATATATATATATATATATATATATATATATATATATATATATATATATATATATATATATATATATATATATATATATATATATATATATATATATATATATATATATATATATATCGCGACCGATGCTTTTATTTAACAAAGCCAGTTTGTTTTAATTTCTTATTTTCAGTTTATTCAAACGCATGTCAAAGATTTTTCTTTTATCTTATTTTTTTATTGTCAGTTGTTCTTTTCTCAGAATTCATTTCAATTTGCTTTTAGGGGGAATAACTTATTAATAAAGACACCCTCTTTACGTAATTGTAGTTATCTAACTTGGCAGTAGAAACAAAATAAGGGTGAAGATTAAAATTAAATAGAACATTTTTCGCGGGTCCCTGCGGCAAAGACGCGCCACTAGAAGAAGTAGTGTTGTAACTAGGAAGACAAAAAGGGGAATGGTCCTAACAATCAACCTGCCCGGGGCGGTTGCTTGTTTAACCTCACTTTTAATCCACCAGTCCAAAAGTCAAACCCCTGTCTCAGATTAGGTGTGTGACGTAATTTTAGACGCCCCTTCCCCCCCCCCCCTCAACTACTGCACACCATAAGTAAAAGATTATAGCAGCAGGACACATCGTATACGCTTTGGTCTGTGCGAGACGGTGAGCCAACAAAAATCACAGCAAAGAAATTGTCATAAGTGTTGAGCTTACTAAAGGTAGACTTGTTCCCTGCTACTTTGTTTCTGTGATTTCTTTCCTGTGACTTTTTAAATAACTTGCTACAATCATTGAGGCTATCGCCTCACAATTTTAATTTTCGTCAACACTTTAGATTTTAGATTTCAATTAGCTATAACTTAATGTTTTTCTAGGTATAGATTACTAGATCTGGATCTAAATCTAAATTAAATCAAACCAAAAAGCTTAAAAAAATAGTTAAATTAATATACATTCATATTTTGTTTCTTAACGAAGTCATACTTTTTATTTACCGCATAGTATTCCCCTTTTATACAAACATTTAGGTCAAAGGTGAATACAACTTGGTTCAGTAGTCCAACCGATTGTGTAAGAAGACTAAGTGAGTCTGTACTGGGTTCAACATCTAAAATCAGCATGCCTCCAAAAAAAATTTGTGTCGTTGGTTCTGGTAACTGGTAAGTATATCTAATATCGTTAATGCTTTAGCCAAATATCTAGATCTAGTTGCAGCACAAAACTTTCTTTAAGGCAAGTTTAAGATTAATTAAAAAATAATAAAATATTTTTAATATTGGCCTAGGTTTCATAAACAAACACAAATGAAACGATTCACTGAAATAAAAACACTTCATTTAATTAGGCCTAATTAATATTATTTCATTATCTTCTTAACATCTTAGTTAGATCTAGCTAGAGCCAGACTAAACGCTAGACCGCTAGATTATATGACTAGGCATTCTTAAAATAATTAATTTAATTTGTATCATTTATCATTAGGCTCGAAACAGAATTTTTATAATTAGTAATTAGCCTAAAAACAGCCTTAGGCCTAATTATTAATTATTCATTTATTACTTAATCATTGATTCTTCATTTCATTTGATTTTAGCCAACCAATTCTCACCCATCCATCATACTTGTAACTTTGAAGTGTGACAGCGTTGGGAATATATAAATATTTCCTTCCCATCACCATCACAATTCATCGCATGGTTATGATTTTAAATTTAGGATAAGAGACTTGAATTTGAGTTATGAAAAAAATATTAAAATACGGATAGAATCTAGGAAGTTAGCATTGACTTCATTGTTAAGTCAGCATTGATTCAAAAAACATAAATAGGGCTTAATTTTAAATTTTGTAAGTTAACATAGTTATTTTTTTCCAAACAGGGGTTCTGCTATTGCTAAAATTGTAGGAAATAATGCAGTGGAAAAACCAACAGAATTTGATCCAGTGGTGAAGATGTGGGTGTTTGAAGAGCAGATTAATGGTGAGAAATTGACACACATCATCAACACACAGCACGAGAATGTGAAGTATTTAAAAGGTATCAAGCTGCCAGAGAAAGTGGTGAGCCTACAGTTATTTTCCAGTTATCACATGTGTACTAATTTATTGGGCTTTTATAGTATATAGTTAATCATATATACTAATGATACACCTAGATACACTAGTCCTGTTATAGTTGTTATATTGTTGCATTTTATTGAGGTTTTGTGTTCCATTTGTTTCTTTTTTGTTTTTACGGTTTTGCTTGTTTATAAACTATTGCGCCAAATTGTTCACAAATATTTTATTCTGAATCCAAAATATTAACTGTGAATCCTGTTTTGTAACCTTTTAACAAATGGCATGCGTAAGCAAATATTATTTCATGGATGATTGGAAAGTTTTTACACCTGAGCATCGTGTTTTGGATTATATTCCTAAACAGAATTATCTTCTTGTAAAACTGAATTCTGGTTGTATGAACACTTAGCCATGACCCATTTATTCCAGTTATATTTGATACTTTATTCTGTCTTTGTAGAGATAACACATTTTTTTTACTGCTCAAAGTTCATGCAACTCCTTATCATCAAAAGCTTCTTTGACCTACTTTACTAATCTTTCTTTCCTCTTGGAAATCAAACAAACCTATAGCCAGAATCTAGCTCAGTAATTTTGTTCTTGACTCAATATGAGAGCTTTTCAGCTATTCTCTTCTGTTCTATTTCATCTTAATTAAAAATGTTGGATGTCATCATGCATACTAAATTCTTTCAACAAACTATTTAATGTTTAAAATTTGACTAACAATAATTTTAGTCTGTTTTATTATTAAATTTAAAATCTCGTCTAACATAACTATTCATTGCAAAGTTTATTCATTCTTAGTTTTAAGAAAACACCAAATTTAGGCCTGAAATAATTGAGTTTCAAAATATTTGGTACTGATTTCACAATTGCCAAAAATTGTTTAAAAGGTGACTGTACAAATCTGGCATGGCGATAAAAAGTATAAGGGCTATGAAGGCTTCAAGTGTTATGATTTCCTGTGTTTGTTTATATCAATGTTTTTCTTTATTACAATTTTTTATAAATCAGTTAATTTTTATGATCATAGTGCCAGCTAGCGTTACTGTTACAATATCATAAGAATTATTTCAATGCTCTCAGTTTTTAGAATTCTACGCTAAACATGGATACAAGAAGTTTAACTACATGCAATATGTTTTATTCATAGTTAAATTTTAGACAAAACAAGACGAGGTTAATTTGCTTAAAAAAAATTTTGATTTAAGATTTTAAATGAAGAGAGACTGTTAAAAAGGAAAATTTGGAACAAGTGTGTCATTGTTTAATTCAAATATTTTCTTTTTTTTTTCCCTAGATGGCAATCCCTGATGTAGTTGAAGCAAGTTCAGATGCTGATGTTTTGATATTTGTGCTACCACACCAGTTTGTGAGAGGTGTATGTGACAAGTTGAAAGGTAGAATCAAACCAAATGCTGTGGCTGTTACTCTTATCAAGGTAAGTTGTAAATAGAACTGGTCACAAATGGTGGAATTTTTACTTTGACAGCAGGGTTGGACTGGTAAGCAGGTGATTACTAACTCCAAAAGTGGAGAGTTCCCACCAAAGAGCAGATGAGGCTTGTTAGCTATGTATATCAATGTAGACGGGAAAACTCCAAAATCAAACAACTGCTGCCTTACAGTTAATGTTAGGTTGACAAAGGCTATGGAAGCAAATCAAGAAGGAAAAGCAGGCTGAAATCTCAGTGAACATGCTCTGTGGTGCATTATATGTTATAGTGTTGGGAGCTATCTCGTCAGTAGTACAAATAAAAAATGAAGAAGAAAAAGACTTGGACTAAATGTTTTTTTTTCTTATGTAATATAAAAAGGCATGCTTTACCTGGGTAGTTCATGAAAGGGGCAACGAAACTTGATCTCAGTTTTTGTTAATATATTTTCAGGTTATTTATGTTTTATGTAACATTGATTACATTTAATTTTGATGAAATTCAGTCCTTACAATTTATATCTGACTTGATGCTATTAAAACTCTCATTATCTTTTATAAGTGTGTGTATTCTAAACTGTTTTATATTCCAGGGCTTTGAGGTAGCAGAAGGGGGTGGTATCCACTTGATTTCTAATGTCATCAGAGAGTCACTACACATTCCTTGCGCTGTTCTAATGGGAGCTAACATCGCTAATGAAGTGGCCTTAGAGAACTACTGTGAAGCAACTATAGGTAAAAGAAACTGCTGTTGTTCAAATATTTTTCATAAAAAGAAGCTATCGTTGGTCATACTATCAGGGTTCGTACGCAGTCTGGAAAGTCTGGAAAAAGTCTTGAATTTCAAAAAGTGAATTTAAGACTTAAAAAAGTCTGGAAAATCGCTAGTTTTTGGGCAGGATTTTTTAAAAGTCTGGAAAATGTCTGGAATCTAGTTTTAGAAACAAAACTTCGTAGTCCATATTTTCCAACTTAAAAAATTGCTATTTTTAAGTAAATTTACTCCAATTTTTTTCCCCGCGCTATCGCGCGGGTTTACACTGTGTGTGACGTTTTTTCGCTGGTTCACAGAAAAAATGCTCAGTTACTGCGTCATTGGGAAAAGAGGGGAAGGGAGGGAAGAGCTATTTTGTGGCAAGACTGATCGTGTGAATGTGTTACAAGTACTTACAGTTGTAGCATAATAAAAGAATGATCGCCCTCAGAATTGTTAGGCTCTCGATTTTACCCGCTATCTTTTCATCGTTTGAGTTTGCATGCAGGCAGTCATAACAAAAAGTTATGGGGGAGATGTGTGAGTGGTAGTTTAGATCTAATTTATCAGTCTGTCAGGCGTCATCCATTTATGACTTACAACATTTTTTTCGGATTTTAGACCCCCCCCCTTCCCCACTCCCCCGCTCTCTGTCCACACGCGCTCACTTACTATGGATTAATATTAACATTTATAAGATTAATAAGTCGCAAGGCCTCCTTGAGTTCATACCTGTATTTCTGTTTGCTTCAGCTTAACAAAGAGGTACTATTTTTATTTAGGAGTCGTCCATAAATGACGTCACACTCGGAAAAGTCGGGAGGAGGGTTTTATAAAGTGTGACGACACGCTCTCGCAATAATGTTAGGGCAGATATAAATACCGTGTTTTATTTACACGCTGTGATGGTTTTTAAAACACCAGCACAGTCGTCTTAATTTTACTTTCTACTCGCAAGATGCAAGTTTTATGTTTGTTTTAGAATATGATCACAAAATCTTCCGACCCCTTCCCCCCTCCATGTGCACGTCATAAATGGATGACCCCTTTAATTTTAATTCACTTTCCATTAAACTGTTTTTGAAATCTTTGCAAACGCTGACGATTAAAGTTAGACTACCCTGCCCCTCCTTGTAACATCGGTCCCTTGTGTGAACTCACCGTGACCCCAAGTGCGTAGTTGGTACTGCTTGGTACGTTGGGTGGGGGAGGGGGTATAAGTCACAGCACAGTTCATGTTATGACGTATTAAACAGGCATACTGTAGTCTAGACTACTATGACCTCACAGTGACCCCTTCGCCGTGTCGTGTCTGTGGGGGGAAAGGGGGGAGAAGGATACCTGGGGGGGGGGGGGGAGAAGGATACCGGCAACTTTTTTTTAATTGCAGACCCGTTTCTCAGCTATTACTTTACTATAAGCACAAACAGTGAATGATTTTTTTTTTTTTTTTGCTCCACATTTTTTTTACAAGTAGCCTATATTTATTTAGGCTACTTAACAAGAGCAGACCTAAATTAATACATTATTATAGTAATTAACTCTCACTATTATGCAATACCATTTTAATGATAGTTTAATTGAAAACATAAGCAATTAGATCAGGAACAGATTACATAAGTCTAATGTTGGAAACAAAATAGTTGCATCATTTTAATCAATTATTTTAATTGTTAAAATTTTAGGTAGGGTGGTGTAGGCAAACTTAGAAAAAATGTTTTTTTGTCAATGTGGCTAGAGAAAGTTCACTATGAATATAGCTCAATTGCCTAAAATAAATATCAATTTAGTATAAGTAATTATAATGACAGTACAAATAGTGCATCATTTTAAAAAATTATTCGCTAACACATTATCTGTCTAAAGTCTGGAATTTTTCCAAAAAAGTCTGGAAAATGTCTGGAAAAAGTCTGGAATTTCATTTTCAAAAAGCAGTACGAACCCTGTACTATGTAAAAGTGTCTAGCCAACTTAGTTACTCATTAGAGTTCAACAGGTGCTTGACCCAGACCTACCTTATATATGCTTGTAAGCTCTACTTTATGACTAGACTAATATTTCACTGATTTTTGTAGCATAAAATCTTTGTTGAAACTTTACCTGTTCTTTCACTGCTATATTGTGTAGTAGCACAAAAAAATTGTTGAAACTTTACCTGTTCTTTCACTGTGATATTGTTTAGTAGCACAAAAACTATTATTAAATTTAACCTGTTGTAGGTTGTCGAGACTTGACGCTAGGGCAGAATCTCAAATCTGTCTTTCAGACGAACTATTTCCGTATTGTGGTTGTTGATGATGAAACAACAGTGGAAGTATGTGGTGCCCTCAAGGTAATGATTTAATATTTTTGTGAACCTTGATTTTTTAACTTTATGAACACAAGCATTAAATTTAACATAATTAAATAATTTTATTATTGAGTAATTCGCTATAAATTGTTTTTTTTTTTTAGAATATTGTCGCCACTGCAGCAGGGTTTACTGATGGCCTCGGCTTTAAAGACAACACCAAAGCTGCAGTTATCCGCCTTGGTTTGATGGAGATGATTAAGTTTTGTGAAGTTTTTTATCCAGGTCAGACTTCTAGGGATTATTTTAACCTTAACTAAAGTCTTGAGTCCTGCACAATACTCTATGACATCCATAAGTACACCAAGCTCTGGTAGGCACTTGTGTATTCAGTAAAATGAGCTAGATATAGTACTGACAAAACTATTCCTTCATATGCATATCTGCCCTATTGTCAGCTGATCTGATATGATTAGTGAAAAATTTAAAAATTGTAATGAGATGTTAAAATCTTAAGTAGGCTATTTTAGTTTAAGTTAACAAAATAATACTTGATTTTTTAAAAATTTGATGCATTTTTTTTCTCCTCTAATTATAGGATCTAAGCTTGAAACATTTTTTGAGAGTTGTGGCATTGCTGATCTTATCACAACATGTTATGGTGGAAGAAATAGAAGAGTGGCTGAGGCTTTTGCCAAGACAGGGAAGGTAATTCATTGACTCTTTAAATAGTTAATTTTCATATGTAAAATGTCTTTTTTTATGTCAATTTTAAACCGAAATAAAAAAAATAAAAATTAATTTTATATATTTAATAAATTCTACGTCTGTCTGTTATTGTGTTTAGTCTTTTTTTTTCCCTTATCACTAATGTATTTCCAAGTACATCCCAGTTGTAAAATACGATAGATAGAGTTACATTTTAAATTGTTCTCCCCTTTAAATTGCAACATTATGATGACATATCTAGAAAGTAAAGATGTTTTTAGTTAGAAAAAAAAAGTTTTAGTTAGATTGTCTAACTGCCTCTCATTTGCTTTTATTAATCTAAATTTGCTGCCATTTATTTCTTACTATTTGTACTTTATTTTTCAACAAAAATGTTGCCAGAATTAGCCATGTATTTTTAAAACAGAAACATACTCTCAATCAGAAGTACTTAACAGTTTTGTTACAGTGTTTTTAGTTTATTTGAACTAAAGATTTGTCCATAAGTGACAAAGACACATTTTTAGATGCATTTTTTCTCCCACCTCCCACACAGTACCATCAGATAACGCCCACCCCCCAGCTACAGTGTCGTAACAAACATACACACACATAAATTTTAGAAGGTAATAAGTTAAATTAAGAAAATACCATTTGATACAATCATAATCAACCTGTATATTCCTTAATAGGTTTGCATCATTGTGCTTAGCATCTAGCGTTTTCTGTTTCAACTCCACTACACAGCACATTGATGAGACATGAATTAAATATAACTATTTTATTTTTTGTTTTCTCCATTTCATTTTCTAGTTCCCATTTAAGCTCCCCACACAGCATGTTGATAAGAATATATTACTAGTTAGCTTTTGTTTTCCCCTTTCTGGTAAGCAGCCCCCCCCCCCCCATACTGCACATGGGTGAGATATGTATTAAATATTTATTTTTTCCCTTCATTAGTCTATAGAACAGTTGGAACAGGAGATGTTGGATGGGCAGAAGCTACAAGGCCCCCCAACAGCCTTTGAGGTCAACTATATGCTCAAATCAAAGAATATGGAAGACAGGTCAGTTTTACTGTATAACTATTACATCCACCAGGCTAAAAAGTAGTTACTCTTTATTAGTTATTTAGTTCTCAATGTTATAAAATGCCACTACTCCTTTGCTTATCTGACACAGAAATATGTTAAGTGGATAATCAAAGAATTTTACTTTGCCTACAGGAGTAAAGAATGAAAAATGTGGCAAATATGTTAAATTAAAAGTTATACATTTATATATTACTATTGTTACAGCATTGATAAAAAGTTTTACATGTATAAAAATAGAACTATGGTAGTCAACAAAGCTCTATGTAAATGACCTGAGCATTGGATGAGTTTTTTGTATGTGGAGATATAAGACAGCTATCTATGCCACATTCGTAGTGAACTATTTATTTAACCTGTCTCAATACCATGTGACAAATTAGTCCTTACTAATAACTACCTTCTCAAAATAGTTCAAACAGTAAGGACTCAGCATCAAATTTAAAATTAAAAGCATTTTTATGTTTCTATTGCAATTGTCACTAGCCTAGTGTGAAACACCGTGGCTGTTTTAAATGTTTTGAAGTTTCCTCATGTCAAAGTTGGCAGCAAGCCAAGACTAGACAAAACAAATGTTTATTTTTAGAAAGGTATTGATTTGGGAATCTCAAACCACCATTCCAGTAAAGCACTTTCAAAACTCCATGTTACATTTTGGTAGTTAAAGTATGTAATAGAAGAGTAAACTTTAATTCTTTATTTAATTAAATGTCATCGTCCCCGTCCCCAATTCCTGACTTATTATTTACTAAAACAATTTTTTCTTTCCATGTAGGTTCCCACTATTTACTGTTGTGCATAAAATTTGCATTGGGGAATTCCCAGTAAAGAACATGATGGACTGCTTAGTAAATCATCCAGAACACATGTAACTAGCCGATCATTTTAGAAATCTCCTCATTTTGATAGTTAAAGGAAAATTCCACTGGGATGCTGAATGCTTTATGGAAACTAATTGCTTGTGTATCTTTTTTATCCTGCCCTAAATAATATTTATTAACATTGTTTTTAAAAATTTAAATATGCAAGAGTCTATCCTCAGGGTTGAATAGGCTGACTGTTAATTGAGGTTTTGTGAATATTTAGTTACTGGCTTATTATGTAGATTGAAAGTAATATTGAATTCAAATGAATTCATAATATTATCTTAGTTGTGAAGTAGTATCTTTTGGTTGTTGTATAAACTTTTTTGTGCTAGATGTATTTCACTTATAGTTTAATTTTATTACTGAATACTTAAACAATGGGTTGATTATGATATTTAATTTTAGCTTAATAAGACAATAGTTTTCATTCAAGTGGTCAATGGTTAAGCATATCCTATTAAAGGCATCAGAAATTGGGCCATTAGGTACATTAAATTCAACATGTGGAACAGTGAAAAACATCATAAATTGTGAGACATCATTATTGGACCTGCAATTTATTTTAATATCAATTAATTTTGAAATGTATTTTACATCATATTTTAAAACTAAGGTTTTACAAATGCATTTTATTCATGAATACTTTTTGAAATGATATCATCAATAATAATAAAGATGTGAACTTATAAATTGTCTGTTTATTTGCAGAAGTTTTTTGTTAGTTAAAATTTACTGGAAAAATTAACTATTATTTTTGTTGAATGTCAAAATGTTGTATTTTAAACATTTATTTGACAATGAATAATATTTTTTAAACTGTTGAAACGGTTGCTCTCAATGAGATGCAGCTTTCATTGACTTCAATTCTACTTTGTTTCAGTCATAAAGTCATTCTTTTTTTTCCTTTTTACTCCTGGTGTTTTATTTTTAACCTTGTTTTTTTTTTTACTGCACCTATATTTAATATAACTTTTTTTTTACCTTTTTAAAGGTTTTCAAACAAGTCATGTATTTTATTAAATGTTAAGAGTTAATGCTATTTTGGGATATGTCAAAGATTTATAAGAATTTGTAAAATATTTAATTTCTGTTTCGCTAAATTTTGCATTTGTTGTTTGGCTTGCTTTGTTATTGTTAAAACATTTTAAAATGGAAAAATAGACTAAACTTGCATATGGAAGTGTTAGTAAATGCCTGAAAACTATGTAGCTGTTTAAGATAATAATAAACTCCATGAGGATTTAACTAAAGGGACACCACTCTATAACCTACCCGTTTTCACCTTGTACAAATTTAGAAAGCCAGAGGTATTACTGACAGTATTATAGTGTTTGCACAAAATATTACTTTTTATACCATTATATTAGGAGACTGATAATTTAGTTGTTGTTTTATCAAATATGTTTTACTTGTTATTTGAAATGAATTTTTATAAATATGTAAAACCTTTAAAAAAAAACTTAAACCTGCTACAATATCACATTGACATGATAATCTAGTAGTGGTGGTAGGTTGTAATAGAGTATTTTGTTGACTGTGTAATCTATTGCATATTGCATGAGTTTTTTTTTAGACCCAATAACTAATAAAGAAGAACTAAGCTAAAAGCTATCAGATGGAGACTCCATACTCCACTCAAATAACAGATGTTTCAATTTCACCTTTGTTCTATGATCCAATTGTCCTAAAATTCACAAATGTTATGATGAAAGGAAGAAATAAGGAAAGAGTCAGGGAAGTGATGCGCCAAATTCACAAATGTTATGATGAAAGGAGGAAATAAGGAAAGAGTCAGGGAAGTGATGCGCCAAATTCACAAATGTTATGATGAAAGGAGGAAATAAGGAAAGAGTCAGGGAAGTGATGCGCCAAATTCACAAATGTTATGATGAAAGGAGGAAATAAGGAAAGAGTCAGGGAAGTGATGCGCCAAATTCACAAATGTTATGATGAAAGGAGGAAATAAGGAAAGAGTCAGGGAAGTGATGCGCCAAATTCACAAATGTTATGATGAAAGGAGGAAATAAGGAAAGAGTCAGGGAAGTGATGCCTCGGTTGTTTGAAAACATGAAGCACCTACAAATTGAGAAATGGCACAAGGCTTCGGAGATAGATAGGAGTCAGATTGAGTGCAATCCTGTAACCATCTTCAAACAAGCTGTTGACAATTGTAAACCACTGCTGATAACAGGGTTGTCAGAGGTGGACTAGCATATAGGGTACCAGTGTGTGCCAAGGAAAACGAAAGGCAGTTTAGGGCTGTGAAGTGGATTATTGATAGCTGTAGAGACAAAGAAAGGAGAATCCCAATGGAAGAAAAACTTACTCTTGAAATCATGGATGCTTACAATAATCAGCGTAAGGCAGTGAGAAAGAAGCAAGAACTTCATAAGATTTGTGAGAGTAATCAAGCCTATGCACATTTAAGATAAAGATTGTGATTTCAGAGTTGCTGAGTATATACTTTATATAACACATTACAAGATTATAATTTTATTAATAGTAAAACCATCTAAGATGCATTATGTAAATAAACCTTAATAGTAAAAAAAAAATGTATACTTTCATGCAATTTAGGGTTAAAATGGCTTTGTCCTTCCAAATTATAAAGCTTATTCCATTATTGTCTGGGTTAAAACTACACAATGTTGAAGGTGTTAGGTTCAAATCCTCTCGAGGGCTTCTACTGAAACGTAGAGAACCACTGAGAAAATGGTTTGACCCTGCAGATAAGTCTGCTCTTCCTGATCCAGAACCATCCGTGCTACATATGGTTTATCGTATTAAGGACCATATGATTATGCCAGACCATACTGGGAAAAAGGTATTTTAAAAGAATTTGGCCTCTTTGAACAGAGTTACAAATCAAGTTGTCATAAAAAATACACCAGAGATCATTGAAAAATTGAAAGTCATTCACCATTTAGTGCATATTAAACCTGTGACGTTCTTCTACGGCTTACCTAAGGATAACCAGTTGTCATAAAAAATACACCAGAGATCCATGAAAAATTGAAAGTCATTCAACATTTAGTGCATATTAAACCTGTGACGTTCTTCTACGGCTTACCTAAGGATAAGAGTGACTGTAAACACTGTTATTTGACAGAAATGAGAGAATTTGTTGTTAGGCATCATATAACTGATCAGAGTAAGGAAGTTGATCAGGCTTGGGCAGAGGTCAAAATGGTGCAGGAAAGAAAGGGTGTAAAGATATATGGAAAATGGATAAAAAGACTTTGGACAAAGAAACAAGAAGTGTCTTGCAACATTTTCGCCTGAGTGCTGAATATTTTAAAGAGAAATATGTCTACAAATATAATCAAGATGGCAAAGAACATAGATATAAAAATGAAAGCAAAATGGATAGATACAGACAGCATTGGTATTGATGTGAAAATTTTTGTCTTCTCAAAATAAAAGATGGAAAAAATGTAAAAAAAAATAAAATGTATACTTTCTTGCAACCTATTGAAACAACAGTTAATAAAAACTACTTTAAGGAATTTTTGTGCAAGTGCAGAATACACTAGACAGTGTGTAAGCTGTTTTGTATCCTGTTGACTAATCTATTGCTTGTCTTTTTGACTGTGTGTAAGCTATTGAGTATCCTGTTAATAGTGTAGTCTATTGAGTATCCTGTTGACTGTATAAGCTATTGAGTATCCTGTTACAGTGTAATCTATTGAGTATCTTGTTGACATTGTCTATAGAGTATCCCGTTGACAGTGTGTAGTCTATTGAATATACTGTTGACAGTGTGTAGTCTATTGAGTATCCTGTTGACTGTAAGCTATTGAGTATCCTGTTACAGTGTAATCTATTGAGTATCTTGTTGACTGTATTAACATGTCAGTAATATTTTTTTTACCCCCTTTCATTCCATTTGCTCAAGGTTGTCTGTCAGAAATGTTTTTTTTTCATTTTTGTAAACCTGAATTTTACTGACACTAAAACTGAGGCACTTAAACTTTATTATTTTGAAAAAATAGTTTGGTAAAGGGAACTAATTTTTTATGCTAGGTAGAATTTTTTTTAAAATGTATGCATACCTTTTATTACATTCCTTAGGGAAATAGTGAACTTGTTACCATTATAAATAGTTTAGTCAGTCAAGTTGGTATCAATAAGATAATTTTTAAATTATATGCTAATCAATACCTCAATACATTAATAAACTTGTGTCCAATATCTACATTAAAATTTTTTTTAGTTGTTTAATTTTGCTCAATTGGTGCCAAAATACCCAGTTTGAAAATAGCTCATGAAAAAACCATTAGCCAGATGTCCTACAGTCACAATTCCTTTATTCTCTATTTTACAGAAATGTGGTTAAAAATAGAAGTTTTATGTAGCCGGTATTACCTCCCCTGATCAACAGGTTATTGTTCCTGTTTGTGCACAAACATAATATAAATATAACTATGTGAAACTTATATTTAAAAGCTATAACTTTCAGTTACATGGTAGATAAGACGTGTAGAAATGGTTGTTTTTCTATGCTTGTACCTTGTAAGATGATAAAGACACAGCTAAAGTGTTTCAACGAGAAGTATATAACTGTTTATAATGTATTCCTAGTCTAGTAGGATCTCATGATACTGATCTAAATGAATTAGTTTGTGAGCTCTCTAGTTTAGAAAGTTTATATTTATTTATTTCATACTGCATGCTTTTGTTTTTTGTTTTTTTAGTATGATTTTTATTACCCTTTTAAAATTCTGTCCAGATGAAACTTTTAACATGGGAAATGTATACTAATTGGAATTTTCTGAACTGTGATTGCTTTTTTTTTAATTGGGGTGGAATATTTTATTGCAATTTATTTTTCATATGGAATGTTCCTTTTTTTTACCCACTTTGTCAAAATTTGAAATTAGCAAGGATGAAATATGATTGATAGGATGCACAGCTATGTTTTTTTTACAAAACTGTTAATGGCCATTGTAGAGGTGGTTGTCACAATCCCATGGCCATTGTAGAGGTGGTTGTCACAATCACATGGCCATTGTAGAGGTGGTTGTCACAATCATATGGCCATTGTAGAGGTGGTTGTCACAATCATATGGCCATTGTAGAGGTGGTTGTCACAATCATATGGCCATTGTAGAGGTGGTTGTCACAATCATATGGCCATTGTAGAGGTGGTTGTCACAATCATATGGCCATTGTAGAGGTGGTTGTCACAATCATATGGCCATTGTAGAGGTGGTTGTCACAATCATATGGCCATTGTAGAGGTGGTTGTCACAATCATATGGCCATTGTAGAGGTGGTTGTCACAATCATATGGCCATTGTAGAGGTGGTTGTCACAATCATATGGCCATTGTAGAGGTGGTTGTCACAATCATATGGCCATTGTAGAGGTGGTTGTCACAATAATATGGCCATTGTAGAGGTGGTTGTCACAATCATATGGCCATTGTAGAGGTGGTTGTCACAATCATATGGCCATTGTAGAGGTGGTTGTCACAATCATATGGCCATTGTAGAGGTGGTTGTCACAATCATATGGCCATTGTAGAGGTGGTTGTCACAATCATATGGCCATTGTAGAGGTGGTTGTCACAATCATATGGCCATTGTAGAGGTGGTTGTCACAATCATATGGCCATTGTAGAGGTGGTTGTCACAATCATATGGCCATTGTAGAGGTGGTTGTCACAATCATATGGCCATTGTAGAGGTGGTTGTCACAATCATATGGCCATTGTAGAGGTGGTTGTCATAATCACATGGCCATTGTAGAGGTGGTTGTCACAATCATATGGCCATTGTAGAGATGGTTGTAAATTCAAAGGCAGTCCATACAAGAGGCTATTTGGGCAACTGAAGTATATTTCTTCTTCTCTGACCATCATGGCTGATACAATAGTGTTGTCTATGCCCAACACAAGTTCGGGTTATATAAATGTTTTAATTACAATGTAACTTTGATAAACACCGTAGTGTGATCGTGTATAAAGAATTTTTTTTTTAATTTTGGGAAAGAGTAGAGCAGTGATTTAATTCGCGGTTGGGTTAAAATTATTGTGTAGTGTCACTTATGGTCAATCCTTATTGCATCACGATATGGACTTGTGTGCATTTTTCCCAGGCAATACCCACTTTTTATCACCAAATGGGCTTTGCTCACCTACACTTTTTTAGACCAAGCCCACATTGTGTCACCAAATGGGCTTTGCCTGAACTAGTTTGTCTAGGACAATGTATCACCAAATGGGCTTTGCCTTAACTAGTTTTCTTTACCAAGCCTACAATGTATCACCAAATGGGCTTGTGGCTCAGCCCATATAGCCGTCCTTCATGTAACCGCTGTCATTCCACAATCTAAAACAATCCTCAATAAAAGATGATGCTAAAAATAGATGTTGTTTTTCTTGTTAATTTTGATCACTGATGTTTGTTATAGAACATGACTGGTCTCACTGTATCATGTACAATAGAACATGGTTTGTCTCACCTAAAGTAGAACATGGCCAGTCTCACGGTGTCACCTAAAGTAGACAATGGCTGGTCTCACCTAAAGTAGAACATGCGGGTGTGACCTACTTAGGTCTGGTAATTATATTTTGACAGTTGTTATAATACCATATATGGTCTGTGGTGCAATGACCGGTTTTTTCCGCTGTCTTACTAAGAGAGTCTTAGACTCAGAAATTTTCCGTCAAGATATGATTGATTGATGCAGACCAGATGACCACCCCAACCAATGGCCTTATGATTTGAAGGTGACCTTCCATGTTGCCTAAGTCTATAAATAGACTGCGCACAGGTGTCTCGAGGCAGTTCATTGACCAGACGTCGTTGAGAGACATAAGCCCTGTGTGTTGCCGTGTAGTACTAAGTTGTTTAAGTAGCATATTCTTATATTACTTGTGGTTAAGTAATTCTTTATGCTTATAGCAGCGTTGTGTAAACTGTGGTGATTTTTCTGAAGTGTTAAAAGCTGTGATAGTGTATCATATTATTTTTTCCCACGAATTGTAAGTTGGGTTTTGTTCATTCTGTAAATCTATTTTATCCCTGTATAAATCTAGTGTTCTGCCACGACTTTGTACACTCATTACAAGTTATATGCAGATTAAATGTATTGTTGGCATCAGTAGTTTCTCTAGTGTTTCCCCTAGACATCAATTACGAGTCCTAGCGAACTAGTGTGTTAACTTTCTTTTATTTAGGCTTGTCGCCATCTGTGTATAATCAGTTAAACGAATCCGGGAGCGTTCGCCAACTATCTGGCTGATAGATTGGTGTCCGTTACACGGGCAGTTGTTAGTGTCCTTTATTTACGTACTAACCGACCGGTGCGGTTACTATACTTATTTTGTTTAACTAGGTTTTGTACTGTACATTTCATTAATACACTTTCCTTTTCCCGATGAAAATATCATTTTAAGTGGCTGGGCACATTTACCTAATTTTGTGGGCCGCCATACTTTCAGATAAATTACACGTGTATGTGTAGTGAGTAAGGGTTACTGTTCTTGCTTGGTGTGGTGAGTCAGGGTTACCGTTCCTGTCTGGTCTAATTCACTTGACTTGTATAGCTACTACTACTAGGTCTAACAGTATACAACATTTGACCCAAAAAAATATTTCGTTTCTCACATCTTGTCTCGTCTGACAGAAATTAACATATTAAAGAATGCAACCGATAAAGAAATGCCACAACTGAGTTACATTTTCATTATCAATTTCTGTAACGCAATTAATCTTACACATTTTTACTAAAACTATTTAGAAATAAAAAAAAATTCTAATGTTGAAAGAAATATCTTTGTGTGCAGATGTCGGTCTAATGTCACGTGAACGTATGTCCTTGGTCTCTTAAGTCTAGAGCGTGTTTACACGTGGAACAAGTATGGAGAACATATCTAAGAGATAAGTCTGGAAATACTTTTATAAAACGCTTTATACGGATCTACTTGCACAGAAACACGTATCTTGTATCTTCTAGGCACGTTATACATTTAGATACATATAGATGATGTAGATCTATACATGTATAATTAAATATAGTTTATTGTTGTTGATTTTTTTAAAAAGAGGACAAAAAATAATTATTGTGAACATTGTGCACATTCTACTTTTCTGAGAATTAGATTGATGAAACCACAAATATAAGCTCGCTACATACATGTTCCATTGACAACTACTTCATACAAGTTTCTTAAGTACTCGCACCATCATTGAATGAAACTTGTGGTTTTTTTTTCTCCATTCACCTAGATTGACATTATATAGCGAGTATTGAGTCACTATACAGCGAGTATTGTGTCACAGTACAGCGAGTATTGAGTCAATATACAGTGAGTGTTGTTTGATTATTGAACACAAAGCGATGTGGACGTCACATCTGTAGAGGGCAGCACCTCACCAAGTGGGCCGTCTCACGATGCAGTTGAGTATCTTATTTTTTTAATTTGATCTTTTTAATATATAGCCTAAATGCTTTGTTACTTTATTAAATGAAAAATTCGTCTTTGATAGTTTTTATGCTTGCAGTTAATATACTAAGCTGATATTAGCCCAAGGATTCCCGTTAGTGAAAAATCTAACATTTGCGCTCCCCGTTGTCAGAACACCCGCCTGCTAAAATAAAAACAAAATACATTGACTATAACGCGGGAAGACAAGTTACAAAACGTGAATTCATTAAATTTAAAAAAAAAAATGATATAAACTGGGGCACATTTTCCTTTATAATTATGTTTCATTATAATAACCGACCCCCCCCCCCCTCACCTCCGTATAAATTACCAGTTCTGTATAGTGAGTACCCGAGTAATAAAAGAAAAAAACATAGCCCACCGAAACTTCATCAACTTTACCCGTTCGTGCACAAGACACATGGTGCAGATGAAGTTGAGTTTCTCTGTTTCAGGGAATTCGGCATACGAAGAGATAGTGTGGTCAACACTATGCCCAGCCGCCCTTGATTTCCCCTTGATTTCACCCAACTGAGCTGGGTGGGCTCAGGGACGTTATACTGATTTGAACCAGGATTTGAACTCGAGACTTTCGGGTTAGCAGTCTAGCTCTCAACCGCTAGGCCACGCCACCTAAACTTGCGACCACCTATTAACATGTCCTTGAGCAACAGCTCGATGAAATGCAGCTGTTTTGGTTTAGACGTGCTAGATAAAGGCTCCATTTTGTTTGTACAGATCACGTGACGTAGTAGAGTATCAATATCTGAATTAATGTAAACATACACATCTCCGATCAACTTTTAAAAACAAACTATTCTTTGGGGGGGGGGGGGGGGAGTTTGTTGGCAAGGGGACAGATAAAATTAAACAAACACGACTATGCAGATAGCAGGAAAATACATCGAGAATATTTTACTTTACTTTGGCAGGATTTTGTAATGGGTACGGGTTCAATTATACAACTTATTACTATTGTGTTAAAGAAATGGGGAAGTTGTGCTTTTTGTGCAATAGCAGGAAAGGAAACGTCTTGGATGTGAAATAGTTCATTGGTAAAAGATGTGAAATTATTGAAGTATTGTTAACTGTTGTTAAACTTTAGCTTGAAGGAAATTCTGAAGCAACCTATTTTAAGACAATGATAATATTTTATTTTCACATTTCCTCAGAGCGCCGTTACAAGCTCATAGAGTTCTCGCCCTTACTGCTTACACTTTGGTGTTCTTTCTACTCAACTGTGACGCATCACTCACTCATCGCCGCGTAGTAAACACGCGCATTGATTTTCAGAAAGATAACTCGCAACAGGCAAACCACCATAAAATATTCCCTTATCTTCAAGAAGGAATTTCTGATAAGTCCAAAGGGCAATATATAGTACGACAAGGAGTGGATATTTGGAGCCGATTGATCAAAGAGATAAGATTTGATGCATCACGTGACCGGGGGGCTAGAACAAGATGGCGTAGAGATCTGATTTCTAGCTTCTGTAACACGGAGCAGTGCAAGGACGCTCTGGAGGCGTTTCTAAAGTGGAAGGCGCAGAATGGATATGGCGATCCATCGGATAGATGGGGATAGGGGGATGAGTGGATAAGTAGCTTTATCAGATGGGGGATGAGTGGATTTGTAGCTTTATCAGAAAAAGGATGAGTGGATATGTAGCTTTATCAGATGGGGGATGAGTGGATTTGTATATATGGGATAAGTGGGGGATATAGGGATAAGAGAATATTGATCTGTAAGATAAGTGGGGGTTAAGTAGATAAACTGATTTATTGATGGGTGGACTGGAAAAATAATATTTTCTCCAACGGATAAAAGGCAGATAGAAGACAACCCAAGAACGACTACTTTCTGTTATCTGTTGAAAAGAAGACGTGTTACCATTTGAGATATGAAAAGAAGACGTGTTACCATTTGAGATATGAAAAGAAGACGTGTTACCATTTGAGATATGAAAAGAAGACGTGTTACCATTTGAGATATGAAAAGAAGACGTGTTACCATTTGAGATAAGAATAAAGTTACTTCTCCATCTGATGTAGATCTGTTGCTTTATGTTTGTGTCTCCATTCTCTATGTTCACACGATAGCATTTTTTTTAAAACTCATTTTAAGTTGATGACTTTCAAGTCAATATTACAAATTCTATTTTTAAACAACTGTTTACTATTGGAAGTTAGTTTAACAAGACACTCTGTGGAGTATTACAATTTTAATTATCAATTTAAAATAATTATAACATATCCAATTCCATAGTAATTTCAATTAAGTTACAATATTTTTAAATTGCCATTTTTAAAACAAAATAAATAGGTCACACAATATCTGATTAACCTAATTAGGAAACTATACTCTTAAAAAATCCTTAAAATAGACAGTAGGAAAAACAATCTTTAATGGTAAAGGCTTTCAAGTTGAGTTACTTTAAAAAATTCAAGTTATTTACAATAATATCAATAAAACCCAAATAACATTAACAATATTTAAATTATTTTAAATAAAAAAACAAACAAAAAAACCAATGAATAATTGTAAGAAAAATGAAAAGACACCTGCATATTTGATGTGGTTACTACAGCTGCAGTGGTTGTAGCTGTTGCATTGGTTCTGTATTCTGGAATTAGTGAAGATCTCTTGGAGGAAAGAGAAGGCACAACATTGCATAGGTACTTTATTGAGGAGTGAGATAGGTGCGGCACTAATGCCGTAATGGCATACAGGAGTATGGACACAGGGTACTGGGGGCATCAGGGGTTGTGTCAAGGATTCAGGGGTCATCAGGGATCAGAGTTTGGGTACTGGGGGTATCAGGGTGTGGACCAGTAGCGTAGCGAGGGGGGGGGGGGGGAGGGCGGGGACACATATGTCCCCAGGCGCCGACCTTAGGGGGCGCCAAAATGGGGTTGGAAAAATAAATTGAAAGGTTGAGGGGGGTGGGGGGGTGCAAATCGAAATCGTGAGTGGGGGGGTGGGGCTGCAAATCGAAAGTTTGAGAGGGGGGGTGCAAAGCGAAAAGTTTGTCCCCGGGCGCCAGGAAGGGTCGCTACGCCTCTGGTGTGGACACTACTGGGTGCGTCAGGGGTCATGTCAAGGATCCAGAGGTCATCAGGGATCAGGGTGTGGACACTACTGGGGGCACCAGGGGTTATGTCCACGAACCAGGGGTCTCAGGGCTCAGGCTGTGGACACTGGGTCATGTCAAGGGTCCAGGGGTCACCAGGGATCAGAATTTGGACACTGGGTACCAGGGGTCATGTCAAGGATCCAGGGGTCATCAGGGGGTAGACAGGGCACTAATGTTTGCATGTGGATCTAGTGTTAAAGCAGGCTGGTCAAGGGGAGAAGACTACACATTAGCTACACACCTTAATTTGACTGCTGGTACCTTCAACAAAGGACTGATAATTGACACACCAGAGCTGAAGGATATGTGCTATATAACAGGCAAAGTTTCCTTTACAAATATTGTTATTAAATTACATTCAAGTGGTTAGAGCATTACATGCGATAGGATGTCATATTAGTAAAATGTATTGACCAGTAGAGACACCCAATAAAGTGTAAAATAAAAATATATTATATGCCGTTTCCCTCACAAGTTAAAAAAAAAGTGAGGGTACTTAGACGAAATTTTAATAAATAATACTGGAACATTACAATGTTGATGATATCCCAAGACAAAATCACACACCCCCACCTTACGCTGGGGAAGTTAAATTAATTTCTTTTTATTATACTGTGCCAAATTTCACACAGAACTCGCCAATTCTAACAGTCACATAACTGTGGTACACACACACACAAAGGAACATTGAAACTGGAATGACTTAAGAGTATTTTGGTAGAAAAGTTGGTTCAATATATAAATTTGATCAGGCTAGGTGTGTTATTTCCTTTTGTTAAATAAAAGGTTAATGCAGAGTGCAAGTAATTTTCTAATTTAGGATTCTGTAGTTTACCGGTTCATAAAATTGTCTCCCTTAATATTATCTCCCTTTAATACTAAATTTAAATACGCTGTGAAGGGTTGATCAATGCAAGTTTTAATTAAAACCAGCTGAACAACAAGAATAATACTAGGTGGCCGTGTACACGTACACAGTAACGTTGGTATTACAAGAGGGTCTGTGAGAAATACATCGCATGGCCAGAAGTGGTTTTGGCCAAGGATATTGTGTGGCCAATTAAAAACAAAATTGGGCCACCAACACAAAGAAAGAGTGTAAGCATCAATAGAATGCCCAGTCACTTGTACATCCAGGTTGTGTGGAAACTAAGAATGTGTGGGTAACAATTGTGTGGGTAACATAGGTGTGTGTGTAAACAATTGTGTGGGTCATACAGGAATGTGTGAATATCACATTGTTCAGCCCTCTTTACATTCCTGACTGATTCAGTCCATTGTAGCTGAACCATGTGACATTCTACATTCCTGCCAATCATGTATTCAGCCATTTTTAATACAATACCAATAGTATTTTTACAGATGTGAGCTCAATAACTTAAAAGATATAAAAAGCTAAATGCGTAACAATTTGAATTATTAAAAGAATAAAAAGAAATAAAGTATAAAATGTGTATAACAATGTACTGAAAGATGGAGAAAAAATAAAACAATGAAAGACATCATACGTTCAATAGATAAATAAACAGTATAAATAACAGTAGTCTACCCTTGGCAAATTGCTTTTGACCCTTCTTCAAATAATTTATTTTTTTACACCCATCAACCACAAGTTTTCAACAAGAAAATTACAAGGAGAGTCAGCAAGGTTGAGCATAGAAAAATATACAAGACACTGCCACCCACGTCAAACATCCCCATTTCTCCGCACTTAACTGCAACAATTTCAATCTATTTCAACTACCTTGGCTCAAATAGTTAATTAACAGAATGTAAGGTTACGACCATAATGCTGAAAACAAAGGAAGTGAATGAACGTATTATCTGAATTACAATTTCTGTACGATATGTTGAACTTTGATATTTTACAGTAATCAAAATTATTTTTTAAAACAATTTTAGGAAAGAATTCTAAAAAAAAAAGTAACAGCTTGACTCATTTTAGCAGAATGAGTTAATTAAATTTTTTATCACTTCTCTATTAGCAGCACATAGAGTTATCCCAACAAGGCACAAAACAAATCTTTAAAAACCAGTCTATTGTATTTGAAGTCCTAAAAGTCCAGCCTGCTGTACGTGACGTCCTAAAACTCCAGTCTGCTGTACGTGAAGTCCATCTCCACCCCAAACTCTTGAGCCCAGGGTACGCTAATGGCGTGTATAAACTCCACTGTGGCGTGTTTGCTGGTCAGTGTGATGTTCCAGTTGGCTGAGATGCCTTCCACCTCATTGAAGAGTTCAATTTTCATCTTCTTCATCGTGGACTCACACACTTCCTGAATTCAAACCATATTTCTAAAACAGTGGCATGGGCAAACATTTCTCATGGTGGGGAAGTGGGTTTGAATATTGTTTTTAGTTATATAAATAATTTATAAATATTCCGTAAAAATTTTAGGAAAGTGAACTGTCATCATATAACATGAATAAGACTGCATTTGGAATCAAACATAAAAAAAAGTTAATGAGTGATATGCTGATTAATCAAAAGTTGTTACAGATGACTTAGGAGTATTCAAATAGTAATTAGGGTGTAGAAGATTCAGGGATTGTATTTCTATAGAAAGAAGATCTTTAACCCTAACCTTAGATGAGTTAATCGCAGGCTAGAGCGCCAATATTGTATACTCACCACTGAGGCCACGTTGTTAATTTTTTGTCTCTCCAGAACTGTGAACTGTTTACCCACCGTCTCCACGGTGATGGGGGCCTGCAGGCGGGGCTGGGGCCACTGGTAATTGGTCCGCACCAGACAGATGTCGCTGGACGTTATGACAAAACTTACAGGGAAAAGCTTCTGGTTTCCTGGTGCAAAGAAAAATAAACTGAATCTAACAGACAATTTTTCCTCTATCTATCTTTGAAAAAATAAAACAAATTGTATTTAACAGACAATTTTTCCTGCATCCTCATCCACCATTGAAAAATTAAAACAAACTGAATTTAACGGACAATTTTTCCTGCATCTATCTTTGAAAAAATAAAAAAAACTGTATTTAACTGACAATTTTTCCTGCTTCCACCATTGTTAAAATAAAATAAACTGTATTTAACTGACAATTTTTCCTGCTTCCACCATTGTTAAAATAAAATAAACTGTATTTAACTGACAATTTTTCCTGCTTCCACCATTGTTAAAATAAAATAAACTGTATTTAACAGACAATTTTTACTGCATCTATCATTGAAAAAAATTAAAAACAAACTGTATTTAACAGACAATTTTTCCTGAATAAAAAAAAGTTTTAGGTGGCAATTGGTTAGTGGATGAACAGCAAGAGGATGTGGTGTGGATGCGTGTGCTGCAGCTTACCTATTCTATTATTGTATCATAGTGAATTCTGTATTACTTATCTCTCATATTGAAGATTTTTAGTATCATTGATATTTTTATCATTAAGTGTAATGTATCATCTTGGTATTGTCCTATATTGAGTGTATTTCCCTAGGCATTAAAGAAGAACCTGACAAGCACTTGGAAGATTTGTATTTTTCTTCTATAAAGGTATATGAATTTGCTGTAAAACTTAGCATACTTCAAACCTAATTAAGTACTTTACACCTACTTAAGTGAGTGAAGCAAAGATTTTTTTTTAAAATCACATTTTAAAAGTGTCAGATAAAAGAGAAAAACACGTCAACTCACCTCTTTCAATGAAACCCATACAGTACAGCAGCATTTTCTGATCACCTTTGCCCTTTGACACTACATCAAGGTCAAGGTTGTTCAATGTAGCCTGATCCACATCCTCATGGACAACAACATGGGAAGTAATCCCCTGAGAGACTGCGTACTTGGCCAGGTAAGCTGGTCAAGAAAATCAGAATAATCACAATGAGGAAAGCAGTACTCTAGCAAACAAACTACAAAAAGTGAAGCTCTTTGTGATGAAAATGTAGAGAATTTTTAATTTTGAGAATTTTAAATAGTGTTTTATCAATAAAATTTATAATTTTATTCTAATGAATTAACAATAACTTCTGACTGAGCTAGGTAGGTAAATGACTTTCAAATTAGGAAAATATATCACTTAAAAATAATCGGTTGTGTCAAAAATCAGTTTTTAAGTATTTCAAATACCAGATTCTTTCAGTTTATTTACTCACCAATTAAATTGCTTCAGTTCTTAAAACCTTCTAATTCTATAACCATCCCCACATAACAATGTACTCACTATGTAGGACCTCAACAAACTGCAGATAATTGTCCTACACATCCCCACTTCCTTTCCCCCCATACACCCATGTACTCACTATGTAAGACCTCCACAAACTGCAGAGTTTTGTCCATGTTCCGTGTGACAAACGTGTAACTGGAGCAGTCGGTGTTAAATTCAAGCCGCAAACTTTGACCTCCCAGCCCCACGTCAATGTAGCGGAGTTCATTGATTGGTTGGATTTCAACGCAGTTCAACCACTGCTCAGGGGGCAGGCTAAGAAAAAAAATTAGTTGACATGTCACAAGAGATCAGTTATGTAAGAAACTGTTTTTTTCCCCAAAATACTTGCTACGTTCAATTGAAGTGTTTCTTGTCTCCTTCTGCAGTACTCATTCAAAGTATTTTATATTTGGGGTAAAACAGAAAAAGTTCTTTGGCTAAGCATTTTTTTTTAAAAATGAAAGGAAAAACAATTTGTAATAAATAAAATCTATCTGGTTTATTCCTGGACACCAACCTGTGATCCTCCGAAAGAATTTTCAGAATATAAAATCTGGAAGTTGACAGGACAAGGATTCCTTCGTACGGATCATTTATGATGTACTGTACTATCTCACTCTGCCAACACCAAACAAATAAAACGTCAACACATTTTTAAAATTTAAAAAGCGACTAAATAAACCATACAGTTTAAGAGCAAATTAACAATTTTCATCTGTACAGATTAAAAAAGATATGTATGCTTTAACGGTAAATAAACAATATTATATAATGGTTTATATATGATACAACTTATGAAAAATCACAAAGCAACAACCAATTTACAGGAACATTAAAGCCTGCAAATGGGGATGGATTGGGCATGCCCTGAGAAGGAAGAGGTCAATGTATCGAGGCAAGTGTTTGACAAACCCCCAGGGAAAGAGAAAAGTAGGCTGACCTAAATAATCCTGGAGGACAGTAGAAAGAGAAGCAAGGGCTGCAGGGACTACGTGGGCTCAACTAAAGTGATCTGCCAAAAACAGTCTGGTGAAGAGGTGTAGCTGCAGCACTTTGCTGTTCTGGGACTTCAAAGGAATATGTCTAGTCAATATTTAATACAATGACAGAAGAATGTTTACCTGTAGTTTACAGACAAACTCTTCATCATTTCCAAAGAGGGACATCATCATGTAGAGAGTCAGGTGATGGTTCAAGTGATGAAAAGCATATTGGGGAACAACATCAGCATCATCTTCTTCTTCATCGCTTTCATCTGAGCTTTCAAACCCTGCCTGTGCTGCAGGCGAGGGGCTGGGGACCGTAACCTCGGAAGTTTCTAGTCCCTCATGTGTTGCATATGAAGTTGCGGAACTGTCTGGAACTTGTACAGCGTTTACTTTAGGTGAGGCTAAAACTGTTTTCTTAGACTTTTTCTTCTTTGATGGTGTTTTCTTCTTGTTGGTAGGTATGGCGGTTGGTTTGTCGTAGATACTGGTTAAATCTTCGGTTGAGCTGGCATGTTCACTGTCGCTTGATCCTACAAGTTTGACGTCATCAGCGGAGGTGGCAGTTTTGTCATCCACCTTGGCACTGCCAACAGGTGTGGCGTCACCCTCAGGTAAATTGTTGACAGACGTCTCGTACACGCTGGAGATCATGCTGCTGCAGATGTCGGAGTTCAAAGGTGAAACTACCCTGGGGCGCGGAGATTCAGGATTCTCGAAAGAGTGCTCATCGTTTGGCGTGCCGACAGAAAATTTGACGGGGGTGGAGATGTACGAGCTGTAGTCAGGGGTGCCCGTCCTGCTCCCATCCTCTTGTTCAGCCGGGGTGGGCAGGATGGCGATGCTGGAACTACTTTCAGACAACCTCAAGGCGCCGTCTGTAGAGTTAATGCTGCCTCGTCTCTGATTGGTCGAGGACTTTCTCAGCAGGGATACGCTGAGGCTCTTCATGGTGGTCCTGCTGCTGTAGCTGGAGCTGAGCAGCTCCTGCTCCTCCAGCTCCTTCCCTTCAGTCACCAGCGTGTTGACCAGCTGCTCCATGGCTGCCAGGTGCTTGTACGCTGGGCCTTTAGCGCTGGACTTTGATCCATCTTCATACTTTTTCTCAACACCTTCGTCATCTTTAGCTTTTTCTGACAATGAGTTTGATGCTAAGACAGCTGTTGATGTTGGTTTTGCTATGGGCATTGCAATACTTGTAGTTCCCGAACCTTCAGCTAGAGCTTTGGCTGACTGTAACAAAGAGCTTTGTGAAAACTCACTGCTATTTCTGTAGATCCCGCTCTCAAACCCACTGTCGGAAATATTTCCCATGCTCCTCCTTGCCTGCCCAGGCGCCATATTGTCATTGGGTGATTCCTTAGAAAAACTCCTTCTGACAACAGACTTGGTGCCTCGAGTGGACGTGTCTTCTCTCAGACTTGTGGTCATGGCTGCCAGCTGCTGGGATGCTGAGTCTTTGGCGAAATAGTCCTCAACACAGACCAGCTCATCGTTCTCAGAGAACTTGCCAGACTGGAAAACAAAAAGCCAAAAATAAACAAAAAAAAGCCAAAAATAAACACAGATCAGCTCATTGTTTTTAGACAACTTGCCAGACTGCAAATAAAAGCAAAAGATAAACACAAAAAGCGAAAAATAAACACAAATCAGCTCATTGTTCTTAAACAACTTGCCATACTGGAAAACAAAAAGCCAAAGATAATTTAAATATTCACAAAAGAGAATCATCTGCATAATCATGAAGAGAAAACAGCGCAGATAAGAAATTTGTTTCCCTTGTGCAGATGCCCAACCATAGGGGTAGATAACTTTTATCCGTCAAAGCTGATACTATTGTCATTCCTCTTGTATGAGAAACAAGGTGATCTACAACTTCTGCACCAGGTACTTCTAGATCTTGAAAATAACTTAAATTGAACAGTAAGGACTCAGTGAGAAGGCAATACACTAAGTTACTGCTGGCACATTATAAGAGGGATGTTGTCAATAAACAGGTTCCTTCCCTATACACCTACACATGAAACATATTGGTACTAAAGAAAACAAACGAAAGCCTTACACTATGCACAATCATGCTTTGAGCCATCTTGCTGTTGAATGCATTGCTTCTGTCTCTACCTCCTGCCGTCCTCATTTGTACCTCTCTTGTCAGGCTGTCAGGACAAACAGGACATTTTTAAGGACAAACATCAATGAAGGACAAACATCAATGAAGGACAAACATCAATGAAGGACAAACATAAATGAAGGACAAACATCAATGAAGGACAAACATCAATGAAGGACAAACATCAATAAAGGACAAACATCAATGAAGGACAAACAACAATGTAAGTCAATCATCAATGAAGGACTAACATCAATGAAGGACGAACAAAATGAAAGTTTAACATCAATATTAGGATAGCAAAAATGAATATTCTTTCACTTAGTTGACATTATGCTCATGTTATTTTCAATGCTCTTAGTTTGAAGCTTTGAATTTTATAAAACTAAACTTTTACATTTTAAAAAGCTATGTGTGTACATATGTAGTACATATATAACAATTTTTATCCCCATCTCCCATTAAAAAAATAAACTGGCTACACTACTGCTTTGCTTGCATGATAATTTTTACAAACTCCATCTAAATTTTATGTGATTGTCTGGTTTAAAATCCAACTGACTAGAGTTAAACTAACAACCAATCTACTGGTGAAAACAACAGAAAAAGCCAAAAACATATACCTTTAACATGTGATATAACTGACTAGGGTTAAACAAACAACCAGTGAAAACAACACAACAAACCACCAACATAAACCTTACCTTCCTGGAGATGCACCATATGATTTCACTGATGAGGGTTGGCCTCCCTTGGTCCCAATATTAAAATCAAGAGAGCTGGTTGAGTTTTTACGTCCTTGCAACCTAAATATTAAAAAAAAAGTTTTAAATAGGTACAGTGGGTAGCTTGTATGGTATAGTACAGGAGAATCAGAGTTAACCTGCAGCTATGCTACACAGAAACGATTAAATGGATTAAATAGCCATTACAGGCCATTAATTTTTATTATAAAGAGAATCAAAAATTAATTTTTTCAACGAAAAAGAATTGAATACATTTAAAAATTAGTTTTTAAAAGTCTCAACAAAAAAAAAACGTACTCAGCAGATTTTCTTTTAGACAGGGGTGTGGTACTCCTGGCCAGATCCATGAAGCCACCAGCTGAGGTGTGTGAGCCAACAGGGGTCGAGGTGGAGGACTCCACAGATTTGGTGCCACGTGTGGCTGGTTCTAGTTCTATGATGATGGTGCTGCCACACTTGGGGCAGATGTACGATGGTTTCTCTGGCATCGTGAAATATATTTTTATTCCAGGCACTAGCTCACTTTTTATGGGGAATTGTCAGCTCACTTTTTATGGGGAATCGTAAGCTCACTTTTTATGGGGAATTGCCAGCTCACTTTTTATGGGGAATTGTCAGCTCACTTTTTATGGGGAATTGTCAGCTCACTTTTTATGGGGAATTTTGTCAGCTCACTTTTTATGGGGAATTGTCAGCCCACTTTTTATGGGGAATTGTCAGCTCACTTTTTATGGGGAATTGTCAGCTCACTTTTTATGGGGAATTGTCAGCCCACTTTTTATGGGGAATTGTCAGCCTACTTTTTATGGGGAATTGTCAGCTCACTTTTTATGGGGAATTGTCAGCTCACTTTTTATGGGGAATTGTCAGCTCACTTTTATGGGGAATTGTCAGCTCACTCTATATGGGGAATTGTCAGCTCACTTTTTATGGGGAATTGTCAGCTCACTTTTTATGGGGAATTGTCAGCTCACTTTTTATGGGGAATTGTCGGCTCACTTTTTATGGGGAATTGTCAATCAGTGTTTAAGACGGCACATCTCCGAAATTACGTATGGTTTTAAAAACTTGAAATGGTAAATGCACAAATAAACTCACCCATCAGGCACGCATAAGAAACTCACCCATGAAGCACACATATAAAACTCACCCATGAAGTACAAATAAACAACTCATCCTTGAAACACACATATAAAACTCACCCATGAAGCACAAATAAACAACTCACCCTTGAAACACACATATAAAACTCACCCATGAAACACACATATAAAACTCACCCATGAAACGCATATAAAACTCACCCATGAAGCACACATATAAAACTCACCCATGAAGCACACATATAAAACTCACCCATCAGTTTCTGGAGAGACTGTAAATCCCTACTGCTACCCGAGGTTGGCAGCTCTTTTCTCTGCTGCACCAATTCACTTTTCAAAAAGGTGCGGTTGCATTTCAAACACTGTAAAAAATAAATTATATTTACTCCAAGCTTTAAGTAAAACAATGTAACTATAATCAGTGTGAAGATGCAGTTAGCCACTCCAACAAATATATGAATATGATCATTGTTCTTTTATATTACCACATTATTCTACCAACATAGCCAGATTTTTTAAAAAATGTGTTTAAACTTACTTGCATCACCACCATTGATTTGGCTTTAATTTCTGCTTCTCTGGCATCTAAAAATGGCTGAATAAGATCCTGGATAATCTGAAGGAGTAGAAAAATTTGTGAGTTTATATTTACAGTTAAAAAAACAGAATTTTGGTGGAAAAGTTATAACAGTAGTCTCAATGGAATTAATTAATTACACATTCCCTTTACATGTACAGTTGAATAAAATAATTTTAACCTTCTGACTAACCTTTCCATCCCCAAACTCCAAGTGATAGCATCTTTTCTGTCTGTCTTTCCTCATGTAATCAAACTTCAAATCCAACTGCAGACACTCACTGTCCTCATTCTCTCCCCTTGTTTCATCACTGCACAGATCGTCTCCCTTGCTTGCATCCCCCAAGGTTGTCTGGCTGTTTCTCTTTCTTATAGTGGCTGACTCCATACTAGTCAAACTGGCAAGCTCAAGCTTCTCTTTAATCTTCCCTTTGATATCCTTTTCTACCAGGTACTTGTCAGTGAGTGAGACTATAATCATTTTGTTGTCTTGGAGGGGTAAGGTGACAAAGATTGGTTCAGTGACTTCATCACTAGTTTCTGTGAACATTTTAAACAAGAGACGGTAGACAAAATAATTTCCTCTAAAACAAAATAAAATTATTTTTTCTATGTTGCATTAATTAATTTTTTGTGTAACAAAAATTTTTTTTGTGTGGGTGTAGGCTTGTTTCTTGTTAAGTACTTATTACATTTAAAGTTTTGAGAAATAATTGTTTCAAAACTTTTATTTAAAAAGGTAACTTTTTAGTCAATAATATTTTTTGAAAATTATTTAGCCATTTGTGTTCTGATTTTACAATGAGTAAGTATGTGTAGTTTCTGGGGTATTGAAATAACAGTATGTTTATGATGTTCAGATTAAATGTATAAACTAGCTTTGACCAAAATAAACACATACCAATGCATAATGTGGATGGGATTAAATAAAAATAATGAGCTGGAAAAATTAACAGCCAATATTTAACTTGTAAACAAAGATATTAAGTGAGGGTAGAACAAGATACACCAATAATGTAAACAAAATCTCTCCTTTCAGACCTAAAGATTCACAGGGCAGATAAAGTAGAGTTCATGTTATGACCTCAGTATGTGAAGGGATAGTGTGGTCAACACTTTACTTTCTCCAACGCGAGTCAGGTACCCAACACAGCTGGGTATACTCACGGACGTCCTACAGTCACAAGTCTGAACCAAGATCTGAACTCAAGACCTTCAGGCTATCGGCCAAACATTCTACCATTTGACCATGCTGTCCCATACTTTGATAGTGTAAAACAAAGTATTTCATGTGGCTTACTTGTTGTGGAGGTACCAGTGATAACGTCATATTTAGGTAGGTCAGTCTGAGATGAGGCAGGGCTGTTTTTCTCAGAGTTTTCTTCTGATTTGATGGGCGACAGGGTGGTCTGAGATACAGGTCTCTCTGTGGGGCCCTCATTCAGCAGCTTCTTGGAAAGAATTGATGCTACTTTGTCAACAGGTTGGGGGACGGAGACTGTATTAACCTGCGGTGGCGCCACCTGCTGGCCTACAGAACTAAATGACTTTCCTGGTCCTGCAATGGTGCTGGTAAGTGTATTTGATAGGGTGTTGTCAGTTTCATATGCAAATGTCTGTGTAAACTTAGGTGAACCCATGTCAATTTTACCAGGAAGGAGTTCAGACGTAGAGGGAATGTTTCCTGTCTTCTGATTGGCTGCGTCTGGATATGCCTTACCAGCTGCCAACCTGGCTATCTCGGCCATGATGGGATTGGTTGTTTCATTACGGATGGTGTTATAGCTTGCTGGGTTAGGTGCAGCAGAAACCGTGGGTTTAGTATCTCTTAAGTAGAGATCATCGTCAGTGGGGCCATTCGTGTTGCCTCTAAAGTCATCGTCTTCATCAGACCCACCGGAAACTTCCTGGCCAAACCGTTTAGAGTCACTGTCGGAGTCACTGGAGGATTTCTTTTGTTTGCTGACTCTCTCATCACCAGAAGAGTCAGCAGCTTGGTCCAGTTTTTTTACTTTAAAAATATCCCTGTCTTCTATGGCCTAAGAAAAGTGAATAGAATTTAAGATTAGTCTCTCAATAAGCATGTTTTCATATTAAAATGAAAAAGCCAGTAAAATAAGCAAATTTTTTATATTGTATATACCTTAAGTATTTTACCTAACATTTTCAAGAAATTTGGTAACAAAAGAGAAGAAATTTTTTTATGTTCATCTCTTTTAATGGTTAAGAAAACCCTCATTTAGTATATCTAAAAAAAAAAGGTTTAACTAAAAGATTTGTTAGAAAACAAAAATGATATATCAAACTGAAGAAGATTACCTTTTCCCCTACAGATGCCCTAGAGCATCTTAGTTTTACCATACTTCTTTTTTAACCTAATTATTATGTCCTTTTATACAGTACTTCTGTTTTAACTGGATCATATTTTTTTTACTTAAACATTTCATGTTTTTTTATACAACACTTCAATTTCAACTAAAATATTCAGTTTAACTTGGTCTATGAAACTTTTCTCTATTTACTAATTGTGTTAAAACTTGATTTAAGAACCTGTAGCCAGTTGGGTCCATAATGTTTCCTTAGCTCATCTATCTCTTTCTTGGTCTGGCTTGCCTCAAGCGCCCGCACACGAAGTTGTTCTTCCAAGTTTTTCACAGCCGGTGATGTTCCTGGGGAAGATAAGTGTTATAGAGTCCATAGGATGCTGGTGCTGATGACAGCAGACAGGTGAAGTACTTGAGTGATAAGTTAGGAAAACAGGCTACATCTGTCTTTACGATTTGATCAAATAATATTAACACATGTTCAATCCTGCGAGGAGCAAGGTGCCTAACTTATGCATACGTTAACTCTAACCTGTACAACTGGGGCAACTCAAACACATATTTAGTAAGAGGATTTACAATCAAACATACTAAGGGCCATTCAAGTTTCACAATATATAGTATGGACATACCTATAATTAACATATTTTATCCCAGTTCCCTACCCTATGCTAATCCAAGTATAAACAATAAGCATATCAATATGTGTGGCTAAACCTAACAATTCTCTTAACTATCATACTTATTTTTGTGCCAGTAATAAAATATGTAGTGTTGTTTTTCTAAACTATCATAAATATTTTTTGTGGTAATATTCCTTTATGTCAAGATGGACCGCTTTTTAAAACTAAACTACGATCAATATTTTGTTTATTTCTAAGAATTATAATAAAAAATTACTAATTAATTTGCATCAATATCACTATTTCATTTATACTAAGTTAATTTTCTACTATACTTTTTGTTAAATGTACAGATCAATTCAAAAGAAAACTTACAGCCACAGCAGTTTACCCTAGTATGATAAGTAATAATGTGTCAATATCAGTTGAATGAATGAACAAAGGAGTTTATGCTGGAAGATTTAGTCTTGTTTAGGTTAGTGTTGTGTTAACCTGAAGATTTTTTACCTGGGGTTGCGTAATAAAGTGTCGATATCAGTTGAATGAATGAACAAAGGAGTTTATGCTGGAAAATTTAGTCTTGTTTAGGTTAGCGTTGTGTTAACCTGAAGATTTTTTTACCTGGGGTTGCGTCTCTGCTGGATGAGATGTCTCCTGAGGTGTCCATGTCCCTGATCTCTGTTTTACGAGCTTTCAGGCGTTTGCGTTTTGCTTTCTTGGAAGAACTAGGTGTAACTAGAATACTGTTGCTTAAAAAAATATTATTAAATTTGTGTTAATAAGTTTATAGAAATTTGCCATAGAACAATTCTTGATCAAAAAATATAATATTTTGTGTAGAGAAATTATGATTAAACAGAGATATAAACATTTTAAAATATTATTGTATTCTAAAACAGTGTTTACACTTGCAACATGTATACATGTTCCATGCGAAAAATGTTCTCATACAACATTAACTTGTTGCAAGTTTTTTTGCCCTAGACATGTATAGTGTACAAGTCGCAAGTATAACCACAGTGTAAGACATTATTAAAAGGCCATAAAAACTTTACTGGTAAAGATTTATAAAATATACCTTTCTGTCTCAGTACCTATGCCAGAAGAAGGAGAAAACTTAAAATTGTTTGCTCTCTCTGGCGTGCTAGTGCGTATCCTAGTCACTGACTGCGGAAAAAGTGCAGTCTGTGTATTCCTGGCAGGTCTTTTAGAGGGACCAAAATGCTGAAACATGAAACAATTGTTACATTATTTTCCTGTTTTTAGAAAAACCTTAGTGCTAAAACATGAAACAATTGTAACATTATTTTCCTGTATTTAGAGCAACCTTAGTGCTAAAACATGAAACAATTGTAACACTATTTTCCTGTTTATAGAGCAACCTAAGTGCTAAAATATGAAACAATTGTAACATTATTTTCCTGTATTTAGAGCAACCTTAGTGCTAAAACATGAAACAATTGTTACATTATTTTCCTGTATTTAGAGCAACCTAAGTGCTAAAACAAGACAAAAACATAAAACAATTTTAAAACTTATTAAAAAACACACATCTTTTTGACAGTAGATACAAGCTATAAAGAATTTAATTTTTAGAAAATTAATGAACCAAAACTTTAATACTCACTGTGATTTCTGACATACTCAATTTTTTCTTGTCTAGCTCAAACTGTAATAGAAATATTTTTTTTTAAAATGTGAGCTAGATCTAGATCTAATTCACAGAATTAATTCACAACAATAATCAACACAAGGAAACATTAAAATAATATTACTTTTTAAAGTAAATAATTCCTTTCATTTAAAGTTAGGTCCAGTGAAGTTACAATTTTTAGAACTTAATGATAAACACTAAATTTTATAGTACTAGGACAAATTTTAAAATTAATCGTTTTTTTAAGGAAATAATTCATTTCATTAAAATTCTTAGAGCTTAAACTTTACTTTATCTTAATGTAAATAATTATAAAGACAGTAACTGTACAAAAAGATAACAAAAGACAGTAACTGTACAAAAAGATAACAAAAGACAGTAACTGTACAAAAAGGAAACAAAAGACAGTAACTGTACAAAAAGATAACAAAAGACAGTAACTGTACAAAAAGATAACAAAAGACAGTAACTGTACAAAAAGGAAACAAAGACAGTAACTGCACAAAAAGATAACAACCTCAATGTTGACAGCCTGCCCAGACAGGCAGGAGACTGTCAGTGGACGATGCAAGCGGTGGTAAAATATTGGGTTACCATCCAACTGGAGCTAGAGGGAGTATAAAAATCATGGATCAGAAAACATTACAAGAAACAAGTTGATGACAACTACGTTTACAATTATTTAAGAACTTGTTTTTTTATTTACCATTTAAATATTTATTTATTTAAAGGAATTCCTTTTTGCATGTATCAATCTACAATGATTTTCAATCACTTAATTATTTTTAAACCAAAACATTTATTAAAGCTACTTATTTATCATACACTTTACTACAGTGGCAGAAAGATTTACATCAACAGTTTAAACAGCATTATACCTGCTTAAGTCTATTTAAGGCACTCAAAGGTTCTAGGAAGCTGTGGTCATTGATGCAATTTTCCCCAAGATCCAAATCTTGTAAGCCAATTAGTTCATTTAAGCCTGCAGATAAAAATAATAGTTAAACCATACTATAAGGGTGGCGTTAAGGAAGACATGATTGCAAACCAAAACAGATCAAGCTTAGTTCCCATGGTCAAATCAGTAAATATCTGGCTGGACATGGTGCTGACTGCACATACCTTTATATCCAGCGCTCACTGAATTAGATGACATCAACTTCAGCACAACTATGAACTATTGAACTGCTGAGCCTTTACTTAACTGATATCTTCTAAACTACATATAACCACAAAGCTTTAAGTATAAGGAGTTAAGAAAGAGTTAATTTAACGCAAACAATAATACCACCAATTACCCTCGACAAGAAAAGTTAACTCATCTGTTTACCTGCGACTTTATCGAGATTGTTTCCCCTCAGTATGAGAGATGTCAGTGACGACCGAGTGGTGACGGAGAAAGACGGTATGGAGACTAGAAAATTGTACGCCAAGGTCACGCTGACCACATCACCCAGGTACTGAGAAACAAAAAATACATAACTTTAACATCTTTACCTGAAGCTTAAGATAAAAGTAAAAAAAATACATAACTTTAACATCTTTTCCTGAAGCTTAAGATGAGAGTCTAATTCTTAAAACAAAAACTTTCAATATAAAAAGCTAATGTTAACTAACTAATAATACATCTTTTGTAATAAAATCTGGGCAATAATATCATATATTCAACTAGACTGATTAGTTATGAATTAAATTATTAACATTTTCTTTCATTAATACCTTGCTTTATCTAGACTTTTGTTTAAAATATAAATCTAACAAATTGGAAATATCTTTATAACAAATTTCAATATGTATTAAGAAACTTAAAAAAGTTAACATCTAAAATGAGTTTTAGATACCCATGATGTACATTGGGGGATAAACATTCACGATATCTTTAAATTTTATAATGCTATAATGTGTATGCTAAGAATAAAATACAACTTACCTCTAAATTTTTATCACAGTTGTGTAAAGAGTTGTGACTTAGATCTAGGACTTCAACAAAAGGCAGTAATCTCTGCAGACAAAGCAACACAAAATAAAACATGGACATTCATACCTTTGAAGTAGGTATAAATGTATCAAAATGCATGAATTTGAGAAATATCCTTATGTATGTATAAATATCCGTGTGAATGTTATGGAATGAAAGTTTTTATTATGTAAAAAAGTAAAGTTCTCTTTTCAAAGCTCATTGTCTATAGAGTTCACTTGTTTATGTGACCTCGCGTACAAAGAGATAGTGTGGTCAGCACTATGTCCAGCCGCCTTTACTTTCCCGAACGTGAGTTTGGTACCCATCAGAGTTGGGTGGACTCAGGGACGGTTTACTGACTTGAACCTGGATTCGAACTTGAGACTTACGGGTTAGCAGTCCAGCTCTCTACAGCTAGACCACTCCGCCCCTTATAAGTCTGTTGGTATTACATGTCTTAGTACAAAAACATCAGTGAATACAAAAACTGTACCAGTGAATCATCCAAACAAGACAGGGAGTTGAACTTAAGGGAGAGAAACTTCAACATTGGCCAGGTCATGGGTGAGGTCATATCTCCCCCACAGGACTCCAGCAAATCCTGAAAAATAATTTTAAATAAAAATAAATCTACATTAAGAACTAAGGCTGTACAGTTAAAGAACCCGAGAGAACATTTGGTTTATTAAGTCGTACACCTCATGCAAAAATAGAGAGGTGGTTGATCTTAGCTCACTCCTAAAACCTATATTTTAAAAATCAGTTTCATAAAAACTAAATTTAAAAAAAAAAGCTAAGCAGATATTTTATTTAAAGAGAGTCTAAAGAATAAAAGTACAGAAATTTAAAGCCAGTTGACAGAGATGTTTCAAACTTAATTTTTTTTAATATAACAAAATGATAAATGTATATTAAAATGGTCCAGAACATTAATAGATATGTTGTAATTAAAGCATACAATATGAAGGTAAACCAACCTTAAGCTTGTCGATAGATCTAAAGACTGTGACAGATGAGAGAGTACAGCGAAGCTGCTGAAGCCCTTCTACCATGTGTATGGGCACCCTCCGCAGATGCAGACATTGCAAATTCAGAAAACGATGCAGGGATATTGGAGATGTTATGGTGCTGGAGTTGTGGATGATCTGGAAATAAAATGTTCACATTAAATACAGTCAACAATTCAAGGATACAAGTGTTTAAGTGACTGCTGCTTTGAGAGGTTTACCAGTCAGGGTTCAAATCCTTTTTAGAAATATTCCTTAACTATGACAATAGCTTCTAATAGTAAATTAATGAACCATATAAAAAAAAGAATAACACTGTCACTTAAGGAGAAATAAAATAATCTGTTATAATTGACAGTCGATAGGGAAAGTGAGACAGGTTCCATCTATTTCTTTATGAATATATAGGGATACTGTCGTCATAACTATGCCCTGCCACCTCAACGTTGCTCACTCAAATTATGTATTAAGATAGTTGGACTCAAATCACCTGAGAATATCAGGTTAGCACTTGCGTGCTCTACTTCTTTACCTCTCTGTCCTATCTATATAGTAAAAGGAAATTTTTTAACAGTAAGAATGTGGGTTTTTGTTTAATATAATCACTGCTAGGTTGTAAAGAGAAACTTTAAGAAAATGACAAACCTTTAAACTTGGAGTACTCAACATAAAATCCTTAATGAACTGTATGTGTGCACTCCACTCTGCTTTAGCTCTTTCTGCTTCCTTGTGGGCCTGCATTCTCTTTGTCAATGGGAAGAAAGAGGAACTACCCTGAGTGGACTCTGGTATAGGTGCGCCCACATCAGTGAAACTGTGGCGTCTGCAGTCCTTGTTGAGGTAAACCAGGACGTCAGTGGTCAGGGTAAAAGCTGAGTTGCCATTTAGCACTCTGTGACCTGGAGGGACAGAATTATTTTTTTCTTTTTGAAAAACGTAAATGACAGGCTAAGACAATTAGACATTCTCCAAATAATAATTCAGTTCCTGAAATTTTAAAATGTTTGAGAAATTTGTAAATTGTGACAAAACGTCACAAGTTTATGTTTTAAAGGTACCTGTCTTTATTTATCATAATATGCATTCCACTGTACAAAGAAGGCAGATTTATTGTTTTATTTACTATAAACATGTTTCTTTTGTATTGGAACACAGAACCATAAGAATAAAAAGTAAACATGCTAAGATTATAAGTTGCTTACCTTCATTTCTAAGTAAATAACACAACTTTTTCAGTGAAGAGTTATTGATAGTTGGTTGGTAGCTTTCACCCATGGTGACCTCTGAACTTTGTAATGCCATTGTAGATAGAGCTACTCAGAAGCAGATGGATTCAACACATTTTAAAAACACACATACACCTGAAAAAAATATGAAATTTAACAATTAAAGAACTGGAATTCAAAAGTTTCATCTACTGTCATACAACTGTCCAAAAAAGAAAAAAAAAATATTACTCTAAATTATTAAAACAACAGAGCTTGTTAGTCTACGTAATGTATTTTAATTAAAGCAGTTATCTTGCAATTTTAGCAAAAACAGAGGGTATTCATTCAAGTTATGTATCTAATAAAAGCTAGAATCTAGGCTTATCCTAAAAATAAATTACACCAGTTCTTATGGTTTGTCCATGTGTCATGTATCTAGTACAGCTAAGGTGAGACCAGTTTTTTGTACGCTAGTACATTTTAAATAAATATTATAGATCTAGATCAAAATTTTTAAATAAATATTTAATATGTCTATGGGAGGATTGTTTAAATACAAGTATTACCAGTTTTGGACAATGGCACAATAATTTATAATAGAATCTTCTTTAAGAGGGGTGTTAGGTTAGTCGTAGTTAACTAGGCCTAAATACTTGAAACAAATTTGACTTTCTTATAATAAATAATGCCCAACCATGAAACTACACTAAGTACTAAGTAGTACACTTGGGTTTACAATAATAGATCTACCCTTGAGTACAACAAAACGACCTATCACACCTATTTTTAGTATCTAAATCTAGAATCTAGATTTAAGTATACTAAGTAATGTAAGTAAGTTAAGTATTATATTAAGTATTATATTATTCTCTATCCAAACTACTCAAGAGTCTGGGTGTGGGGAAATTGCGAGGCGCGTAAAGCGAAATGGGAAGGCTGTAAACTGCGAGAAGATAATGCAAAACATACCTGCTAGAAAAAAAAATCGTAGGTCGTGGCTATAAATACAAAATTTCTATGCAACAATACAAAATAAGTTTGCGGCGGCAGCGGATTTGGGTACGGTGATCTTCAAAGACGATAAATCAGGCGGCTTCGGTGTTCCACACAAAAGAAATAAATTGATCTATCGTAGGCGGTATTTCGAACAAGGCAGTACTCTAAGTCGACACAAAAGATGGGGGAAGTTGACAAATCATCAAAATGTCTAGCGACGGAAAAATCTGAGGTTTTAACAAAGTAAACGAAACGTCTTTGAAGTCTGCTTCAAATACCACTGTAAATTGGGTGCGGTAAATTTTTCGCAGATATCTTCGCATTTAACAACACCCAGCGTAAGTAACGGGTTGTGGTAATATGCAAGACAAAACGTCAGGTGACCGCCCGTTTTCGCTGCCTTCTCGCAGTTTACCGCCTCGCCATTTTGCAATTTCCCAACACCCCAAGAGTCTAGACAAAACTCTATAACTATAGTCTAGACTAGACTACCTAGAGTCTAGTCGCCTAGTAATTAGTTAAATTTTGTATTTATAAGTATTTAGCTAGATTCTAGAACTCTAATTTTAAAATTTAGATCAGACCTAGATCTAGTCTAGATTAGATTCTAGAAAGATCTACTAAAATACTACTAACTAATTAAATTTAATAGTACTACTAGTTAGTACTAGATCTAGTACTAATGTCTGACTAATCTAGATCTTGCTTGAGTTTTGAGTCTAGATCTCTAGCCATTCTAGTATCATTCTACTAGTTATCTATTTCTTTTCCTAGATCTAGATCAATAACAATTTAACTATTTAACAATAGAAACAAAACAACATACAAAGATCTGAGATCTATGAACATAATTAAAAATTAATGAAGATTGAAGAGAGTGAATGAAGAGAAAGAAGGAAGAGGAAGACCTACACTGACACTCAACACAACACTCAGACACTGTGACTGTGACTGTCCTACACTCAATAAATTACTAGATCTAAATTAAATTTGCTTCAAATGGAAGAATAATTGATTAAAATTGATTGAAGAATCTAAGTTTTCAGCCTGTAAATATAAAATAAAAATTGTAAATAGACTAGATTCTAGATCTAGACGTAAATCTAGAAAAACTGTATTAAATCTAGAATCTGTATCTGGCACAGACAGCTCTGTAGTGAAAAAAGTAAACATTAACTCATGACTGAATACGGTGTTACATTTCCTTTGTAGCTTAAGATATTATTTCGTGTTTTAAAAGCATTTTTAAATTTTATCTCCTGTTACTATGATAGTCTTGTGAGTTTTTAAACGAGTGAATTTTTAAAAAAATGAATAATTGCTGTTACTATATATTATATATGTTCTTCATATTGAACAATTTATATAATAGGACCTGAATACTGCATATAGTTTAAATACCTTATGCCTCCCCCTCCCCCTCTCTCCGCAGTGTGACGAGAAAGTATGACGTCATATTGTTGCACTTTTTAAAAGAAACTTTGAAAGGTCAATTTTGGAACTTTATAAATCTTTCTTGTAGATCTAGATCTAAACTGCATTATTGAAAAAAAAATCGTCATCCCCTTCTTCTGTCTGTGGGGCTTCAAATAGTTGTTTTTAGTCTGACTTGAAAAGTTTTCCCGTTATTCTGTGACTGGAGTTTCCTTACAACAAACTTACTTCGATTATTTTTATTCTTTATTCTGTTGTATCCAACATTGTGGTAATGCGGTGGTTCTTAAAATTTTTTTTTAGGTACTGAACCCCCACCAGCTTCAAATGCGCATTTACCGATCCCACCTTTATAGAAAAACAAATGATTTTTTGTTTCAAATTAAGAACATGGATATATATATTTTTTTATTGGTGAACAAAATAAACCGTCCATCAACGTCACTTTGTTCAAGAACAAAACCTTTGTTAGATTAATTTTTACACAAGAAATGTGCGACTTCACCTGAATTCAGCGAGCATTGAGGTCTTGTTTTTTCCATCTCCATGCAGCTTATGAAAGGCTCTCTTAGTTTTGACGGTGTTGGGCTAAAATGGCTCAACTTGGCATTGTAAGTCAAATCATACAGTTAGGACGCTGACTCCCATTAATTTTATTGTTATAAATTTTATTTTTATAAATGTAAATCCATATTGAAAATATGTCCGACCACTTTCTTCTTTTGCTCGTCATATACACCTGTATACAGAACACGATCCAAGCGCAGGTGTGTCGCAGAGGCGTAGCGACCCCACCCGGCGCCTCCCCCCCCCTATATTTTTTTAAAATTTATAATTCAAAATAGCAGCTAAAATGAGCTTATTTTGGCGCCCCTTGGGTCGGCGCCCGGGATCATATGTAACCCCCCCCCCCGTCGCTCCGCCTCTGGTGTGTCTTGACGTCAAGGGTTCCATGATATAGAAACACCACGTACCCGAGACGTGTTATCTCGCCCTGACGCACTTTATTACCATGCCGTGTTGTCGCCCTGTCGTATTTGAACTGTCGTCGACCGAGGCGGCTAGTTCGCACCAACAAAAAACGATGGTAAATCATATGAGTCGGGTATGTATCTTGCCCTCCGCCGAACCCCCTAGAGCGTGGGATGGTGTCTATAGAATAAAGATGACCCAACCGCAACTGCAGTATTCTTTTTACAACACAACCATCAAGTCAAAAATGCAAGGAAATTAATTTTTTTCCCACGTTTTCTTTAACTTGCTTTCGCGTCTGTTTGTTTGTCTTTCCATCAAATCTTGCGATCGAAATTTCGGGCACTTCCCAGTTAGCTAGAGCGCTGAAATTTTCAGGGAAGCTTTGTTTCCGATGACAATACAATATTCAATTATTATTATTACTAAATTGATCCATGGAAAAATTTTATTGATCATTTAGACTCCTATTGATTTGTACAAAAAAGGGACATAACCTAGTAATTGTAATTTGATAAAAACAAGGTTCGGTACTTTCCCTCTTCTGAGTTCAATCAGAAAACGTGGGTTTTTAAAAAACAATTTAATGATAATTATTTAGCTATAAAAAATTGATTATGGTCGGCTGTGGGCCCCTAAATGGCGTAGCCTCCCCCCCCCCCATCCGCATTGCGGGGTCTGGCGGCACAATAGTTCCGCCCCTGGTAATGGGGTTTTCGAAGTGTGGTTGCTGTAATCATGTAGTAATAGGTTTCGTTGAGTATAAGTATATAGGAATTTAATAGCAATCATTTAGAGTTGGCATTCTTAATAATAAGTACAACTTTCAGGAAATGCTAATGTGTTCGTATTTTAATTACAGGTATATAATAATACTTGTTTTCCTATGTTTTCTCAAGTAATTTACTTTAATTCTCACGATTTAAAAACAATATTATAATACAAATTTTTAACATAATAAAACAGTATGAACAAAAGGTTACATTGGAATATTTACTCATTGTTAAAGATTTTAGACATTTAATTTAAGGTTGCTTCCCTTGCTTGATCCGTTTTAATTTACAAACGTAAGTTTAAATAAACCGGGAGTGATCTCCCCTAAACTTTCTCGAATATCTTCTATATATATAATTCTCTTCTGGGAGACGCTAGAAAACAAGCTGCAAGCGCATCCTTGCAATCCCCTCTCTTTCTCTCTATCATTATCACTACCACCCCCACCCCACCCCACATGGTCTGGTGAGTTGTGGTCACGCTAAATGTTTACAAATAGTTGAGCCGAGTTTAGTGACAGATAATTTAGTTTGAAACGATTTTAAACTTACAGGAGGTAACTAAGAGGAGGCTGCTTTCACGGGGGGGGGGGGGGGGGGGGGGGTGTAGGGTGGTGGTTAGGGGAAAGGGGGGGGGGGTTAGTGTTTTAAAGCAAATATTTTCAGTGGCAGCATTGGTACTGTCGAATTCACAAATTATAAATTACTGAAAAGTATAAAAATAAAACAACTAAATAGCGGCGTATGGTACGCCGCGGGTCGGCTCGTTCTAATATAACTTGGAATGTAGACATGATTTTTAATTACTTAAACTTTTAAAAATAGAATAGAATCTCATAGAAAAAAGAATTGCGCACCAAGCGAACGCCAAAACAAAATGTGCATAATAGTGCGCAATATTATTAGTACTTTATAAATTTGCATGCGTTTTTTGAGAAATCGGAAATAGCGTAAATTAGTACTTCCGGTCAACGGAAATTACTCAAAATTTGACAGAAGGTAGAGAATTAGATCTTTTACTTACATGTGAAATTTCATTTATCTATCTGAAATAGTACTCAAGTTATAGGCTTTTGAAAAATTCAAAGTAGGAAAAGTACCACTTCCGGTTATCGGAAATCGCTCAAAAGTTGATACGGATCTACGATTTTGATAAAATACTTATATATGAAATTTCATCAACCTAGCTGTAACGGTACTCAAGTAATCGTGTTTACACACAGACAGACAGACACACACACACACACACAGACATACGGACAAGATTGCAAAATTATGTTTTTCCGTATCAGTGCAAATCGAAAATTTGAAAGTATGTCCCCGGGAAGGGTCGCTACGCCTCTGGGGGGGGGGGGGTGAGACCATTAAGTGCCACACCGGGTGACAACCGACCTCGCTACGCCACTGCTCCAGAGTTTCAAATAACCATTAAGGGGTTGCAGTATTGAAGAAATGACAGCGGAGATAAGAGTTTCTTCCTCCCATCTCTTGGGGGGGAGGGGAATTTAAACTGTCGAAAACTATATTTCAATGAATTTTGAGTAATTTAAATTACCTCATTTAAAAAAAAATAACTTACCTTGTGCGTAGGCCTACATCTTTTGTCACCAGTCTCTTTTAAAGAGTACATAATTTATTTAGAAAAATATAATTGCATATTTTAACCAGTGTACGCCCCACCAAACGCAAATTAAAGTGCGCCCCCTTCCCCCCACCCCGCCCGAACCTTAATTTCAAGTACCTCAAGTTTTTCCCTCACCGGAGAAAAATGTCTTTAAGAAACACTGCCACAATATAAGCTCACTTTAGCTTAGCACCTGTACTTTAACACTTTATGTCATTCCCGTTAGACACTGGCCGTCAACCACAGATCCTCCCTACGCCACTGAGATGCCCCGTTCTTTAAAAAAAATGTGTATATTATCACAAGTTAGTTGGCAAAATCAACTTTTTAAAATTATAAAACTGCAAGTAATATTAGACCTATATTCTTTCGTTTTGTTTCATTTTCAAATAAAACTTTTTTTTTTTATTGCCCGATTTATATTTGGGTCAAAGGTTATAATACTAGGCCTACATTTAGATCTATAAAAGTGTTTAAAAATTGCAACTCATTGTTTCACTAGCACCTCGAGAAACTTTTAAGACGCTTCAATTTCATTGTAGTTTTATTGGAATTTATTTCGATTTAATTAAAAGCCTACGTATAATCTTAGAATTTATATAATTTTGACTGGGCTGGTAGGCGTAGGCTAGGTGTGACATCATTTCAGAGGTGAAAGTCTGTTGTTGTTTTTTTTTTTTGGGGGGGGGGGGGTAAGAGACTGCGTGATTCGATGGTTGGGAAGGGGAGGGGTGAAGGAAAAATAATGTTAAAAGGATGCCATTTGTGCATATTATCTAGATCTATAACATTAGTATTACTGATAACATAATTCTAATGAAAATATCAGTAGGCCTAATAATTATTAATTATGCCTCACATTGTAAAATGATTTTATAATTTATTTATTTTTTTAGAAATGAGTTCTAGGTCAGCCTTGGCCAGTAATTTTTCAAGGTAGGGTATTTTTTTCTTTTGTGTTTTTTAATATTATAATTAGGGCTTAGATCTATTACTTATACAATATTTGTGTAAGTGGGGTTGCCCTCATGAACCGCAAAAAAAAAAAAAATCTAGATTATATATATATATCATATATATATATATATATATATATATATATATATATATATATATATATATATATATATATATATATATATATATATATATATATATATATATATATATATATTTCTAATATTTTTGTTTGTTTGCAGAATTGCATCACAGGTCTTATTTAGTAAACAGATAATTTCACCTTACAACTACATAATTAGACTACCTGGAGGGTTTTGTTATGAAGCATATAATGCACAAGGTAACTTTGTGGGTAAATACCAGTAGATTTCAATAAATGGTCTCATTAAGTTTCAATATTGACTCGCTATTGATTTCAGTACAAGTGAGTGAGCATTTGATTAGCAATCAGTCTACAGTTGATTATCTTGTCTCAAGTTCATTGAGCATACAACTTTGATAAGTACCAGGGATAAGTTGGAGAAAGTATAGAAGCTTGACATACAACTGACATTTTCTATTCATATGTGAGATCAAACAGCTGAACTCTGTTTCACCTGCCCTGAGACCATCAGGTTTGCTAAGATACTTTGGAATTATGGCCATCTGTTCTATGGGAATTGTGTGTAATTTACAACAAATACGCATGATTGCTGAAACAAAAACCATGTTTCACAAATTCTAAGCGTAGGGTTATTTATCATAATTAGCTATGCTGATACAAAGTATCAAATTGCATTTTTTTTTCATGTTGAAAGTAGGAAGAAATGTTACATTGATAAACATTTTTTTTTCCACAGCATGTGTCAACCCATGGAGTTTGTTGAGGATGGTGGAATGCGGTCGTGGTGCTTGCTTCAACCCCATTCCACCAGACTGTCACTCTTTCCTTGACGTGGCAGAAATGTATAAAAATTACTTCATCTTTATTGCATCAACGTCAACAACAATTTCCCCCAAGCTTTACAATGTATCTACGGTTAAAGGACCTCTCATCTTGGATGTTAAGCTAGATTATGTTGGAACGAAGACAATAAAAATGAAGACTGTCATGCATTTAGAAGGGACAGATGAGCCACTTTGTGAAAACAACACGCAGTCTGTACTGGTTGACAACTCTACACGCAAACCTTCAGCGCCCCCAGACTGGTGGATCCAAAAATATTCCCTAGGCTCTAACAACGGAACACCTTTAAAACTTGAACCCTTGCAGTTGCCTAAGGACACAAAACTTAGTGAATATGCCTTTACTGTTGCTGCTACGGATGTGGACTCGTACTTACATGTCAACTGGTCCAATTTCGTCAAATATTTTTACAACACGTTTCTCAACTTTGAACTGAAGAAAGTGGGCAGAGATCATGCAAGTCTGGCCTTTCGCAACCTGAAGAGTTTTGATGTGGCGTATATCAAAGAGGCAAATATAGATGATAACCTGGTTATCAAGCACTGGCCAGTTGATAAATCTGAACACATTCACAACTTCCAGATGTTTAAAAAATCTCAGGTAATCAGTGAATGCAAGTTTGAATTTTTTCCATGAATAAAATCATATTTACCATTCTGTAAATTACAAGAGACATATTTAATAGAAATAATTTATAAAATATACATTGTATATTTTTTTATTTGTACATTGTTCTCAAGTCCAACACTTTCCATATGTTGTAGTGGTGTGAATGGAAAGGAAACACTGTTTTTAATTGTATGTGATAATATATTTGGAAAAAAATTTGAATAAAATTCTTTAAAACTGATATTAATTTGTATTCATAAATGTTGTTAAGTTGAAAACCATAAGTACTGTGGTACTTTAAAATTTGTTTATATTTATTTATTATTCTTGTACTTGATACATGTTTTGTATTATATAAATTATACATATCTTTGAAAATGATTGCATTAGTACTATTATAAACACAGCATGTCATTGAAGTGCAGTAGAAAATAGCTTTCTCATTTAACAGCCAATTATTTATTTGTATTTTTTTGACAAATATTTTCCACCAGTTTCTGGTAAACTGGGTTGATGTAATTATTCAAGAAACTTCTGTGGTTTATAAAAACCTCCAATAAAAGGTGAATAATTAATTAAGAGAAGAGAGATTATGTCAGTTTGGGAGTTAATTCAAATTACTGCACACGGTTGATTACAAATGTTACTTTAAATTTAGTTTATTTTAAAAGATTTACTATAATTCATAATTGTTACTAAAAAGAGCATGAAATTAACTTTCAACACAAACTAAAGTTTCATGTAGAGAAGATAATTTATTTTTCCTTTCAATGCGAATATTTTTTACCTGTGAAATATAGCAAGTATGTTTACATCATAATGGGACAGATTACAACACACACATCAAAGTAACAATTTTTGTACACAAAATCAGTGGCCAATTCATGAGGCCATGACACTTCTCATTGTGGTGATTTCAAACCATAATGCAATAATGGAAAATTGCACAAAAAATAAACAATCATTGTTAACGAAGCAAAAAACTTGTTTGAAATAAACGTTTCATTCCATTCAAAATGAATATGAATTCTTTTTTCAAATTAGATATGTAAAAAATAAGTTATTTCAAAAGAATATTCTAGATTTTTGTTATTAATTTTTTTTTAAAGTTTGAAAGCTTCTAAATGTTATGAAGCTTATGTTAAAGGACCAATAAAAGAAATAAACACCCCATCTGTCTAGTGAGAAACCTAATGACCAGTAAAAACAAAAAACTGATTAGCACTACAACTTTAAAGCATCAAATCCTACAATAGTTTCACAGAATGCAAGTCAAGTCTTATTAATACACTACATGGAAGAAATTGATTAAAAACTAAACATTTATTCTATTTCTGTAGCTAAACACTGTTGAAAAAACATCTGCTAGAATATGACGCAAGCTATGCTACTAGTTAACATATTAAAAAAATTTATAAAGATATTAAACGTACAATGTTTCATTAAATTAATCAATATAACAAGAGGAGAGGAAAGCAAAATTATTTGCATGAATCAAATTGAATTTTAAAAAACTTTTAAAAAATTTGGTACAACTTAAGCAGGTCATCTCTGTAGGACAGCATAAATAAATAACACAACATTACAGGTGGCTTGTTTGTTATAAGTAGCTGATTTCAACTTAAACATTTTAAATCATGTATTTTTTTTAATACAGTTGTATTACTACAGATAAAGTCACTGAACAATTTTTGTACAAAATAAGAAACATTCGATATCACTCACTGTGATGTCCATCACCAAGATTTCCAACTGTAGACAACTTCATATTTCTTAACCAATGTGTAATGTAGTAATTAAAAAAATAATAATTACACAAATGTTTAAATTACAAAGCCTAGGGAAAAAAAATCCTAACAATATAGATAATTCATTAGCCTTTACTTAATGATTACTTCATTATAATAGTAACATATCACTTAATGATAAACTTGTGTAGCCCTAACAGTCTAGTGATACTGTTGAGGTGGGTACCCTGGATATGGGTACCCAGCTTGAGGGGGCTGCTGAGGAGGATACGGATAAGGTTGTTGGCCATAGGGTCCTGGTTGGGGGTAGCCCGGTTGGTTCTGACCCTGGGGCGGGTGACCTGGTTGTGGGTAGCCTGGTTGGTTCTGACCCTGGGGCGGGTAGCTCATGTAGGGGTTGTATGGGTTGTACCCCGCAGGCATCTGTGGCAGAGGGTAGCCTTGGCCAGGGTGGGATGGGTAAGGAGCCTGCCAGCCAGAACCACCAAAGTTTGGTTGACCTAGAAAAACAAAAAAAATTCTCAGAAATTTTGTCCATTCCTAGTTGGGTTTAAAAAAAGTACAACACAATGTAATACCTTTTTATTAAAGCTGGTCTAGAAATTTTAATACCATTTATGGTGATGTGGCTAAGATCTATGAGCCCTAAATACTGATAGCTCAAATCATTCTGACAGTATAATCTCAAAGACAATTTTAAAATAGAAAATAACTAAAGAACTCTATCAATTGCATACCCTGGTTTTAAATTGCAATTCTACTAAAATTTTAACGACCGAAATAGAAAACTACAAACTAATAAGTGTAAGGTCCAGAGTAACTAATAAGTGTAAGGTCCAGAGTGAAATATTTTTGTCTTCTCTATCATATTCTCCCACATAATTACTCACTTTGTAAACCTAAGCTTAGACTGAGGTTCAGCATTTCCAGACAGATAAAATACTCACCATAGGGGTTCTGTAGATGGCCAGGCTGAGAGGGTGTCATAGAGTAAGGGAGTGAAGCACTAGGGGCAGACGGAGTTCCTGAAAAATGGAGGAAAAACAGAATTTAGTAGTTCATCTGGTACAGTATTATGACTTAACACAATAATAACAGTCAAAATATTACTTGGGAGCTTCCTGAAACTTCAAGAAATAACATGTAAAGTATACACCTAGCACATACAAGTAAATTACAAGCTACATATTATTAAAAAAATACCTGATGTAAACACTTAGTATTTCATTTACTTTAATTTATTAAACATAACTAGTGATTTATTTGTGATGTAGGTTTTTGTAAGACTCCCTCTTGTAAAACTCTTTTAGTGAAAATAAAATTTGATAATTATGATCTACATAAATATGAGCCACAATATAAGCTGAAGTGACTTTCTTAAATGATTGTTTATTTTCTCTGAGTACATCTGTTGTTATTCTTTTCATCTTCAGCACAAGTGAAATAATAAAACAGTTTGGGCATATTTGTGAAGATTACATTAAAAAATGTTGAAATGCTGAAAATGTTTGTAATTATTTTAGAAAAAGCCTACCATTCAAAATACATCATTTTTGTAAAATAATTATTTATCTCCTTACTTTAAAAAAAATCGTCATAATTAAAAAAGAATAGAATCTAAAAATAATTCCCTATCTAGAGTGAAGATGTGAATTAAAGAAGTTTTTAAAATAATTTAACATCAGAATGAATACCGAGAATCACTAGCAATGTAACATTGAACATAAAAGGCAACACTACACATATGATGCATCTCCAGCCCAATGTTAACAATACCCAGTCACCTAAAAATATAAGGAGGAAAACTAAAACCTTGTATTTGTACACTAAATGATATGATGAAACACTATTACCGGCCGTTGTGGATGGTGTTGTGGTCGCTAGTGGAGCACTTGTAGCTGCTGTAGGCACGGCTGGTGGGGGTGGACGAGGTGGGGCATTCCTCGGGGCAGGGACAGGTGCAGCTGCACTAGAACTGTCTGTTTCACAATGTCAAGTGGGCAACCAAAGTTTTACACACCATCAATACATTAAGCATGTCAGGTTTACTCACAAGCATAAAACAAAATAACATAAAAATACAACAAAACAGATAAAACCTCCAAAAAAAAAAGTAAACAAAAATTATTAAACGCAAAATATTTCAGCAAATATCACCCACTTTATGATCTCTCAACAAGATAATTTTCATGAAAATTTTATTTGATTTAATCAGTTATTTATAATATAAAGTGAGGACATCATGTTGCCATTAACATTAACTTGCCAGATTGTGCCAGGTTTTTAGTCAGTTAATTTTAGGCCAAAGCACTGCAGACAGTATGGAAGTAAATTAAAACTAAAACGTTAACTAAAAACTTAAGACCACACACCATTTTCCATGTATATTTATTTTAACCAAGGAAAATACAATACAGATGTGATAGATTTAATTTGTTAAAAATCACATATTTAGAATCAAGTAGTGTTACCAAATTAAATTAACCAAAATATACATGAAAGATGGCAGAAAAAAAGAATTCACTGAACAATAGTGTAGAACACACAAAAATCACAACAGCTAAATGGACTAGTTTTACAACAGCATGTAGCCAGTCTCCAGCTAAAAAAAACTAAAGGACCAACCTTGGGTCGGCTGGGCAGGGCCGCCCTGATACCTTGGAGTGATGGGTGGGGGCTGGGAGGGAGTGTTGACGATAGCCTTCTGTAGGTCACTCATCAGCTCATCTTTCTCAGTTTTTCGGGCAAAGCAGAAGTCATTGATTTTAGTCTGTAGCCTGACTAGCAACGGTGTTAGGTCGTTGTAGAACTGGGGGTGAGAAGTGGTTCATCAGAGCAGATGTGGAATGTGTGGGCTCAACATACAGAGGGAAAGCTTTTGGTTTAACAATAGAAGAAAAGAGTCAAGCTATCCTGGCCGTCCAGGAAGGTAGAGTTCACCTATTTCTGTAACCTTGGCGGTATTTGATGGAGTTGAGTGGTCAGCACTACGCCCAGCTGCCTTTACTTTCCCTAATATTTCAGGTACCAATAAGAGCTGAATGGACTCAAAAACATCCTAAAAACATGATACAGGATCCAAACTGAGAGTCTCAGGCAGAAGTTGTAGGCTCTTATGTCTGACCACTTAGTACCATTGGGATTAACCAAAGAGATTTGAAATTTAAAAATCAGATGTGAATAGCTTAGTTTAACTCCTAGACAGACACAATTTAATAAAATACATTGAAAGACAACATACCTGGGTTCCTTCCTCCAAATTTCCTTTCAACTCCATAAAACTGTCAAACCCAGCAGCTAAATCTTTAAGAAGAGTTTCTCTTTGTGCTGCACTTTGATTGGACGTTTTGGCTTGGCTAAACTCAGTGTTGGAATTCTAAATGTGGAGGAAAGAGAATTCATGAGAGAAATTGTGTGCAGTAAAATGAGTTATCTGAACACGTTAGAGGACCCTGAGAAAATCTTCATGTAACTTCCAACATGACATTCACTGAAAGAACTTCAACAGTGGAGTTACTTATGACAAAAGTCAAAATTAAATGTAGTGCAAAATGTAAAAGTGAATAACCAAACTACTTGTTTTGCTGGTATTGCTACTCTCACTCTGATAGTGTAGTAGAAGAAAATAAACTTGATACGATATAGCTAGTGCTCCATTAAGCACATTACTGCTCACCTGGATTTGTGACAGTAGAATTTCCTGTCTGTGTATACTATCAGACACCTGCTCTCTAAGGGGTGTGTAAGTTCTGTCCAGCTCACTCAGTGAAATGGATTCTTCGTTGATCATCCCCTCAGTTGCTAGCGCAGCAAAAAATTTGCTGCCTGAATAATGTAAGAAAATTGTTACATAAATTTATGAACACCAGGTACTTCTTTTGATAATAATACACTAGAGAGATGACTTAAATCATATAAAAATATATAACTTGTCAATCACACTCATAGTGTTATGCTTGATATGATATAAAAAGTACAAAACTTATCAATATTGAAAGTATACCGACAAAGTTATTAAAGTGATAATATAAAAATTAAAAACAAGTTATTTCTTACTGATATCGAACTTGGCGTCTTTGATTTCTGATTCTATAACATCTCTCTCTGCTTTGATTGTGTTCACCTGATTAAAATATTATTCACAATACCAATAAAGATGCACAATCCAATTTTAAGAAAATGATAATATTAAATAAAAAAAAACTTTTACAACATGATTATCAAGAAAGGAAACCAAATAAGAGAATCACTTAGACAAGAGCTAGCCAAACTTTCTTATTGTTCTATTTTAAGAAGAAATTAAAAGTCAATAACTGATGAGTCAGTTGAATTCATTTAACTGGAAACTTGCAACCAGTTTAGTGGATGAGTGATAGCACTATAGAATGCTAGAGTGTACACATAATTGTTGCATATCCCTTATCTCAGGAGAGTGCTGTTTAATCATTGCAATTCACAGAAAACCAGCAACAAAATAAAGCTCAAGTACTTCACATCTATTCATCTTAGTCCTTTACAAACACACAAGAGTTGGGCAGACTGGAAAGCACACAAAGATAAACACATGCACAGATAAGAAGCTTAACAAAAAATTTAGTCTACCACACTCACCTGTTCTAGCAACTCTCTCAAATGTTTCACCACAGGGCTGTTCTGAAGTGAAGCCGCGGCACTGGCTGCAGGTAAAGCTGCTTCCAGTTCACCCTGGGGATAAAACAATACACAGGTTCACTCACAACAAAAGAAACCAAGACTTGGTGAGACAAATGGGGATAAAACAACATACAGGTTCACTCACGACAAAAGAAACCAAGACTTGGTGAGACAAATGGGGATAAAACAACATACAGGTTCACTCACAACAAAAGAAACCAAGACTTGGTGAGACAAATGATTTATGCATTGCTAGATGTATAACAAGCAGAAAAAGAATTCATTTAAACTTGTTGGCTAAGTGGAAAGAAAATAAAAGATCAATATTCTATAAATTGGCGGTAAGACAATTTGATGTATTCTTTGAGGATAGTTAAAATTTTCTTCTCATTTTAAAAATTTAACCTGTACTAGGTAAATAGAAAGAAGGCACGAAATCTAAAGCGTTAATGTGAATATTAAAACTGCATCAAACCTTTGGTTTTGACAACAAAAAGATGGCATTCTTGTGTGCGTCGTACTTCCCTTTGACAATATGATCTGCTTGGATGGCTGTGTCAAGTATGGATTTATACTTCATGGCCTCCTCTCTCATGGGTTTGGTCAGCGAGGCAGAGGGAGTTCTTGACCATCTTTCTTTGAACTGCTCTCTCAACTGTTGGTCGGACTTCTCTTCATCATCTAGAGCTTTTATGCTCTAAGAAATATGCAGCCTTTTAACATATGCTTTTCAATACACACAATTACAAATTAACTATTTTATGTAAACATTTTAAAAGTAATCTTTAAAACTATACATATCAATTTTTTTTAAAAAAATGGCATGTTATTTTAATACAAGTATTCCCCCATACACATATATAAATTGTCTGAGGTCACAACAGAAAACTATGCAAGAGCAGTAGGAAGAAGTACCTCTTGAAGAATCTCTCTGTTGCGGGTCAGCAAGTCAGGTAGATCACTCATCAACTGGTCAAGCTTGGTCAGCCCACCTAGTTCCTGGATTTGTTGGGCCTTCTCTAGCAGGGAATGTGGAACTCTTTCACCAGACAAGTCTTCAAGAGCAGCAGGCAGGTTCAAGGATGCAAGAACACTGGATAGGAAAAAAATAAACAACCAGTTGTTTAACATACACATCTGTTATTATTCAAAATTAAGGTCCATAGAAAGGGAATAAGTATGCAGAGATTTTAAAATGTATTATGGTAACAACCAACATTTTTAAAATTTAGATATAAAGGTTTTTGGAGTCATTGGCAAGGCTCAAAAAGACATACAAGTTATATAATAAAATGAAACAGATTTAATCAAGTGAGAAGAGACCTACCTGTTCATGAGTTCTGTGGCGTTCCTCAATCTTCCAGCTTCCATACTAACAATCTGCGACTTGCGGTTCTCAAATGCAGTCAGTGCTTCGTGTACAGGTAATGGAACAATTTTCTCAAACAGATCTATAAATAGTTTTAAAAAATAATTAAGGATAGTAATTATTGTACTGAATTGGAAGTTATATTCTAAAACTGGAACTATTTAACTTTCCATTACTAGATATGTTAGGGGTATTGACGGTTTTTACAAGTTCTATGACAGAAAAAAATATAAAAAATGATACAACTTTTTGGGTTACTTTAACAGCATTTATTGGGAAATGGAGCCAACTCAGTTTTAATGGGATCCTGAGTGGGGAAAGTAAAAGAAGGCTAGCAAATGGCTGACCACACAATATGCCATTTATGAACTCATAGTTTCATTCACACAACTTCACGTTTTGAAAAAATATGCCTCATTAAATAATTTCACATCACCTTAAACCAATGTAAGTACAATGTTATCACAGTAATATAAAATAACAACAAAATAAAAATCATATGATCATACCAGTAAACTTGGCACTCATTGGCTGGCTCACTGGAGCAGCTTTAGCAACAACAGCCTTTCCAATTGGCTGAAGAGATTTTAGATCAGGGATTTTGTCATGATAGATAAAGTTGTTGTCCTTTGTGGCTGTCTCAAGGGCTCGCTGGACTTTGGCCAGTTCCTGCTTGAAACTGAATGTTGTTCCTCCCCTGCTTTGAGAGGCATTCAGCAACTCCTGGGCATGCTGGTGTAAATCAGACGAAACAGTGATTAGATGGTTTTTACCAACAACTTTTTCTCAAAAAAAAAAAATCATTGGAACAACAAATAAAAAAATTTAAAAACAAAAATAAAGTGTATAAATGTTCTTAACAAAAACATCTGAGAATTAACCTGCAATCTAGCTATTTCTTCTCCGTAGCTTTTAGACTGTTGAGCCACACAACTTTGGTAGTACTCAGCCATGGCGTGAAATGCAGCCTGTTTCATCACAACTGTAGGCAGCCAGTCCTGGGGTAAAGGAAACATTTATTGTTAATGTGTTAACAAATTTTGTATTCATTAATATTAGTGATCATTCATACAATAACTTTATTATTGAACCAGTCATGTTAATTAACAAGTATTCTTTACCTTAGGCCACAGATCTCTTATAGATCCCAACTGCATAAGTTTCATCGCATCAGAATAAAGCTCAGAGGTTTGATAAGATAATTTAGCTATCATGGCTTCCTTCATTTTATCTAAATGTAATACATTTAAAAAAAATAATTACAATTTGGCAGATTAAAACAAACAAAAAATATATTTAAAATTCAAGTTTGTCTTATGCAAAAATATCTGTTAGTAAGGCATATGGGTGTGTATTTATTTATATCTTACCCTGTGTAGCCTTTCTATAAATAGACTCCTGTGCCTGGGCCAACATTAGAGCACTTAAAGCACTGAGTGTGTCTGGGCTCAGGTCAGGGGTGGGGTCTTGTTGGACGTGGGATAAAACTATATCCTTTAGGTGACCAAATATTCCACATGCTTGCTGTTCAAGACAAATCAAAAGCTATTAGTTGTGACGTTAGAAAATATACCTTTTCACCAACTAGTAAATGGACTAATTGTGCACAGGTGTAAAATAAAAACATACATCAATAAACAAAAACCTGTGGTTTAAAAAAAAAGCTTTTTGTTGCTTAGTAAGTTAGGTTAGAGCTCTTCAGTCATTAGTGCTCTGTATCCATGTAAATTAACTACATAAAATATTTGTCTACTACATTTTCTTTAAGCATGATTAGTGTCAGACATAATTTGTTCTTAAAAAGTCAAGTTTATTTATAGTGTATACAAAATATAGCTAAAACAAAGGTAAAATTCCAATTCAATTTCTTTAAATTTTTATGTACAGCTATTTATTTTAAAAATATTGAATACACTGCATGTAGCAGGTTAAAACTAAGTATCAATGTGTATACAGACCTGGAATAGTTTAACGGTGAGCTTCAACCCATCATTGTTGTCATGGTTCTGTGCAGCAGCTATCTGAGACTGCAAAGCTGCTATGTTAAACAATATGCAAACCTTCTCGTAGGCACCAGAAGCAATGGCTGAAATGTTAAGTGTTATCACTATATCAGTGACCTATAATAAACACATCTGATACAAAAGTACATCATCTGAGAATAGGGATATGAAAAGTATCTTTGAAAAATTTGAAAACAAAAAAAAAACTTTTCATTTTTATAACACCTACCCAAATTCCTTTTCCCAGAGAAGAGAGAACCTTCATCAAATGCATCCCTCCACTTGAATTGCACACGTATCTGAAATAAATTTTAACTTTAGAACCTCACCGGCTTTTTTAATATTAGTTGGATTTATTGAATTGTCAATCATTAAAATAATTACATAAATTATTTCAAAATAAGACAATGCTACAATTACCTGATTTTCAGCAATTGGAAGCTTGTTCTCTATGGCAGCAAGCTGATCATAATATCTAAAAGCAAAGGCATTATTATGTACAGACTAAGAATTAGATAAACAAAAACTACAATAACATTTAAATCTAAGGACTAAGGTTCAAGTATCTTTGGTCATGGCATAGTGAGGAACAGTTAAAATCTAATAACCCTCTATGAACTAATGAAGTCTCTAGTTTGGTTCCTATACCGTAGAAAACCAGAGTCCTCCTTACTATGCTGACATTAAAATTAAATGGTGATCCCTAAACTATGTCTAATTTAACGCACAACCACACAAATAATCCTTTTTGGAAAATGTTTTGTAAACCTAACAATAATAAGGGACTCTAACCAAAAATATGTAGATCTAGGCCTAAATATATAAAAAAGCTTCAAGGTTTAGGCCAGGCATACAGCTATTTTGCTGAGTAGGCCTACTTCAAATATTTGACAATGATGATGATGATGGACATTCTACTGCCAAAACAAGGAATTCCTGAATTTCATAGAGATTTAGAATCTAGATCTCAAGTCTAGATCTAGATCCATATTAAATATTTTCTAGACTATACGCTAGCATAATCATAACACAATGAATGAATGCATAATCATAATGAAATGATTAGGCCTAATGACAGTAATGATAATATTTCTCTGAATGATAATGAACTGCATGATGTCTTTCTATTCTTAAATTGAAAATTAAAACTATTCTTATTTTAGATCTAGACTATTCTAGACTAGAAATAAGAAGTAAAATCAGAATCTAAAAAATTCCAGAAGTAGTGGCAGTAGTAGAATCTAAGACTAAGAAGAGGAGGATGATTTTAATGAAGAAATGAAACTGAAAGAAAAAAATCTTACCGATACAGTACTTCTAACGCTGATTCGTGTTTATCTACCGACTTTGTAATCATAGCATTTCTGAGTTTATTAAACTCAGACAAAGCTTGATTATAATCATCGGGGCTGGCTTGATTATAAGTATTCTGAATGAAAGTCCTAAGAGGTTTAACTAAATCTACTTCATAAGTTTTTTTCAGCTGAACACAGATGAACGAGGCCATCTTGATTGTTGTTTGATCACGTGGTACACTTTTCTATTTAAAGTATAAATGACGTCAACATGATTCAAAACATCGTGTCGTTTGTTTATAAATGAGCCGCTGTGAAATTTTACATGAAATGTAAAACAATAATGTTTAACACCACTCGATTATAGATTTTAAATCACATAAAACGTATTCATCTGTGTGCCGTATTGCTTTTCTGAGCCACTTGAGTTTAGAGTTCTAATAATCTTTAAAAGTATAGGCTACACAAGTTTCTAAATATAGATTAGGGCTCGACATGTGAGGATCTATTTTGCAATGATACAATGAGTCATTTTCTCTTCTGAATGACACGATCATACAGCACCCTAAATTAAAAAAAAAAAACGAAACGTGATTCTGCGCCAGCGCCAGACAGCTTTACTTCTAAAGACCTATGTGTATGTATATATATATATATATATATATATATATATATATATATATATATATATATATATATATATATATATATATATATATATATATATATATATATATATATATATATATATATAGGCCCTATATATATATATATATATATATATATATATATATATATATATATATATATATATATATATATAAAAGGGTAATTTTGGACCAAATGTCAATGCATCAGCATAAAACATGATGCTGTTGGCCATACTTTATTACTAACTTCTTCCCCACGCCAGCAGTTAGTAATTTAAAGCTGTACAGAGGAGTGCCTAAAAATACTATTTTGATAATTTTGTAACTTCACAATCCTTTGGACAGGGTCAACATTTTTTTATCATGACTATCCTATTGTTATGGTAATTTCCCTATTCATTATATCATTTAATTGAATTAATTAAAAAAAAATGACCCAAACTAGCTTTGGTGAGGAGTGGGACATGATGTCCCACTTCTACCCTACGTGTTCAGTATCTCACATTAAGTTGTCGTTTTAATTAATTGAATCTTTACAGTCAAGTACTTAGCCTATATTTTATGTATTGAAAGCTATCCATTTATTGTTTTCACTAAATTACATGACTGTTCCACTTCTCATTTTGCCTGCCACATCTCACCAACATGACGACTTTTGAATTTTGTGTCATAAACGTCACTATTAACTAACCAGAGTCTTAAAGACGACGTCAAACCTTAAAGAAATTGTATATATAAGTGATTGGAAATGTTTGTGATTATTTTAGACAGATAAAGGAGAACTAATCTATTTTTTTTGTGGAGGTGTAAAATCGACGACCCACTTCTCACCACTCTCCCCTAATATATATAGGTATATATATATATATATATATATATATATATATATATATATATATATATATATATATATATATATATATATATATATATATATATATACGCCCTAAGTGGGTGCAAAGAGCTAGGAAGAAATATATAGTTGATTTTGAGCTGCATTACTGATTTATTTACAGTTTATGTTAAGAAAGTAAACAAATACAATTTTATATGACTCTGACGAGGGAAAGGGAATGGTTGAATAGCACACGCCTCTGGGAGAGACTGGACGAAAGCATCTCCGACCAAAGATGGGATAACACACGGAACACACCTCTGGCGAGACATGGGATGAATACGCCTGTGACGAGACATGGGATAACACACCTCTGGCGAGAGATGGGATGAATACGCCTCTGGGATGAAATGGGATAACACACCTCTGGCGAGACATGGGATGAATACGCCTGTGAAACAAAATTTGTCTTTTGTTTTCTCAGTCCTGTGAGCGACAAACATGGCGTCTGGGGGACAGCTGACAAGGGAAACAAATATGTAATCACGATGTTTAGAGGCCCGTCGTCTAAAGGTTAAAGGGCAACATGAACGTATACAGCTTGTAGAATGCGCCTCACTCATCTTTTAAAAAAAAAAAAATTAAAACAAAAGGAGTTGAAGAAATCGAGTAAAGCACACATTCAATTATAAGTAGTCTTCTATAAGGGCGTCATAAGAGAGGGGGCGGATCGAAATTTCGAGATGAATCGGAGGAGGGTTAAGAGAGCGTAATGTCACATTCATACATTTTAAAAAGCATATTTTAAAAGTAACAAAAATTGGAATTTGCCCCATGGCATTCACCCCTCCCCCCCCCCCCAATCCACCGACATTAAATTAGAGTCAATTTATCAGAGGTCACTCAAAAAATTAAAATTGATCAATTTATAACATTTTATATTTATGTATGCAATTTAGCCATCTTTCTTAGTTCGTGTGGTTTTTGTTACTTTTTCTACGCAAATGTAAATAATCACCCCTACAGTATAATACATTAAAAAAAAAAAAAAAAAAAAAAAAAAAAAAAAAAAACTACTATCAATGCGCATACAAAATTAAACATTTTGCAATAAAAAAATATTTATGTAGGGTCGGATTTTGGATCCACTAAAAGACGCCCCTCCCCCCCCCCTCCTGGGGTGTCTGGCAGCAAGGTACAATGTTGAATAATAATCAGTTGAAGTTAGGGGAAATGAATAGTAATAAAAGATAGCATACAGATAAAAACTAATTATCTCCCTTCTACCGCTTATGTAAAATGGAGCGTGGGCCATTTTACTATTTTCACTATATTTTTAAAAAAAATTACAATGTTGTACTTAGATCACAATTTCTGTTTGTCTTTTTGTGATAGAATCGTGTGAGGTAATTTTAACCTAATTCTAATGCAGGGATCTCCTTTTCGACTTTCTGGACAAATCTGATTCCGCTGTTAACGCAAGAATACTTAATTTTAAATATAATTAGATAAGTAATTAAGAATAAATTTATTAAGCTTTATTATGCAAAAAAGAAGAGATAACACATTAAGGAGTAGATCAGTCGATTAAGCTGAGTTGTGTTCACTCATGTTTTTTCAACTTCAAAACTGTCAACAGACTTTAATAAGGGGCAGATAATTGAGTTCAAACTTAAAACATTTCTACTCTTGTTGTGTAGGGTGTCGGTTTATTTAAGAATTAACGTTGAAGGAAATAATAAATATTGCTTCATTTAAAAAAAAAACTTAAATAACGAGCTACCGTTTTATTAATAAAAAATTCCTAGTTACTAAAAATGAAAACGTTAATAAATATTTAAAAAAAAACTTTATAGTTAAAAATGTATTGTAAATGCGCATTTATAAGAAAATGAAACAGGTTTTCTTTCATTAGATTTCACATTAAAAACGTTAGTCACGTAATTCGTCAAAACAAATGAAGTGTGACGTCAAGAAAATAAAGTTAGTTAGCTATTATATGACGACTTAAAGATCATCATTATAGTTCTATCTGTAGCCATAAAATCAACGCTCGCAAATAATCCCAATAGTGTTTTAATAACACAAGTTTCGACAGAAGCAAAGCTAACAAAACGCATAATTAAAACACACTTCATCCATTAATCACATTCATTGACCATTTTAAACATTCATCCAATAATCACTCTTCATCCAATAATCACCATTCCATTTTCCTTACCCACCAATCACCCCCTTTATCTATCTGTCACCTCTTTCCTTCTACTAATCACCTTCTTCCCCCATCACCCCATTCCAATCATTCCATTCCCTCCCACCAATCACCAATGCTGTGCTCTCGATACACCCCCAGTACCCCCCCCCCAATCATCCCCTACCCCCACCAACCACCATACCTCTGCTCCCGATCCACCCCCTCATCTAAAGCGGTCAACATAATTCTGGCACGCGTCGCTTTTAAAATTCACAGCTGTTCAATTTTTTTTTTGTGTAATGAAAATAAAATTAGAAATTTAAAATTCATTAAAACTCGGTCAGAATTTTTTAAAAAGTAGAATTGTTTCGCTAGTGATTCTAGTCTTTATTTTTTTGTAGCTGGCTTGAAAAGGCATTATTTTATCTTCATCGTTGTTTTTGTTTAGCTGGCTTGAAATGGATTGAAATTTGTTGGGCCTATCATTAACTATACCAATCGAACATCGTGGCAATTGTGGTCATAGAGAATATTTAATGCAGATGTAGCCGAAACTTATTTATTGCGGCTGTTACGGGGTGCAGTTGAAACTTTCAGGGGGGGGGGGGCGAACAAAGGTTAAATTGTGTGTATATATATATATATATATATATATATATATATATATATATATATATATATATATATATATATATATATATATATATATGTATATATATATATATATATATGTATATATATATATACACACAATATTTCTTTCTCAAATTCGTTCAGGGACGGGGGAATTGTGGACGTGAATGCCTTTTGTGGGTGGCGGGGGGGGGGGCAGTGTCCACCTCCCTGAAGTGATGTCATAAAGAAACTCTGGGAACAAATGATACAACACGACACGTAAGACCCGGTTTATCATTTGTTACATTTTCAGACCTTCACACATCCACCAGACATCACACAATCACTAGACTATCCACACATCCACCAGACCCTACACACATCCAACAGACTCTGCACACATCCACCAGACCTGCACATCCACCAGACATCACACATCCACTAGACCTGCAAATATCCACCAGACATCACACATCCACCAGACCTACCACAGACCTACACACATCCACCAGACCTACACACATACACAAGACCTACACACATCCACCAGACATCACACATCCACCAGACCTTCACACATCCACCAGACTATCCACAGATCCACATACCTGTGCACATCCACCAGACTATCCACACATCCACCAGACCTGCACACATCCACCAAACATCACACATCCACCAGACTATCCACACATCCACCAGACCTCCACACATCCACCAGACATCACACATCCACCAGACCTGCACACATCCACCAGACTATTCACACATCCACCAGACCTGCACACATCCACCAGACTAGCCACACATCCACCAGACCTGCACACATCCACCAGACCTGCACACATCCACCAGACATCACACATCCACCAGACTATTCACACATCCACCAGACTATCCACACATCCACCCGATCTGCACACATCCACCAGCCATCACACATCCACCAGACCTGCACACATCCACCAGACATCACACATCCACCAGACTATCCACACTTCTACTAGACTATCCACACATCCACCATACCCTACACAGAAACACCCGTCTCTATACATATACATACATTAAACTTTCTATTTCGACAC